AGATCAATATCAACTAGATTTAAAGAACATATAGCTCAGATAAGATATGGTAGACCGGACAAAACTTGCGTTGCTCAATATATTGTTTGATAAAGATCATTTTATATGCTAATAATTTTAAATTAATTAAACAAGTCTCAAATTACAGGCAATTAGATGCATGAGAGCATCAAAATTAATAAATGTAAAGATCATATGTATAGAGATAATAGTCCAATTCGTTCCAGTTCCCTGTTCCTATTACTTTAGCTTCGGTAATTAATTAAGCTCGGTTGATTTTGACTCAATTGGTTGGTTTCGCCACGCCTAGTCAGTGCTAACTGAGCGCCTATATTAGTTTAGTTGTAATCATCTGCTGATGATGCCAACATGATTAACTAAACGCTCGTTCAGTGCAAAAGTAAAATGTTTTGGTGTATTGTGGTGAATTAGTGTTTTATTTTGCTGTTGTAACACTAAAGGTTCCAATCCTTAAATGTTTAATGTGTTAGTAATGCATAATAATAATAATAAAGAACTTTATTCACATCTGACAGAAACATTATGTAAATTAAAATAAATAATGATACTGGAAGTCCAGAATTATTTTAGTGTATCAATAATAAACAACTATATCAAAAAAATTATCTAAAACTTAACAACACGTAGTCCAACTCTGTTACATTTAGTAATACTAATTAAATTCTCTCATTCAAAAGAAAATATCACCATTCATTTTCCATAGAACATTTTCAAATTAATTATATCAAAAGGTATTTGAGCCGAAATTGTTCATTTGAAACCAAATAATAAAATTATTCTTGAGAAATTTTAGATCAAAAGCAACCTGGCACATGTATATCACGCTTATTCGATTTAGACTCTCGACAATTAGGAAAATCATTAATTATAACCGTAAATTAAATAGCGACAGGCCAATGACACGATAAAATCAGTAGTTTTGTTCAAATGTTAATTAAATGGATATTTACCATTTTAGATTGTAAGAGAATGGGGAAGTTAATCACCATGACCTTATAGATCTATTGTTTCCCTCTTTCTTGAGTTATAACTCATCATATAGTCTCTGGACTTTGACAAAAGTCAATATCTGAGACGGTTTTACAGAGGTTAGTTCTCCATCTATTCTGGTGTTTCCCCATTTTTCTCACTGAATCTGCATTTGTTGTTGTTTCTTAGCTTCAATCTACTGACTTTGCTGCTGAAGGGTTCATTGAGGAGAGTGTCCTGTTAAAATCTCCGTGATAATCTGAAGATTGTTCTTAGAACAGAATAGCAACCACAAACATTAAAATAGATATTTTATATCAAATAATTCAAAATTAAAAAAGTTAAAGATGGATGTGAAACAGTTATAGCTGGTATAATTGCTGGAGACGGTTGATTTGTTTAACACTTGGCACATAACTGCAGCAAATGCATTATTTGTTAAAATATTTTTATATAATTTTTTATCCTTGATGACCTGTGGGTATAATTGATGGAATAACCTTTTTGTGTAAGTATCGATTGATTTGATGGTTCATAGGTTAATTGAGAATAGAATGCAAACCTATACAAGGTAAAATATAATTAAGATTGATTTACTTAATTCTAATTTACATATATAAATTAAATTAAATTAAATTTCATTATTATATTAACTACAACAAATAGTTTGGCTCCTCTCATCTAAATCTGAATTTTCCCACTTTCTTTAGAAATAGTTTTAAGTACCCCTCATGATATATGAGAAATTTGAGATGGATAAATGCTGGCCATGGTAATTGTAATTTATTTGTTATAAAGCTCAGCTTGGCATTCTGTAACATTTCTTTGTACAAATAATTGGGATAATTTTAACTTTTATGACTTGTACCCGTATTTTATTGTTTTGTTACTTGACTTTGTTTGTTTGACAAATATGTTTCACTTACTTTGATTGTTTTTTTATTTATAATATTTTTAGCTTCCGGGCCTGAAGATGGGATTGTGATTCTCGAAACATGTTGCTTAAATTGTTTAAATAGTAAAAATTTAAAAGACTGTGTTAAAAGACTGTTTTAAAAGACTGAGTTTGAGTCTACTGTCCCTCAGTAGAGGATTTTAACTAATAATTTCTATTAACAAATGAATTTGGAGATGAAGTAAATCAAGTAGGACTTCTTTAGCATTAGACGATGTAAAGTGAGTAGAATCCGCACACATCCAAGCATATTGTACTTGCAATTTCGACCATACGTTTGGACAACTTGTCTCTAAGAAGAATGAAGGTACGATAGCCCTGTTACGTTTATATATTCCTAGGGTTTACATCAAGTGTCTACCACAAATTCTGTGGCATGCCCATAAATACTCATACCCGTAAATTTTCTTCAAGTAAGAATTATAGATAAGATAATAATTATTTTCTCTCGTTTCATCTTAACAATCGTAACATGCAACAGACGAATCATTAATTGAATTCCTTTATTTGTTTATTTTAATATCGTCATTTACTATAGAAGGTATATAGGGACCAACTCCAACACTTCGTTTTATGAATAAACTTCTACTAAACTTGTTTATTTTACTTTATAAATAAGTCTACTCATTTATGGAATAGACGCTCTAAAGTGTAAACATCTTATTATTGTCGATATAGTATCGTTCCTAGAAATTCTATGCATAGTGAATAAATAAATACTTAAAGTGGTTTGAAGAAATTGCATTGAATCATAAAATAGAAGAAATAGCATCAGCAGAATTCTGTAAATTCATTATATTAAATAAGATAAATTTGCTGGTTTTCGTTTTCCTATATGATATTAAGAGGAATGACAAGGTTATGAAACCATTAAAAATAAAGTCCTCCTACTCTGGGTGCCAGATCACCAAGAGATTATAGGTAATGAAAAAGCAAACGATCTAGCTGGAAAAGGAGCAAACACTCCACTAACTGGACCACTATCCGTTCTGCTTCCCAAGTGGATACCAACTTAAAGCGGAACTCAAGAACCTGGAAGACTCCATCCATAACCTGCAGTAGGAATCGTCCAACGGTCTAAGACACTCGAAAAAATTTCTCAGAACTTACGACCGTAGAAAATCAAAGATTTTCATTGAATTAAATAAGAACAATCTTCAGATTATCACGGAGATTTTAACAGGCCACTGTCTCCTCAATGAAACCCTCAGTAGCAAAGTCAGTAGATTGAAGCTAAGAAACAACGACGAATGGAAGTTCTGTGGGGAAATGCGGGGAAACACCAGAACATCTCATGGGTATTTTAAAGGCACTTTACGTAAAAGATATCAGCGTTTACTTAGTTAGAATAATTCGAGCTTATTTATCTAAAAGATTCGTATAAATAGACAAATATGGAAAAATGTTCCGTAAGGTTCTATTTTTGGTCTCGCCTGGCCGTGAACCTGTTCTACGATAATATTCTTCATCTTCACATGGATTATGGATGTTAGCATCTCTTACGCTGACGATCTGAGTAACTACGAGTCAAAGCCAAAGCATTCTAGTAAACAAAAATCATGGTTGGGGCAATGGTAAAGAATCAGCTGCAAGATGGGACTAGAACTGGCAATTAAAAATCAAAAGCTCTAATACTGACTGGCCGTAAGAAAATATCGTAAATAGAAACAGAAATAGATGTACATAGAATAGAAAGCATGCGAGCAATAAAATTTGATAATTATTACACAAGTTAATAAATCACATGAGAGAGATAATCTATATTAATATATATTCTCTGCACAGATAATATTGGAAAAGAATGTTGTGTCGCAGAAGTTGTAAAATACCTAGTAGAAAGTGAACAAGAGTGGCAGAATGCAGTAGGACTTATGAAATATATCATAACGACAAAGATTTCTGAAAGAGATACATAATCTCTACGAACGCTTACTACAATGAAGTAATGCAAAAGCGGACTCCGTTGCAGATGGTTTTTTTGGTGAGGATTTTCTCTATTCTTCTTCTTTCCTAGATGTCTTATGTAAGATTTTTCCTCAGCACCACACAAAAAAAGCTTCAGATTTGAAGTAATACCTTTAGATGGTTCTAAAATTGAAGGCTGTTCTATAAACAGATGGGTTAGAGTTGATAGGAATACTACCTTGATCGTCCAAGACTATCGATTCGAAGTTGGTCAAAGAATGCCTAAAAAAGCTCAACAAATTAGACAAATAAAATAAAGTCCTCCTACTCTGGGTGCCTGCTCACCAAGGGATAGAAGGCAATGAAAAAGCAAATGATCTAGCTAGAAAAGGAGCGAACACTCCAGTAACTAGACTAGAACAGTTCTGTTTTCCAAGCGGGAACCAAGTGAAAGCGGAACTGAGGAATCTGCAAGACTCCATCAGTAACGTGGAATGGGTGTCCTACAACGGTCTAACACACTTGAAAAAGTTCTTCAGAACTTACGACAGAGAAAAATAAAAAAGGTTTTCCTTAATTTGAGTAAAAACAATCTTCGGATTGTCTAACAGGACACTGTCTCCTCAACGAACACCTCAGTAGGCTGAAGCTGAGAAACAACGGCGAATGCAGATTCTTTGGGGAAAATAGAGAACATCAGAACACCTTATCACTGAGTGCGCCGAGACGACGACCATTCGAGCCATGAACTTTTGTACGGCTGATGTCGAGGATGGAGAGCTGGCCTCTGTGGAGCCCTCTCAGTTATTGGCTTTTGTTAAAGCCCTGAGACTCTATGACGAGTTATAACTCGTTATAACTCAAGAAAGGGGAGCACACAATAGAGATCTGTAAGATCGCGGTGATTAACTCCCCTCCTAAACATTCTACATTCTACATAAACAGATGAGTTTTAGTTGATAGGCCTACTAACTTGATTGTCCAACACTATTTTTCCTAGAATATAGAAAATCGCATGTTAAATTTACAAGCAGTGAATAATTCCAGTAATTGATAGTGCCAATCGTTTGTAGTTTGTTAAGTGGTCCCGCACATGCGTGCAATCATGTTGTTTTGGAGTATTTGTCATCAATAACACCTTATCGCTTTTGATTTCATGTTCATTGCTCCTGCTACATATAGTATACTACAAAATAACTATTTACTAGATAATCTATTTAAGATATAACTTTTGAGAACCCCTTAAAAACGTCTGATCAGCTAGATATATAAAACACGGGCTTGATAAATATATCAGTAATTCATATCGAATCTTTGTATTGTTAAATCAATTGCCTAAAGTTAAAATGCTGCTGTTGTCATTAGTTCTATCATTTTTATTGATGTACCAGGGCAATTGTATTTTTTTAGAAAAGTATACCTCAGATCCCGCGAATTTTGTCAAAAGTGTATTAAATAAAGTTAATAGAAGTGAAATAAGTTTAGAATCCGAATGTCTTTCACAGCTCGGCCAATTCGTGGATAACTTACAAAAATTCGATGATGGACTTTGGGCGTTACGAAGTAAGAATTCAAGTTTGCAGAGTTGTATTTCGGTAAATACACAGAGTTGTATTTTGGTTATTATTAAGGGAGTGTTTATTTATTACTGTATAGTATAGAGAGAACATTAAAATTTGTGCAATTTTAGAGTTCTGAAAAAAAATCATCACAGCCTCTATATTTTACATGCTACAGAGTGATATTGAAAATAGTGCAAATTCAGACCTTAATCATGTATCATACGTCTGACAACATCACAATGTGGCAAAAACTTCATGTTTATAAAACTGTTTTAGCACTTTTAATATTTCCTTTTTTAAAATACTACTTTTTTACGACATTCGCAATTATATTGCTACTTATTATAATATAGTATAAAAGCAAAAATCACCAATTTTTATAGTAGACATCTAAAATTTAATAGTAGGCAATGCAAAACAGTAATTTGGATGTAACCGACAATATCCAAACTTGGATATTGTCTATGTAATACGAGTATAACTTTATTCTTTGAGCTTCGTTCAGAACCTTGCAATTAGTGGTTTCAATTAGGGTAGAAGTTTGTTCCTCTAATTTTAATGCAAATTTTGATTTCGAACCACCCTCTTGACGGAATATAATCAAAGGGCAAAATTATATTTCTCGCAAATTTTTAAGTATAATTAGTGGAGAAGTTAAAAGCTTGGTAACTTTTTCTACTAATTGAAAATGTCTACCACAAATTTTGACGTTCTGAATGCATACATTGAAATTAAAGAATTTGCTGACAAATATACAACCTGTTCTACTTAAAGAAACCAGCCATTGTTCAATATTTTCCAAACGAAATATCAAAAAAAAATAACAAAGCCACTGAATAGCACATAAAAAATTCCAAAAGAATCTGTCATTACCTTTTTAAAACATTTAGACCACTGAAATACTAGGACTACCTGAAAATGCTGAACATTTCTATATCATCGTGTACCATGATAGTCACATTAAACTAAATAAAGGAACTGCAATTTCTATTTTTCTATCTTAAATAATACTTAAACTAAGAACATTTGATAGGATAGGAGATATTAAATAATGTTTTTGGTTAAAGCACGAGTGTTTTAGTGATTGACGCCACCGCAAAATGGCCAGCTGGGATAGCTAAAATAAATTGGGCATGGCTTGGAAGCTTTGACGAATGTTTGGAAATCGAAAGTAAAGCAAAAGATGTTCGAGGAAGCTACTGCCTTATATCAATCAGTCTGGAAAAATTAACCACGATGACATTAAGGGTAAAAATTAATCATTTCTTATAACAATCATTAAATGTAAGATTACGAAATGTATGTACTATACTCTCACGGCAACAAACTAGTAAGTGCAAGTAGTGGATTATAAATTTAAGATTATCAATCAGCTTTTGAATCTTTCAGGAATATATTAAAAAAGTTGTACTATAGTTTCAGTATTATATAGAACATAATATGTACTTTCCAGATTTTTTGTTATACTGACACTATAGTATGACTAATATTATGATCACCTTAAGGGAATCATCCAAAGTAACAAGTCGATTTGTTTAAAGTTTAGTTTACTTCACAATCACCAATCGAAATTTGAACAAATAAAGTAATTTGAGTAAATAAACGTAAAAATCATATTTATTTTTCATACCAACATGGGTCCGATTCTGCTTAGTTTCGTAGCTAGAGAATTCGAATGAAATTTTAAGGGTAAAACAGTTACCATACGTGCACCATATTTTAATGCTATAAAAGTGTCGATATATTCACCAGGGACGTACATATAGGTTATCACTGCAATATTTTTCTAAAAAAGACATGTGCGCCTCTGACTTTCTTTTTCCTTGTTGGCAAAATTGTGCAGGCTGTTTAAGGACAATTAAAAGTATCTTGATATTTTGTCGATTTCGATCTCCTTAATGAGATAAACGCAATTTTATTAATTTGCCTTAATCCAAATGATTTTATTAACTAAACAAAGTATTAAATAAGTACTAAGATTCCTCATCAAAAAATATGAAAAAAGTTCCTATAAACATGGGTACGAAAATGCAGAACTTTAAAGTCACAGTTATGTTATAACTTTAAAAAAAAATAGGGTTTTTGTAATTATCTTAAATATCGTACGTTTTCCCTTCTTCGTCGATTTATTAAAGCAATGGCAACAACGGCTTGTGAAAATTGTGAAAGCAGTCAGTCGGACCTTAAAAAAACACGGGGACGAACAGCGCAGACGGTCCACTCCATGTGAAACAGCAATTAACGTGAACAACACTTACCTAAAAAAATTCTAAATCAGTATGAATTACTAAAATAAACTTGATAATTGACTCATTATTATCTAATCTAATTTTGATCCAGTTATGTGATAAAGTATATAGTAATTGTTTAAATGGTTAGATAATGTATGGCATTAAGCAAAGAAAATATCCACTTTCGATTATCTGTTTGTTGACAAACTCTAGAATGAATAAATAAATATTGCACAAAAGTTTAAAAAATTATACAATAATCTATTAATAAAAAGAATATGTTCATGTGTGGACTTTATAAATATGGTTGCAGAGATCTCTGTGTATCTTTCCGTTCTTTCTAACTTAACTGTATAGAGAATTTATTTGATACTATTAATTTGCAAATAAACAAGCATCAAATATTTTCAGATTATCAATAAAACAAACAGTTATTAGATATATTACTCCAACTGATATAATTTTCACACCCAAAAATTGTTTAGAAAGTAATTACCTAAGTCTGTACTGTATATTTTATAAATTTATTTATTTATCATATTTTATCATTAACCTTTGTATGTTTATTATTATGTATCAAAAACAATCACTGTGAGTCATACGATATCATGAGGATCGTTTGTTTTTCAGAGTTGGCTTGGATCGGTGACATCTTATATATCACGATCCAATTCTATGCTGATTGTCATTGATCGTTGTTTCCAAGCCATCTCAGACATTTTTATCATATTTAGGTATATTTATTTAGTAAATGGATATTTTAGGGTGTCGAACGACAACGACTGATCGCTGATCACAAGAGAAAAGGTCGCGAATTTTCCAATACATCAGTAGTTTCCTTTTTGCCTTCCTTTGGTATTTGTGTTCCAAATAAATGTACTAGTGACATAGAGTCAATTATTGATGCGTTTGATGATTTCACTTCCATGCCATTTGATGTGATGTGTCAAACAAAAGATGACAATGTAGAAATAGATATAGGAGCCATAATTACAATGTAAGCTATATATAGTGTAATTAAGTTAGACATAATTGAAACAAAAAAAATATATTATAAAAACCGGTTGATCAAAAAAAATGTGTCAAAGACAGCTGGAAATGACAAACGATACTAATTTTGGCGAGGTCAATCTCTAGACGTCATTTACTAAAAATTGACATCAAACTTAAAAATTAACACTAATATAGAAATATTAAAAAAATAGGACATTTCTAGACACACAAATATATTTCCGAAAAATTATTGTTTTCTCGAACTTTAGACTACATTACAGACCATTTAAAAATATTTTTTACTAAAATAAAAATAAAGTACAACATTCAGGCCAACTGGCTGTAAGAGCCGTTAAAAAATAAAGAAGAGAACGAGCAATAGAAATTACGTCTAGGGCTTGACCTCGCCAAAATTATAACTGATTGTCATTCCCCAGCCGTTTTTAACGCCGTTTTTTATGTATATGTCAAACTCCTACTTACAATTCAGCTATTAGGGCAGACATTATTAGGTTATTTGAGTTTATCTATTATATTATACTTATAGTAGGAGAAATATACAGGTTGATCGATTTTTTGAATATTTTGAAATTTTACACTGTATAATTTAATCTTTATCTAATTTTCTAACCCTTTCTGCCTTGTTGATTTTCGTAAAGCAAAAATTAATAGTTTAATTAAATTATAATTATACCGGGTGCGTCTCAAAAGTGGCTCCCACCTATAACTTTTTTTATTTTTTCAGATAAATAAACTAAAATTGGTATGTTAGTATATGACTAGGATTGATTGACGTATTCGGTTGTTTTCGGTCACTTCCCGTTTCACCGGAAATGAATACAACTTTTGATTTTTAAATGGCGCCTTCGATATTTTTTTACTTTATTCGATAGAAATTCGATTAAAAAATACAAAAAAATCTGAATAGACATATCATATGTCAACTTTTGACATTTTCGCTTAAAGCAAAAATCGTATTTTAAATTTCAATCTGGAGTTTCATGGCTGCGTTAAAAATACTAATTTTTAATCAAGGACCCTTGGAAAAATAGATTTGATCATTTAATGTTTTTAGTGTCTTATCCTGGCCGGTTAAAAGATGCCCAAATCGTATTTTAATAATATCTCAATTTTTTCAAATAGAACGATGATGGCTCATTAGTATATTTGAAAAAAGCATTTTTTTACGAATAATTTGGTACCACACACTTGGTATTTCGAGTCAAATTATCGTTACGAATCGCATATTGCAATTTCAAATAAACGATATTCGAAAATTTCAAAAGTTGACATATCATTCTATTCAGAGTGTCATTTTCTATCGAATACAGTAAAAAAAATACCAAGAGTGCCATTTAAAAATCAAAAGTTGTAGTCATTTCCGGTGAAACAGGAAGTGACCGAAAATAATTGAATATGTCAATCAATCCTAATTTATGTCATATACTAACATACGAAATTTCGATTTTTGATCTGAAAAAATAAAAAAGTTTTAGAGGTGAGCCACTTTTAAAACGCACCCAGAATATAAAAGTGTAAATGAGAAGTATCTTTAAGCATATTGATTTCCTTATTCAGTTAATGATCTTTATTTCTCTGCCATATCTCTCAATTATGACCAATATATGTTTTTTGATTTATGAGCATATAATGAATTTATATATGAATGTAAATAACATTAACGAATATTTTTCAGAGGATTCTTTGGAGCATTTATCGCTCTAATGTTATTATCTACAGCATATGACACATATTACCAATTTCAAAAACAAGGTAAGTTGATGCTTAACATATACTCAAATATCAGAATTATTATAATGAAACAATTAATTAAGAAATAATGTTAAGGTACAATGTAGCCAAGAATAATTATTATGATTGATTAAAACAAAAATTTCTTTTAAGATAAATTTGAAGATAATAAGACCAAGGACAGTCATTGGTCAATCATATTGTAATTATTTTTAAATTGAACCACTCAATTTTTGAGTAGATATTTAGGTCTAGTATAACTATAAGTTTGCCATAATGCCATCTTGAAAATGTTCTTAGCCGACTGGCTACCATCATAATTATTATACTGTAAATGTTTAGAGTTCCAAAGTACGTTTTACTAAGAATTTTCATGTTATTAATACGGACTCGTGTACTTGGCAAACATTTGTTATTGGCAAACAGGGTTCGGCAAAAGTGCTTTGGTCATCTGTAGCTCCTATAATAAACAACTTTTCTACGAGAAATTTTCTATAAGTACAAACCTGAAGTATGTATTAGATACATCCTAATGATATCATGAAAATATTTTAACTTCTACAGGGTGACTCAAAAATGTGTGAGTGGATCGGAATGTTTTTTTTAAATGGAATACATTCTATATTATTATTATTACATTGTTGGCATCCCTCCTGATCACTTTACATGATCCTAAGATATTATTAAATATGTTTTTGTAGTTTCAGAGGTATTAATAAATAAATAAAAAAATATATATTTTTTAGCCATTTTTAAGAAAAATATTAAAAATACAATAAATGCCCTGAAATAAAAACTATATATTACGTACTATACGTTACATACTTTAGATTTGCACTTAATACACATACAAAATTTCTGAGTTGTTTATTACAGTAGCTATATAGGTTAGCTACAGATGTCTAACACACTATCGCCTGACCCTGTATGCCATTAACAAATGTTTGCCAAGTACAGAAGTTGTCAGAGCCTGGTTTGAAGTTGAATACCTGAATAATATTTTTCGACGGAACCACAGTAATTTTAATGCCATCAATGAGAAAAAAATTACATTTATTTTATACCTAGAAGATGCAATAAATAATAAAATTTTTGAAATTTTAGTTAAACCACATCCAATTCTGGCCTCATTTTCTGTATATAGTAACGGAAAAAGCCTTTTCCACATAGCAAAGAAAACAGAATTATCTTGTTTAAACGGAATCAGATTTCTCAGCATGATGTGGGTTGTACAAGGACATGTAGCATCCATGGCGATAGTTAGTCCCTTAGATAATCTGTATGACATTTTTGAGGTAGGTATAATGAAAAAAAATTCATGCATACATGTGGCGGATTCATCTCTCCAAAAAATCCTATATCGGTATTTCGCCACTGCAAGAAAATCTACAAAATAAAATAGTTACTTTTTTTTGTTACTTTTTACTTTGTTTCTGCTGCGTTAATCCAACGGAGACTACTTGTCAGCAGTTAGGTTTACTGAAAAACAAATTTGCCTAACGAACAAAAAAATGCTTAACGTTTCGGAAAGTTTATCTCTTTCCATCGTTGGAAGCAAAAAATACAAAGGATAAAGAAAAAAAACTATTTAAAATATTTAAATGCAACTATTCGAAAAAAAAGGTTTAATTATAATTTAGTTGAAATCACCTCAATTACAAAATAATATTTTGTTTTTTTTTCAGTATCTGCAACAAACCAGAAGTTTATTTTACGTAAGTGGGACCTTGTCGGTTGATTCCTTTTTCTTTTTATCAGGATTTCTTCTAGTGTATGTTTTCATGAAATCGATGAAAGCTGGTACTAAATTCAATATAATATATTTTTATGTTCACCGTTACCTTAGGTTAGTATCCTTACAGTAGTTATTTGAATATAGATCTATTTTAAATAACTTCAAATAGCACACTTAAATATAAAGGACTTAAACATATAATAGGTATCTGTTCTAAACTTAAATTTAGTAAAACTTAATTTTATAATAATGCCTATACAGTAGTAGAAGTGAAATATTTTTGAATTTATCAATATTTAAATTTACATGGTAGACACTTACACCTTTCTTATTTGCGGTTAGACTATCATTAAAAATCTCCCACAAAACAATCTACATTACTTTGACTCTTAAACACGCTCTACACTATTCGGAGAATAGAACGAAATAGGCCACGATCGCGTTTTGTCACCTAACTTCGTCGCGTTTCTGCTTATCTCCGGTTGTCTTGACCAAAACTACTATCTGTACCCGAGGCAAAGGATTTTTTTCATAAATCTCAGTGAAATAAGTAAATCTAGACGTTTCTAAAATATCTGTTGTTACGATGATATTTCGTTAATTACATCTCGTTTTTTGTTGATATATATTCCAAAAGATTAATATTTGAACACGCGTTTATAATATGTAGAGTAGATATTTAAGAACGTTTGTTTACGCGGCCTTAATTGATTAATACAACAGTAGTATTATTTGATGAGTAATACGGGCAACATCATCAGTATATCGAACTGATTGGGAAAATTATTGATTAACCCGATGTTAATAAAAAACACTTTTATATATAATAATAACATGGTTTGATATAAATCCATTCAAAAATAAGAAATAATTAGACGATTTTTTTAAATACCGTGAATTATAACCTATAAAAGACGGACCGCCAGAATAGTTAGTCACTGCCTATAGTGCCTTTTGCCCAGCAGTTTTACAATTTTAAGTTTTGGAATTATATTTTTTTACTATATTGTGTGTTTTTGCAAAATGTTCTACGAAATATTTCCAGAAATATTTCGTAAAACATATCGGGGATAGTGTAGAGGCTGTTTAAGGAAATCTACAAAATAAAATAGTATTTTTTTGTAAACACCAAACATTTAAAATGAAATTTAGTAAACTAAATGTTAATATTCTGATAATTATCTTTAAATGTTAATTTTAGACTGACGATACCTTTTATACCAGTAATACTAGTGTTTACTTTTCTTGCCAAATACTTTGGTTCTGGACCTCTATATCCACAAATAGATGCATCTTTAGGGAACGTTTGCAGGAAAAACTGGTGGAAAAGTATATTGTATATACAAAACTTCTTCGGAGAGTACGTTGCGGTACGAATGCAGAAAAACATAATATTTTTTTAGTACAATTTCAATGGTTTTAGTGTAACGAACAAACCTGGTATTTAAATGTCGACTGGCAACTCTACCTTGTCTCTCCTATAATATTGCTCCTTCTATACAAAATACCATTAATTGGAGTACCTCTCATAGGCATAATTTCGCTGGCTTCGATGATCGGAAATTATATCATAACGACACATTATCAGTTGCCTGCCTTATTAAGCAATTTTAGGTATGCCAATTCATTTCACGCTAACTTTCTTATTCTAAAGAGTTAATATCTAACTTCTAGAAACTTCGAGGACTACTTTTTGAAATTCTACGTGCAACCCTATACGAGAGCACCTCCATATTTGATTGGAACACTAGTAGGATATTATGTAGCACAAATCAAGATTTATAAAACGGTTGATTTCAGAAAAACACCTAGAGTAAGTATGATCCCAATAAAAGTGTTTAATAAGAAATAGTTAAATTTACAAAGGTTGTTCTACAGAAGAAATAGAGAAATGCATTGGTATAGCAAAGAAAGAATGAAAAAGGTTATATTGCTAGATAAACACACACTAGATAATAGAAAGAAACAAAATAATTCATTCTTAATAAATTCTAGCTCTAATCCTAACCTAACCTAACCAAATCATCAAATTACCAATGAAAAATCTGCAATTTGGCTAGCAAGTGTTAAGTATGGTATGTGGAGCAGTTTTTGTTTCTTGCTCGACAGTATAAATATATTTGAAAGTAGTTCCAAAAGAAATTTATTCTTATTTCTTAATTTTATAACATAAAGGAAATAATTATTCACAATTCATTTATCATACAATAAATTTATTAACATGTATTCACATAAATATCTTCTTGGACTTATTGTCTTTAATTTGGTTACTCTGATAAGTCTACTCAGCAAAATTATATAAAATTGTAAAACAGATTTATAGTACACCAGCCTGAGGGAAATGTTATCTTTCTTAATTATTCCATATGTAAAAAAATTAAAAAAAATTTGGGGAGTAGCCAAACAAATATTAGGCGTTTAATTAAAAAAACAAATCTGGAACTACTCTAAGAAGCGTCTTGACAAAAATAAAACCGGAAATATCTAAAAAAAAAGTGCAACCATCAAATATCTTCTAAAGACAGCTAGCCGTTAATTGGAGAAACAAATCGTCGTCTACAACTTATATATACAGGGTGAGTTTTCTACGATGTTCTCTATGGGTATCTCGGAAACTACTACGGAAACTACTGGTCGGAAGAGAGAGAATCGGTTAAATGGGGAAAGAATTGCAGTTTTGTGGGATCATAAATATGCGCCTTTTAGATTTTTTAAAAATTTCATCATGGCTTACTAGATATTTCGAAAAAAAACAAATTTTGGCTATTTTAATAATGGTCCCTAAATCCATTATAATACATTTTAGACAAAAAAATTTCAGGTAAAAGTTGTAGATGATCACATCCTTAATGAGATTCTGTTCTTCGTCTTTTTTTAAAGCCTGTCATTTTTGACATATGACACTAACTTATGTTTTTTTAAATGGAAACCATAGTTGGCCATGACTTCATAAAAAGCGCCATTTTTTAAGCTTTATTTATCGATATAAGCTATAATATGGGTTTTTTCAAAAATTACTGAGTTATAGCCAATTCTTATCATTTTTAAACAATTTCACTTAATAAATTGTACTGAAGCTGTGGTTGGTTCCTTGTGAAACATCGTTGAAATATTAGTATTTTAATAAAGCACGCTTTTAGATGTTTCAAAAAACTTTTAATAAGAGTAACTTTAACTCAACATATATGTTTCGGCTTGTTAGGCCTTTTTCAAGAGTTATATATAACAATATTTTTCAAGAGTTATATATATATACATAACTCTTGAAAAAGGCCTAACAAGCCGAAACATATATGTTGAGTTAAAGTTACTCTTATTAAAAGTTTTTTGAAACATCTAAAAGCGTGCTTTATTAAAATACTAAAATTTCACTTAGTTAGCCATGGAAACAAGTCCAATTGTCTTTGCTCTCAGAAATATCAAACTGTCACATCCAAACTTTGTAAATTAAAATAACCAAAAATTGTATATATAAATTTTTCAAATAAGTAGTAAAGCGGGTAGGATTGGTTCAACTTTTCTTGGCCATACATTTTCGAGGATACGTTACATACGCTTTTTAGAGAACGGTTTTCAAGACATGTTAGAAAAGTTAAATTTAGAGACTCGCGCATCAATGGAGTCGAGGTTCCAACATGTCTTTCATTATAACACTCCGCCCCCCCCCCATAATGAGAAAAATGTTAAAGGTTATTTATATCATAATATCATAATTATTCAAACTCAGGGATAGGAAGAGGTGGACTAATTGCATGGGCCTCCTCGATCAACTGACCTATCCATTTTAGATTTTATGCGGTATATTTTTTGAACATTTTCTAAAATAAATTAAAGTGTAGGTATGTAGTGATATTATTTTCTTAAGTTTTAGTTTGTGTAATGTAAATCATAAAGAACCGTTTAATAAAATATTCTGTCTTTTTGTAAGTTATAAATTATAATAATTAAATAAATAACAGAATAAGAATACCATACAAACTAAGTCAAGAAAAATAAGATTGGCTATAACACAGTAATTTTTCGAAAAAAACATATTATAGCTTATATCGCTAAAAAGCTTAAAAAATGGCGCTTTTTATGAAGCTATGACCAACTATAGTTTCCATTTAAAAAAACATAAGTTTGTGTAATATGTCAAAAATGACAGGCTTTAGAAAAAAACGGAGAGCAAAGTCATATTAAGGATGTGATTATCTACAACTTTTATCTGAAAACTTTTTGTCTAAAATAGATTACAATGGAATTAGGGACCATTCTTAAAATAGCCGAAATTTGTTTTTTTCGAAATATCTAGTAAGCCATGAACTTTTTCAAAAATCTGAAAAGCGCATATTTATGACCCCACAAAACTGCAATTCTTTCCCCATTTAACCGACTCTCTATCTTCAGTAGTTTCCGAGATACCCATAGAGAACATCGTAGAAAACTCACCCTGTATAAAGGGGATCTAGTTTAAGTATTTAATACTCATTTCCAAATACAGCCTATTGCTGCCTTCCCGTTACCCTACGCCACACAACTCGATTTAGAGCGTCATCAGCTTCTAGAATTCCATTGCGTCCTTAACCGTTCCGTTCCAGGATTTTCTAAAAATAAAATAGAAATCAATGATTTCTATTTTATTTTATTTTATATATTCTGAATCAGTACCACATATTCAGTACTATGTAGATTGATCACTCGCTGAAGTATATTAGCTCACTAGCTGTAGGATTTAGATGAATTAAAACTAGTTTTACGAAAATTTAGGACAATACCAGTTCATCCGTTTCTACCACTTTCCAAGAAACATTTATTCACTATTTAACTTTTATATCATTTTTGAAACTTTCAAGTCAAATAATGTACACATCCATAAAAGGTGATACGAACAATGTTACTTTCATCTATTTTTAACAGGTACACGGTAGTTTCTTTGTACTAAATATGAAAATTCTTAATCAATTAAAACTGATTGATTTTTAATTAAAAATTGTTTTTGTCACTTTTCAAAGCTTTCAAATATACGAATTATTGAATTGAAAAAAATACTCTCAAATAGATTTTTAGTAAATGTTATGCTCCACAAGAATCCGCGATGTAATTTTTTTTATCGTAAACCGTTTCAAAGTTATGGTACTTTTAATGGAAAAATATTTTTTTTTACGTGTTATTTAAATGAAAAAGTTTGAATGGTTCACCGACACCCTTTAAAAGTGAGCTAAAAATCCTGTCTTCCGGGGATATTTTTTCTCGGTTATTAGGTTCATTTTAACCCATAAATTCCATAGGTTAGTTTTTAGCTCACCCTAATCTACAACAATATTGATAGCAATAATATTAAAAGACTAATTTTTTAGATCGTCATATATGGCCTTTGGGTTACAATTTTGGCAGTCATGCCCATTTGTGTATTTGCTGGGATGGAACAATTAAATAATGCTGATTACAATGCCGTTGCCAATTCACTACACAATGCCTTGGTAAAACCAACCTGGGCTCTCTGTTTAGGATGGATAGTTATAGCTTGCGCCAACGGATATGGAGGTTAGTAGATTTGAATTCGGTAGAGGCATATACAATAGTAAAAATTATATATTAAATATTTAACTCTCATTAAATGTATAATTAGTGTTTCTATGTCTTAAAATATTTTTGTGAAGCTTCCAGAGTCGTTATGATGGATTTCAAAGATATCCAATTTCCTATATTGAGCTACCCTGTAGAAGTTAAAATATTTTCTTGAAATGCATCCTAATACGTACTTTAGGTTTGCACTTAAACAAATTTCCCAAGTTTTTATTCTAGAAGCTACAGATGCACGACGCACTATTGCCGGATCCTGTATAAAGTTTCTTTCATACCTAATAGTTTTTATTCTTTTTAGGTATAATTGATGGTTTCTTATCACTACCAATTTTCCAAGTTCTTAGTAAATTCACATATGCTATATATCTGCTGCATTACGGATTGGCGAATATTATTATGGCAAATGCAAAAGGTCCAATACATTTTTCGGAGTTCAATTTAGTAAGTTTTTTCTTCCCTATTGTTCTCATGTTCTAGTTTTCAGATTTAAACTTATTACAATAATTATTGTGTTATTAATATATCAATAAATAGATTTTTTTTTCTTAACCATATCCTTATAAGGACATAAGGACACAACGGCATAGACATTTAAATTGTATTATATTAGCAAAATAAAAACATTAATTCTCCATCTCTTTCGCTAACTATATTATCATTATTAGTAGATAATAAAAACTGATGATGCTAACATGGTTAGCGATCTGCTCATCCAGTGTTAGGAGTAAGGTTTTGAGATTTGTGGTGAATTAGTGTTTTTATTTTGCTGTTGTAACATTAAAGGTTTCAACTCCCAAATGAAATCTTTTACTTTACCTAAATATTTTTTCATATTTCAATAACAACAATCATATAACACAATCAAACAATATCTTAATTTTTTATATATTTTCAGCTATATTCCTTTTGGTCTCTGTTTATGCTGTCATTTGGTTTGTCCGTTTTTTGGGTCCTTGCATTTGAATCTCCAATAGTTATATTAGATAAATATTTATCAGGACGTGGTAGATCGAAATCTCATGTAAGTAAACTGTTCAATCAAAATAATAGAAATATACTAAGAAATTTTATTTGTTCTAGAATACCAATAAGGTCGGAGAAGGAAACTTAGGAGAAGTTGAAGTTGGAAAGAATTAAAAATAGGCATAGTTTTTTTTTATTTCCACGTTTCAAACATTTATTAGATCTACTTATTTCATATTTATTTTTATGCAATAAAAAATACACTTTTGTATATTATGTGATAATTAATGTGTATGACTTTTTACCTATTAATTACCATGTCCAATTATACGTTATAAACTCTTTATAACTCAATAGTAGTAATAATAATAAGTCAATTCACACACAAATATCATCCACCACCCATAGTCAAAAATAATAATTTCAAGATATACTGGGATAAAACAATCTTAACAAATAACACCGTTAGAAGTAACAGACTATATGACTATAAATAAGATTTAAAAATCCGTTTGCCAAAAATAAGCTTTTTACGTCAAGCAGTTTAAGCAGAATCGTGGTTAAGAAATTACCCAACTTTTGGGAACACCCTGTATAATTTTTTAAAACATTTCAAAATATGTAAAAAAACCAAATAAATTATGCTTGTCCAAGCGTTTTCCCGAAAGACTAACCGTTTTTTAAATAACAAATATTGTAATATTTGAGGGGCGTTTTACCCGCTTGAAATTTGAGATTCGAGAAACCCCTCCTTATCGAACCTCTACACCCCACAGTCAATCCGTTTGCCAAAAATTAGCTTTAAACGTCAAGCAGTTTAAGCAGAGAATCGTGATTACTCAATGGTCATATTTTATGAAACACCTGTATACATTTATAAAAATCTTAAAATATGTAAAACAACAAAATAAAATATACGTGTTTAGAGTTTTTCCGAAAAACTCACCGGTTTTTAAATGAAAAATATTTTAATATTTGAGGGATAGTTTCACCCCCTTAGAATTCGAGTTTCAAAAAATCTCTTCTTATCGAACCTCTATACCCAAGTCAACCTGTTTTCCAAAAATCAGGTTTATACGTCAAGAGATACATTTTTAAAAATCTTAAAATATGTAAAAAAACAAAATAAAATATACGTGTTTAAGCGTTTTTTCGGAAACTTGACCGTTTTTTAAATAAAAAAATATTGTAATATTTGAGGGGTGGTTTCACCCTCTTGGAACTGGAATTTCGAAAAATCCCTTCTTATCGACCCTCTACACCCTAGAATCAACCTGTATGCCAAAATTGAGCTTCTTCCGTTGAGAGGTTTGAGCAGGATCGTGATTAATCAGTATGTCAGTCACTTAAGGATTTTATATATTAGTATAGATTTATATGGGAAATGTCATTGATGTCAGCCAACTGGACGCCATTTTTTTCGATCATGCGGTATTTTTAATCGTATTGTATTTCAGTTAGATTAATAAAATCCGTATATAAAATCTCACTTTTGTATTTATCTTCCACTTGCTATTCAAGAGACAATACAAATCAAAGGTTATTTAAATTGGGTTTAAACAAATATGTAGGTACATTTCAGTGCAATATTATGAAATTTAATTATTTTTGAATTGTTGCGTGAAAAAATGGAATTTACGCAAGGTATTCAAGACAAATTTTATATTACAGAGTAGCCCACTGTTCTGAAAAATATCTGTTTCGATTTGACATTTTAAACTTTATTTCTTACAGAAAATAAATTAAATTTTAGAGATTTTAACTATCATTACTATATAATAGTGATGGAATGAATTATTAGAACGCTTAGAATTCTTTTTATCTGAAAAAATAAAAACGTTATATGAACCACTTTTGAGACGCACCCAATATAACTACTTACGGTCACAATGTACTGATTTATTATTCTTCAATACGTTTCTAGACATAAAAGAGACTAATATGATCTAATCTACCTCAAAATATCCATTCCGATAAATAAGAACACACGATAGGCATGCTACTGTACTAAAAAAATGTAAGGAGATAAAACAATTGAATAGTAATTGTCTTAAGATAGGACATATTTTAAATGCTCTTGAAACTGATTATTCAGTCATCTGAATATAAAATAAGTAACAAATTAAATCGCTTGGTATTAACACATTTTTTTTATCAATTTACTAACATCTTCTCTTTAAATTCTCCAGTCAAGTTTATACATTTTTGTCCATATAGAATGAAATTTTTACCATTATTTATATTTTTTGTGGTAATATGTTCCGGTAACTGCAGTTTGCTTCAAAATTACACAGCTAATCCTGAACAACTGATCAAAAGTGTGTTAGACAAAGTTAATAGTAATGAATTGGAACTCAGCTTGGACTGTGTTGCTCAACTTTTGGAATTTCTGGGAAATCTCGCAAGTTTCAGCGATGGATTGTGGGCATTGAGAAGTAAGAACCTAATTATTTTATATAAATATAGTAAATGAGTGGAATGACAAATACAGGGTGAGTTTTCTACGATGTTCTCTATAGGTATCTCGGAAACTACGAGAGATAGAGAGTCGGTTAAATGGGGAAAGAATTACAGTTTTGTGGGGTCATAAATATGCGCCTTTCAGATTTTTAAAAAAGTTTATGGCTTACTAGATATTTCGAAAAAAACAAATTTTGGCTATTTTAAAAATCGTCCCTAATTCCAGTATACTCTATTTTAGACAAAAAAATTTCAGATAAAAGTTGTAGATAATCACATTCCTAATGAGTCTGTGTTCTCCGATTTTTTCTAAAGCCTGTCATTTTGGACATATGACACAAACATATGTTTTTTTTTTAAATGGAAACCATAGTGGTAGCTGAAAATAAATTTGGCTAAAAACAAAACCATTACAGTATTTATGAACACATATTTAATTATTTTCTTAGACGAAAAAAAAAGCAATTATATGTATCAATTAATTAGAAAGACAATCCAGTAACTTTTTACATAAAAACCGATATTTTGATTTTAATATGCCGGGTGCGTCTCAAAAGTGGCTCACTCCTATAACTTTTTTATTTTTTTAGATAAAAAAGCGAGATTTGGTATGTTAGTATATGACATAAATTAGGATTGATTGACATATTCAATTGTTTTCGATCCCTTCCGGTTTCACCAGAAATGAAGCAAGTTTTAAATGGCACCCTCGGTATTTTTTAGAATGACATATCATATGTCAACTTTTGACGTTTTCGCATATGGTTTATTTGAAATTGTAACCTGTGGTTCATAACGAATATTTGACTCCAAACCAAGTGTGTGGTATCAAATTGTTCATAAAAAATGTTTTTTTCCAAATATGCTAATGAGCCACCCTCGTTCCATTTGAAAAAATTGAGATATGATTAAAAATACGATTTGGGCATCTTTTAACCGACCAGAACAAGGCATTAAAAACATTAGACGATCAAAACTATTTTTCCAAGGCTCCTTGATTAAAAATGAGTGTCACTGCCATGTTTAACACAGCCATGGCACTCTAGATTGAAATTTAAAATAAAATTTGTTTTTGAGCGAATATGTGAAAAGTTGACATATGATATGTCATTCGATTCAGAGTGTCATTTTCTAACGAATAAAGTAAATAAAAAAACCGAGGGTGCCATTTAAAAATCAAAACTTGTAGTCATTTCAGGTCAAACAGGAAGTGACGGAAAACAATTAAATACGTCAATCAATCCTAATTTATGTCATATACTAACATACCGAATCTCGCTTTTTTATCTGAAAAAATAAAAAAGTTATAGGGGGTGAGCCACTTTTGAGACGCACCCTGTATATTTATTTATTTGCGACAAATAATAAATAGACAAAAAATACTTGTATATAATTTTTTTTATTCTTCTTATTTTTTATGTTTATATTATCGCAATATTCCTTTATTAGAAATAATTTAAATATATTATAAAATATTTAAAATTACAGAATGTCAAGTACTGTTTAATTAAAAATTCTCAGGCATTTATTAAAATACGGTATTTTTATAGTACATAGATTTTATACTATATATATCTATAATTACACATATGCCCCGCACTAAAGATATCAGTTCATATTAAGTTTAAATAAACAAAACAGTACATAAAAGCTACTTATTTCAATGAAAATGGTTTGGTTTGGTGTTAACTTGTTTCTTTGAACTACTTGAAACCATTTTGTGTATTTTATCAAATCGGTGTGAGAAACTATGAAGCTATAAAATGTTTCGGGAGAGTTGAATATCCGGGAAAATTGAGTTATTGAATGTTATTGCACCCAACAACGCTCTAATTACGCTCTCCTTTACGCGTTAACATTTTTTCAGCAATTTTATTAACATTTGAAATTGTCACAACACAACACGACGCCTACTTCGGGTTCTTGTTCATTTATTTTTTACTACCCGAAACAGCGTTACATCACACAAACTCGTATGAGTGTTTTATAGTTTGAATGACTGCACTAGCATAAAACTAAAATACTTAAGTATTGTTACAAAGGCACGATTTCAATATTATTTTAATGCGATCAACATGAACTGTAACCGGGACGGCGTAAAATGCATAGCAAAAATTTCTGATTTCTGCCGTATGGAGCGCTGCGGTCGGAATTTTTTAAAATCAACTGATATGCACCAAACCTATAGTGTTACGTTAAAAACTAATCAAGTAATACCAACTAAAGATACAACACCTGCTAAGGCCTAAAATTTAAGCCAAACATAAAATTTTTAATTAAAAGGTACAGTAAAACTCTAAAGATATTCAGGGAAAAAAGTATTTTAGGATAAAACTTTATTTTAAGGGTGGTAACGAAATAAACTAAATAGAAAATATTTTAGTGATTGATGCTACAGCAAAAGTGCCTGCTGGGATTGCAAAAATAAACTGGGCATGGTTGGGAAACTATGACGAATGTTTGGAAATAAGTAACGGCAATCGGGATGTTCTAGGAAGTTACTGCCTCATATCAATAAATATAGAAGGATATACCACAATGGAAATGAAAGTAAGAATAGAATAAATCAAAACAATCGTTATAATAAAATAAATAAAATTTAATAAAAAGTCTCTCCAACCAGATGTATAAAGACTTTACCCTACTTTACAGTGCTCCGAACTGCAAGGTTCCACTTTTACTTTTTTTATTATCGTATTATTAGGTATTATACAGGGTCCGGAAATAGTGCGTCAGGCATCTGTAGATTGATCCAAGTTCAAAAAGACATTTTAGTATTTTAGTTTTAGATTTAGATGTTTTATGAGTTTAATAGTTAAGTAAAGTAAGTAAATAAATGTAAAATTTGCACATATATTATCGATAATAAACAGAGTCATAATATCACATTCATTATTATCTGCCTTATTATTTATAAGTAATTAACAATAATATCATGTAGTAATTTGTAGATATTTTCCTGAGGAAATGATTTTGACTATAATCCGGTTTATCAGTTCCTTTCTAAAGTAGGTTTTTGTTTATAGATAACAGGTAATTCTATATTACGTAGTTATTTCCTAATCTGATATGGCTATTGAATTTTTTATAGACACAACAAATTTAATCATATCTAGAAAAAAGAATATTTTTTAATTGACTTAATCTTAAGTACTTATTAGTCTTTATATACTCTATAAGAAATATTTAGACATATAATATCATTTAAATGATCTCATTTTTTTTAATGATATAAATAATTCTCGCGTCTATCTCAAGTGTTGTTATAGGAGATACCCAAGAACAGGATATTCAGAAGAAATCAGTACCTACTAGATACCGATACATATTTAAATACTGATAATTTTTTCAAACAACGTACAGGGCATATTGCATGACATGTACGAGTATACAGGGTGCTACAAATTCGAGATACGAGCATTGGTATCTCGGTAGCCGTAATAGATACGAACATGGTTAAATTGGAACAAAGCTGCCCGCTTTGGGATGTTCACCAAGATTCCATCAAAAAAGTTTTTAAAATTTAAAGGATTGCTGAGTTTTTGGAAAGAACGGATTTTTTTGACAATCAATTTTATTTTTTCCTGTCGTTACTTTTTAGAAAATCAAAAAACTAATTGCACAGTCTCATAACCACTTTATTAGGGCTATCTGATAGTAGTTTTATATTTTCAAATTAGATGCTAATTTGTGAGATACGGAGGCCAACTTAATTTTTTTAAATACGGATCTGCATTTTTAATTTCAGGTTTTGAAAGAACTCGGTCTCCTGAGTATAGTGATATGCCACATTTAATACATATTCACTAAAACTTGGGTTAAAAACACTATATCCGAAAAGTGGTTAAAAACTGTAGTGAATTTAATTTTAATTAATACTTAGCTATATTTTCCTAAACACCAAGGATAACAGAATAAAACCGGCTAAAAATATTACATTTTCTTATACAGAGTATTTTTATGGTATCGCCAACATAGAATATTTCAAATGTTATATTACTTTTTTAAATACAACACTCTGTATATTATTTTTCTTTTAGATCAGAATTAAAAAGTGGACATTTTTTATTTACAGTGTTCCTAATTTTTTAACGGTTTGGCAGATATTTGCGATATTATATTACATATGGCATTTCCAACAGTAAATTTTTATCAAAGCCACGTAATAAGATGATCTTTGTCTTGTATTTTACCGTTAAAACCCCCTATGCATTATAATACAGCAATTATCTGTCGATGTCGGTAAAAATTTGGGAAAACTTTAAATGCAAAAAATCATCATTATTTAAGTCTGCATCTAAACGATATACAGGGTGGTCCGAACTGTATTCCGGAAACTTCGACAGCATATTACTATATATAAGTGTTTTTAACCCAAGTTTTAGTAAATAACAAATAGAATGGTAACACCGCATAGTGCTTCAAATAAAAATAGTGAACTACATGCAGAATTTTATGCTGAATTCAATTATCTGCAGAAAAAAATGGGGGCGCAATTTAAAAAATATCACTTTAAAAAAAATACTTTATAACTTAAAAATTATACTTTATCATAAATTATTTTTGTAACACCCTGTATATAACAAAATATTTTTAGGATATGCACCATTATAAATCATGCAACATCATTATAAAACTGTTTTGAATATTTTCGGCAACAACGACGATATTGGATTTCTCGCACTAATGGGCCACATTGTATATTAAGTATTTCAATTTTTTTAAACAAGAATCATATTTGCTTATGCATGATTTTAAATTTTCTTCCAGGCTATGGAACGGCATCGTCTGATTGCTGAGCATAAAAGACTAGGCAAAGAGTTTTCCAATGTGACAGTCGCATCATTTTTACCTGCCTATGGTGTGTGTATTCCAAACAAATGTGCTGGAGAAAATCTACAAGCAATAATAAATATCTTTGACGGATTAACATCAATTCCATTCGACATCATGTGTCAATCAAAGGAAGACAAAGTGGAATTAGATCAAGGTGGAATAATTACAATGTAAGAAAATAGTGTTTTAGTAAAATACCGTATGATCGAAAAAACAGCGTCAAAGACAGCCTGGGAATGACAATCGATGATAATTTGGGCGAGGTCAAGCCCTAGATGTTATTTACTAAAAATTGACATAAAACTTCGTTAAAAATTAGCATTAATTATAGAAAGATTGAAAAAGTATAGAATAACACACAAAAAGCTATTTCCAATTTTTTTTTTAATTTTAAACTACGCCATTTAAAAATCATTTTTACTCAATATAAACATAAATTTCAGCTTTCTTAAGTCCAGCACCAAGTAAATATCGCCTAGGGCTTGGTCTCGCCAAAATCATCATAAATAGTCATTCCTCAGCCGTCTTTGACGCCGTTTTTTTTCTATCGTATGGTACATTAATAAGCATTAAAATAACACCAACTTATAAATTTCAGCGCGTTCTTTGGAGCAATAATTGCTATAATGGTATTATCCACATTATATGATACATATTGCCAATTTCACAAACAAGGTAAGGAAAAATCTGTAAATATTAAATAACTATATATTATATTAATGCACTTTTAATTGACGAACTTGCATGCAAATCTTGCTTCAAAATGGAATAGATGATGATATAAAATATATTCCTAATAAATGTAATAATTAAATTAAATGTTAATCAATATACAATTTTAACCAAGGTAGTAATAAGAGACTTAGAGCCGTATGTAAATTCAGATCTCTTTTGGAAATAACACTTGTGTACTCAAAGAAATAACATCATTTTTCTTTTAAATTGCAAAGGAATCTACAGTGTAGCTCAATCAGAAAACCATCACTAGTAGGCTTAGAAATAGCATTTAAGCTCCAAATTTACGACGAAAACTGTCATTATCACTATGAAAAACTTCAGCGACAGAGATTAGATTATATTGCTAGAGGGCCTGATCCACTGCGACCTTCTCAGATCTATTGTGGTCCTCTTCTGACCATTAGGTTACATTCTCCAGTCCTATCCTTTTCACAAACTTTAGCAACTTGGAGACTGAACCCTCCATGTAGTTCAGTAGTTCACGGCAGAACCTACACATGGCTTGGTCCGTCAACCCCATTAGCTTTAGATGCCTATTTAGCTTACAATGCCCTGTTAGTAGACACACTACAGATTTGACTGTCTTACTGCCCTTGCTTATCAGGACTTCCGTGATTTTTGGTTCTATTATGAACTTTCTCGCCTGTCTCTGCCCTGGTAAATTTCTCCACCATTCTAGAGACTTGTTAGCCACCTATCGTTCCGTGGCCATTCTCGTGACTGCTTTTGCAACGCCGCAGAAGGGTTCTGGGCCTATGAATAGCATTGATAAGCCTTGCTTGGCCCTTTCATCTGCCTTTTCATTAACCTTGTGACCCTCGTGCCCTAGTACCCAGGCCAACGTAACAATGTTCATCTAAAGTATTTAGAACACGCACACCTTCCCACACTAATCTAGAGTTGACCTCCGTGGAACCGAGTGCTTTTAGCGCCGCTTAGCTGTCTATGAAGATGACCACCAAACGATGTGTTCTTTGCTGCCTTACTATTTCTTCTACACAATAGATAGAGATGGTAAAGAAAAATAAAATGGTATTTCTATTCCTACTCTGTAGTTAAATCTCCACTAAAACTGTCATGATCTCTATGAAAACCTTCAGCGATATAGAGTAAAGCAAAATTAAATGGTACTTCTATTCCTACTCTGTCCAACTCCTTATAATATATATTATGAGAATACAGAAAGACTATTGCATTCTAGCTAAACCACATCCAATTCTGGCCTCATTCTCTGTATATACGAATGGTAAAAAGTTGTTCCACGCAACAGAAAAAACCGATTTGTCTTGTTTAAACGGCATAAGGTTTCTCAGCATAATGTGGGTTGTTCTTGGACATATGATGTCACTTACTGCTTCATCTGCACTAGATAACGTATACGACTTGTACGAGGTAATATATTCTTTTTAGTTTTTATATAAGACTTATAAATAAACTCTAAACCCAAAATTAAAATGGATAAAGATATGTAACATGCTAGGACAAAAATCATGCTGTTAACCGACGCATGCAGCAAATGTCAACTCAAAAAGAGCTGACATTACTGCATATATCGGTTTCCATCAAGAAGCACCATCGGAGAAACACCATCGGAGTAGAACATCTAGTAAACAACTAGTAGATATATACAAATACATGGGTTTAAATTGCGATTATACGAAAATTTATTATATACTTATTCTAAAGGTGTTGGAAGTATCATTTGTGAAAATTCTAAAAATAAAAATAAAAAAGTCAATATAATGTATTATTCCAGCTAAAAAAACTTTTTCGATCAGTTCAACTACGGTAGCGAGCATAGTTTTAATCACCGGTTTTACTAGTGGGGTCATAACTGGGGCTATTTCGGCTATAACGAAATTTTTTAAAGGTACATAATTATAATTTTGGAAGATGTTCATAAAACATTTTAATCACTATTGGATTAAAAAAAATTATACCATTAATATTGCCAAATTATATTTTATTCTCTCATAATATAGGGTGTCCCAGAAATAAGTGCACGTATTTTAAGGGGTGGTAGATCTCGATAATAAAAACATATTTTCTCTTTATCGTTTTTTAAATAAGTATAAAATAACTTAGTTGTAACTTAGAGTTATTTTACTTTGAAAATTTCCAAAAAAAATATTTTTTGCTAAAATTTTGAGAACCAACCACTAGACTTTTCTTTCTTGTAAATTTAATCTACTACTTATGTTGCCACATAATTTCTTGATAATAAATTATGTTTTTTAACTAAAAAGTAAAAAAAAATCCAAAATTTTTTTCAAAAAATTTCGAATTTTCAATTTTAATGCGATTAACATGAACTGTAACCGGGACGCGGACGGTGTGAAATACATAGCGAAAATTTCTGATTTCTGCCGTATACAGCGCCGCGGTCGGAATTTTTTGAAATCAACTACACAAAGCCTATAGAATAACAAATTATGCCAAAGTCCAGATAATGTAAAAATATATAGAAAATAACTTGAGATTGACAATTATGTCTCCACATACAACTCAACCCGACAAATTCTAATTAATTTTAGTTCTTTCTTTTTAGTTTGTACAAGGAACGAGAAGTCTATTTTATGTTAACGGAACTCTGTCAGTCGATTCGTTCTTCTTCCTGTCGGGTTTTCTACTAGTATTTGTTTTCATGAAAGCTATGAAATCTGGAACTAAATTTAATATAATTTATTTCTATGTCCACCGCTATATCAGGTAAGTTACAACAAATATTAATGTTTCATAATTTTTAAAATGATGAAAAGTCGAAAATCAGTAACATCCCAGTACTATATCAAATAAATAAAAAAAATGAACTAAATATCATCACTAATGACAAGAATATTGTTTTGCTTATACCATGCTGGCAACTCATAATTTTGGGTCGGTATTTATATGTGTGGAAGTAAATCGCATAGGGATCTTATTAAGTCGGAGTGAGAGAAATGCGACGATGTGCTGTTGCGGCGTTGTCACATTTCTCCGGTACTCCTGTCCCTATTAAGTAAAGTAAAATCACGATTGCAAACCACTTATTTTTATTTTTTTTTCGAAAAGATAACTAGATAAAATCATTACTTAGATATTTTTGAGCATCTGAAATGAAATTATAGAGATCTCGTTAGGGTGTCCATATTTTTTATAACGAGAAAACGTCAGTAATCGCGATAATTTAAAAACGCAACTTTTTAACACATAACACGCGATAACTCAAGAACCACTTTAGATATTGAAACTTTTATTTTATTTCGAAGTTCGGATCTTTTACAAGATCTTTAAATAAGAAAAAATCGATAGGCTTGTTTTTTTCATTCAAAAATTAAAAAAAAACTGTCCATTTACTTTTAGTGCATAGCAATTTTCAGCAATCGTGTAACTTTTTTATTTGTAAAGATTTTCACATACTGTCTGCAAAGAAAATATAGCAGAAATATTACGAAAGATTTTGAAAAAAAAATACAATCAATTATTTTTAATGGATTTCGAGATATGGATTTTTGAGTTCTAATAGCGCGACCACTGTCGAACACCAACTCAATTCCACTTATTTTTACCAAAAGTGCTAAGGTGCTATTGTTTCTAACTTGCACTTAAAAATTTACAAGCAATAGGGAAAATAACAACGACTCGTTAATAAATAAACAAATAAAGTATCACGAGGCGTAATTAAATCGTGAAGCTGAACGCATGATGTACATTCTTCCCTAGAATTTTAAGTACTGATTGGGTCGACGAATCTGCTATGAATGCTCGACCCAAAACTAATCTTTGCCAGCTTTTAGTATTTATATTACGTTAGATTTTCCAATTTCAGGCTCACTGTACCTTTTATACCTGTAATTCTATTTTTTGCTTTTCTGGTAAAATATCTTGGTTCTGGACCTTTGTACCCAGAACTAGACGCATCTTTAGGACACCTATGCAGAAAAAACTGGTGGAAAAGTTTATTGTATATTCAAAATTATTTTGTGCCTTATGAATTGGTAAGAATAAATAATATAATATATATAATAGACGTTACATTTTAATAATATTTCATAATCTAGTGTAATCAACAAACATGGTATTTAAATGTCGACTGGCAACTTTACCTAGTATCCCCTATAATGCTATATTTCCTCTACAAGTTGCCCCTAATTGGGATTCATTTAGTATGCATAACTTCACTGGCTTCGATGGCCGCTTCTTTCTTTATAACTAGACATTACCAGCTACCTGCTTTGCTCTCCAATTTAAGGTATTAATTAAAAAGTAATATTATTTCTACTTGATCCTCTATCAATATCTTTTAGAAACTTGGTGGACTACAATACCAAATACTACATGCAGACATATACCAGAGCAGCTCCATATCTAATTGGTGCAATAGTAGGATACTACATATCAAAAGTCAAAATTTATAAAGAAATTGATTTTAATAAAACTCCAAGAGTAAGTATAATCGTTATTATTTATTTTTATTTCATATTAACTTAGAAAAAAATATTTATTAAGACTGCGACAGTGGTTTATTTTTTTTTCATAAATAAATAATGAAATAAATCAAATGCAACACAGTATCTTTTTTGTCGTTCATCACTTGTTACAAAATTTCTGTAACACAAGGCATTACAACATTAATACCAGGGACGTGCCTTATAGTGCCTCTCCTATTCCACATATTCATGGCAGCGCTCTCCATTATAGTGGACAGCAAACTGCAGGAAAGAGGATTGGGTATTAGATACAGATACGACGAGGCGGCGGCCTGTTCAACATAAAAAGACTCAGGCCAAAAACACGTACAAAATTCATCACAGAACTTCAATACGCTGACGACTGCGCTCTAGTTGCAAACACGATACAACAATTACAAGAAATGTTGGAACACATATACCTGGGCATACGAGGCTTTGGGCTTTAAGCTAAAAAAATCGTGTGTACTCCCCCGGAAGATCACAATGCTTTAAAAATCGGAGAACTATTGCAATATGTAGCGGAATTCAATTACCTCGGCAATTTGATTTCGGAAAAGGCCAATATCGACTATCAAATTCAGCACAGAATTAGCAGCGCCTTAAGAGCATTCTGGAAATTAAAAAACAGGGTTTTCTACAATCATAACTTGAGCACAAAAACGAAACTTGCAGTGTACTGAGCAATAATAATCCCCACCATGTTATATGGTAGCGAAACCTGGGTGCCGTACCGCCGACACATAAACGCATTAAACAAGTTGCAACAGAGACACCTTAGACAAGTCTTAAGAATGAAATGATTCCACCACTTCTCAAACGTATCGGTCCTTGAAAAAGCTACCTGCGAGAGCGTTGACGTCATGATTACAAAATCCCGCTTAAGATAGACTGATGCAGAATGCAAGAAAACCGCCTACAAAAATCTCTGCTTTACGGTGAGCTTGTAGACGGTAAGAAAAAACCGGGTGGGGGCAACTCAAAAAGTACAAGGATATTTTCCACAAAAACTTAAAGGGGATAAACATGCAGAATGAGTTGGAAGAAGCAGCGCACGATAGAACGCAATTCGCGCAAGAATCAACAAACTCAGTTAACAGCGACAAACAAAAAGTAAAGAGAGAACAAAGCAATGAGATTTTTGAATGTCCGGAGTGTGGAAGAGAGATAACATCGTTCAGAAACGCTCATGAAAGAAAACGCCTTGCGTAACCATCTTCTGATGCGTGTCAAATACTCGTCAGCAAGTAATGGCAATATGTATGTATGTACAACATTAATAGGCCAATGCGTTTTATACCATCTATAACTATAAAAATATCTAATTTTATAGCGGTGTGCTCTGGAATGAGAAATCGCATACTATGTTTATTCACTACCATCTAGAGACATTCTTGTATCTCTGACTACACGCTTTGCTACACGTAAACGGTGAAGTAGATGTGAATAAAATCTAGCTTTCTATTAGAATAAGCATAACAGGTGACAAGTGCTCTCTCGAAAATATGCTGAAATATCCAACTGTGTATTGAATAAAACAACTGTTGTTAATTGTTATGCATTTCAACAGAAAACATACCTTCATTGCCAAGAAAAAAAATATATATATTTTAAGTTTTTTTTACCAATAAATTAACTTAATTTAAATATCTCCATAATCATGCAACTCATTACACTTGTCTTTTATGCATTTTAGATCATCATATACAGTATCTGGGTTATAGTCCTTACAGTTATGCCGGTTTGTGTATTTGGTGGAGTAGATCAGTTGAATAATCTTGACTACGATGTCGTCGCCAATTCTCTTTATAACACATTTGTAAGACCGACTTGGGCTGTATGTTTGGGATGGATAGTCATCGCTTGCAGCAACGGATATGGAGGTACGTTTTAAGCTTGATTTTCAATCATCCGTTGTCCGACGATACGATGATACGATATTAATTTTATTGGTTGAATTTAAAGACTTCGGTTGGTTAGAAACGGTTAACCAATCGAAGCCTTTAAATACAGCCAATGAAATTAATATCGTATCAACGTATCGTCGGACAACGGATGCATGAAAATCAAGCTTTTTATTTGTAAATTTGACTATAACACGACCATATCAACTGTGGTTTTTGAAATCTTCTTATACTTGCCTAATCATCTCGAATGCAAAGTAAAATCAAACTGGATATATGTTGGTTAATGTAGATTATAAACAGCAAAACAAAACATACGAGTCTGACAGACGACAGATGACGATGACGTCAAATTATTTTTATTTAGAACAGATCTGCAAATCCGATATACTAGAGTCGGCATTTCTGACCTTGGGTGCCGATTTGCGTGTGTGTGAATAGTACGGTCAATGCGCTCAGTAAAATAAAAAGAAAGAGGGGCAAATATTTTCCCAAGCACATGAAATCTAGCTGGTTAAACTTAAATAGTTATGTAATAAAAAACTTTGCATTTTTGCTCTCTCCGGCTTACTAGATCGCCATAGCGATTTAGTCCTAGACATATAAACACCCACCCAAGGTTTTGCTTGCCAGTATGGTATAGATCGAGTGAAAGAACTTTCTAATACTGTCTTACAACCGGAGATGGCTCAATCTCTAGGCCAGACAATGATATACGAATATTTCTTTTTTGTCGGGTTTTATTCACAATGTTGTCTAGCGACACGGGTACGAAGTCATGCAGTGTCAGATCTACTCAAGACTCAAACAATGTCAAAACTATATTAGACTATAAATAGCTCTGAAAAACAGTAGCTACTGCTACTAGACATCTAAAATAAAGTCTAATATGAATTGCGGATGCGAATAAAGCTAAAAAATATACTGTGACATTTTTTGAAAACGCAACACCCAGTATAACTTATCGCATTTTTATAAAAACTTTAAACATATTTTTTGTTATTACATACGTATCTTTACGCCAACAAAATTTCTGAGATATTCCGAACAGTATTTTCCACCAAGGGCCATATCAATGAGGACCGTTTTTTCGTCAAATAAGATCTTTCTACCGGTGACTCCAGAGCATCAGCGGCAACTATTGGAAAGGAGAATGGAATATGGAATGGAACGAAAATCGTTGTATTCAACAGTGAATCGACGAAATGTGAAAATGTGTTGAAAGACGGAATATCCAATTTTCAATTGAAGGGCACCGTTCAGCGCACTGTAGGTGTTATGGTATGAAGTACCACTGATTACGGCAACAGCTGACGTTTAGTATTCATTCAAGGTAGCATAACCACCCAGCGATACATCAACGAGGTATTCCGTCCACGTTTGCTTCACTTTCTGCAAACGCTCAAAAATTAAGATTTGTTTAAGCTTCCCGTATAAATCTTCTTCAGTAGCCCCTTCTATCTGCATTATCCAAAATTATCCTAGATTCTAATTAAATTGTATTATTAAAAGCTGACCAAAAACCAAGAATAAGTTATTAACCATAATTATACAAAAGAGGGTCAAAGAAGTAAACAACAAATAAATCATAGATCTTATATATAGCTCCATAAAGAAAAAACAGATTACACCATATTACTCTGCTTCTAGTTAATGAACTTATAACTGTTTTTGTTTCAGGCATTATAAACAGTATCTTATCACTACCAATTCTCCAAATTCTTAGTAGATTTACTTATTCAATATATATGCTGCATTTAGGAATAGCTTACATCGTCAATCTAAATGTCAGATCGCCTATTCACTTTACGGAATTTAATATGGTAAGTTTTGGCACTTTTATCAGCACTATACGAAATCATGCAGGGCCACCTAATAAAAAAACTTCAAAAATTTTTATGTTATAGTGTAATAAGTACTCTGTCTTTTTACTATGAAAGCATATATTGCTGCAAATTAATTGGCAGTTAATTAAAAGAATACTAATTGTACACCGAATGCGTCTCAAAAGTGGCTCGCCCCTGTAACTTTTTTATTTGTTCAGGTAAAAAAAAACGAGATTTGGTATGTTAGTATATGACATAAATTAGGATTGATTGACGTATTTAATTGTTTTTGGTCACTTCCTGTTTCACCGAAAATGACTACAACTTTTGATTTATAAATGGCGCCCTCAGTATATTTTTAATCTATTCCATAGAAAATGGCACTCTGAATAGAATGACATACCATATGTCAACTTTTGTCGTTTTGGCATATGATTTATTTGAAATTGTAACATGTTCATTCGGTAACAGTTCATAACGACAATTTGACTCGAAATATCAAGTGTATGGTACCAAATTATTCATAAAAAATGCTTTTTCCAAATATGCTAATGCAAAATCCAGTTTCATTTGAAAAAATTAAGATATGATTAAAATTACAATTTAGGCATCTTTTAACCGACCAGGACAAGACACGAAAAACATTAGACGATCAAATCTATTTTTCCAAGGGTCCTTGATTAAGAAAGTGTTTCTAACAAGCCATGGTACTATAGACTGAAATTTAAAATACGATTTTTTTTAAGCGAAAATGCCAGAGTGTCATTTTCTATCAAATAAAGTAAAAATATACCGAGAGGACAATTTATTGATTATATTAATCAAATGTTATAGTAATTTCCGGTGAAACAGGAAGTGACGAAAAACAATTGAATATACCAATCAATCTTAATTTAGGTCGTATACTAACATACCAAATCTCGTTTTTTTTAATCTGAAAAAATAAAAAGTTGTAGGGGTGAACCACTTTTGAGACGCAACCGGTATTGCTTTTCAAAGAACAGACAAAAATACTGCCACCATAAAATACTTAAAATCTATCTACAAAAATATATTATGTTACCGATATTACATTAATGTTTTTCAAAAATTTAACCAAACTAAAAGTAAAAATGTTTTATTAATATAAAATAAAAATTCTGAATAAATAAAACAGCTTAAAATTAATAACACCTCAACACCTTAGTTGCCCGTGTACAAAAAAAATGTTGAACAATAAATTAACGTATTTTTTTCTTTAATACTAATTACATACCGCAGACATTTTGAAAAATATTCCTAGAGACAAAAACTAAAAAAAAACTAAAAACTAAATTAAAAAAATTATTGAAAAATATGAGTAATAATTGAATTATTATATTTATTTCTAGCTCTACTCGTTTTGGCCTTTATTCATGTTAACTTTTGGACTGTCCATCTTCTGGGTGCTCGCCTTCGAATCTCCTATAGTTGTATTAGATAAATATTTGTCAGGACGCGGTAGATCGAAATCAAACGTAAGTAGTCGCCATAACTTGAATCAAAATTAATAAATCTTTGATTGCTTTTTTTTCAGGATCAACATTTAAAACAAGTTAAAGTTGGAAACAGTTAGAAAAAACATTATATGGTTATAGTTGTTAGTTGATTTCATGACATTATTTATTTATAATCATCCTCAAAATTAAATCTCATTATGTATTTAGATAACTCTAAGAGTCATATTAAAGTATGTATTAAAAACTGATATATTTATTTATAAACAAAAATAAATTATAAAAATTATTTACGCTAAAGTAACCTTTAACCCTTTTATATCTTCCTCTGTACTACCTCCTTGGAATCTTTCATAACTGCAAGGAAAAAAAACATTTAAAGTTCAAAGATATATAAAATTTAAAACGTACATTCTGTTATACTTCTCTCTTTCGCTTTTAATCAAAGACGGTCTAGTTTTAGATAAAGCGTCCAACAAAATGTTTTGAGATATTATCGACTTATCTGCAATTATTTCTTCCTGAAAATATATCAATTAAAGTTGAACCGTTATAAGTTAAGTAGGAGATGAAGTAGCAGTATCGAGAATCGAAAAATAAAATATAAATAATGTATACATTTATTAGTAAGGAATATTAATTAGACACTCTACTAATTATATTAATCAAAGAGCGAATGAGTAAAAATAAAATCAAGCCCAAATTGTGATACAGTGTTGGATGATCTCTCTAGTCAAGACAGTCAATACAAGTGATATACAGACCTGGTCATTCTGTATCTTAGAATTCTAACCTAACTTTACTTTAAAAAAAAATAATTTTAATCCATTATTTGAATAAAGTAGTAAACTAATTCTACTTTGCAGAAAGTTTATGACTTAATATATCTACAAAATACTAAAAATTACCTGTTTGATCTCTTCTAATTTTTGAGAAAAACACACAAATACAAAAAGCTTACAGTTTGTCACAGCAATTGACAGTGACAGTATTTTGCTTTGTTTGGAACTTTGAACTAATTCGTAACAAAAATGGCTGCCCTGACATCACACTTCCGTGGTCCATTCGATGGTCTGTATTTAATGAGTAAGACAAAGGTAAAGGGTGGAATTACGTTACTTATTGGAATATAATGCAAAATATTAAGCAAGGTAATAGAAATGTAGCTAAATTATTAATTAATTATTGACCAATTAATCGCCTAATCCTTCAAGACTATTCAAAACGTCTTCTTGTTTAGTTTTACATTTTTATTGGAAAATCCGCCCATTGAAGAAATGCATAAGCTCACTCTCATCATTATCTTTGACATTAAAATCCCGACCATCAATGATGACCAGGTTTGTATATTTGATTTAATATTATAATCAGAAACACATATGATCGCAATCAATTATATAAAATTGTTATAATTTAATGTTTCACGATAAATATAAAAATACTATATACAGGATGGTCCGAACTGTATTCCGGAAACTTCGGCAGCAAATTCTGCAGATAAAACTAGGTAAAAAAGTTCCTATAAATGTATGCCCTAAAATGCTTAGTTTCGGAGATACAGGGCGTAGAAATTTCATTTTTATTTCGATTTTTTTCAAATAATTTCTGAAGTAACGTCAATATTTAGATGAAAATTGGTGTCTGGGAGGTTTTTGACATGAGAAATTTGATTTTGATGTCAATATGGCTCCTACTGATAGAGGGCGCCACCTACATCTGTTCTAACTGTTTTGAAGCGTAATAACTTTTTGTCCGTACCTGTATAAAACTACCGACGGAAAAAATATACATCTCTGTGATTTTTAACGTAAATAATATATCTTTGTTAAAATCGCTACGAGCAACCGTTCTCAAGATATTTAGAATGGAAATAGTCAATACATACCATTATTGACGAAAAATAAACACGTTTAGTAGATAGTTATTTCACTGAAATAATAAATTTGGGAAATTTTTATTTTTTTTCTGCAAAAAATGATGATAAAACAGTTTTTGTTGAACATTTGGTGCAAAAACATTTCAAATTTATCTCAGTCTAATAACTATTTAGTCAACATGTTTAATTTATGTCAGTAATGAGAGGTATTGATAAATTCGATTCCAAATATCTCGAAAACCATTACTCGTAGCGATTTTTACCAAGAGACCTTTTTTACGTAAAAGGCGTCGCAAATGTATATTTTCTTACTCAGTAGTTTTATACAGGTACGGACGAAAAGTTATTACTCTTCATACCAGTTAAAAAATATGTAGGTGGCGCCCTCTACTAGTAGGAGTCATATTGACATCAAAATCAATTTTCTCACGTCAAAAAACTCCCAGACACCAATTTTAATCCAAATATTGACGTTACTTCAGAAATTATTTGAAAAAAATCGAAATAAAAATGAAACTTCTACACCCTGTATCTCCGAAACTAAGCGTTTTTGGACATATATCTATATGGACATTTTTACTTATTTTTATCTGCAGAATATGCTGCCGAAGTTTCCGGAATACAGTTCGGACCACCCTGTATTTTGTATAGGGAATGTCAAATAAATTTCAAGACGCAAAATTGGAATCTGTTATACATATATGTAGCAGAATAATAAAATATTTTATTTGTTTAAATAAATTTATATCATTGTAAAAATCCTGTACGGTGAAGTTATTTGTATTGCCAAATTTAATTAAGTATAAATATATAAGAGTGTCTCTTAAATAATAAGAGACGCGCATGTTATACGTGCCAAAATTACAATATAAAAAATTGATACCGTCCGATAAAAAAAATTGTTTGATCATGTCAGCTCTGAACACTATAAATATTAAAATCTAAATTCCTACAGAGTGGTCAAATTCCTCTAAGATTCTTCGCATTGAATCCCTTAATGATTTTATTTTTCATAATACGATATGATATGAGATGCACTTCTTTGTATTTCTCGGTCGATTAACGATAATTAAACATTTAAACATAACACTGTGTCTCTGGGCAGGAATATGTAGAGAGACCGCCTCATACTTACATTATTAACAATTTTCAAAGATGATATATGGGCCGTATATAAAAGCGACTGCAAATCAGCTCCCGAGTAACCTTCCGTCTTTATAGCTATCTGAGCTAAATCAGCATCTGGTGCTAGTTCAAGTCTCCTAGACAGGATCCTTAAGATATCCTGACGTTCGTCCTAAAAAATACATCATTGAAGCCCTATTTGTACCTAATGACCCACTTAAAATTATATAAATGCGTTATCACTGATGATTTAATTGTTATGAAAATACTATGTTAACGGTATTGTATGTATGACTATAAACTATGTATGTTAAACGGTAAAGTATAAAATTAAGGCATACTATATAAAACCTAGGTATTCTATAAAATGACTAACGATTTCAGGCAATGTATGAAATTTAAATGTTATTATATTATACTTTATCTAGATATTTTGTGAAATACCTAGGCATTTTATAGAATATTGTTTAATATATATTTCCCAAATTTACTAGCGGTTAAAGCCTGCTATCCTACTCAGATATTCGTACCAGATCTAGTTGTTCCAGTAAAGAAACAAAGAATCACGAAAAAAAGGTTGAGACTAAAACAATGAAAACTGATTCGTGCAACTAATTGTTTTCTCTCGGCTTCTTCCGTTCATTCTTAGCGCGCATCATGAAATTTTGTCGCTATTTTAGTTATTACTATTTACTTTGGTTTCAACCCCTTTTTCGTGATTCTTTGTGTTTTCTCAAAATACGATTTTGCTTTCACGTGAAATGCGCGAGCATTTAATGAGCAATTGTGAAGGAGTACTTGCTCTGAGTAAAACGGTAGACTTCATCCGATATGCTTACATTTCTATCCATATTACCTTATCAGGCATCGGACACATCATTTGTCTGTCCAATCTTCCTGGTCTTAGTAAAGCAGGATCTAGTAAATCAGGTCGTGACGTGGCAGCTAAAACGCACACTCCCGTTAACGACTCTACCCCATCAAGTTGAGTAAGAAGTTGGTTTACCACCCTATCTGTAACTCCTGTATTATCGTGACCGCGTCTAAAAATGAATTAAGAAAAATAAAAAATTATGTTACTTCTTACTAACAGCTATTAAGTTGAAGAATTTGAAGAATATGTATATTTTTATGAATGCTTTTTATAAACTTCGAAAAAAAATAGAGTTAATATAAAACATATTAATTTTTTATTATTTAATTTATATGTTTTTTAATTTTTATTAAAAACCGGTAATTCTCTAGATCTATATCTCTGACTACTACTAACTGCTACTAACCAACAATTTGTTTTGTGTGGTCTGTGGTCCGTTTTTTCAAAGGTTTTTGTTTAAAAGTTTTGTTCGTTGATCATGTTGGGGATTTATTTTTAAATTAATGTTAATAGTTAAGAAACCAGTAAACTAAGGAATGTGTATTTCTTTTGCATATTCAAATTTTCGCTCTAAATTTCACATAACCAAACTGTCACTCTAAATCGCTGACTTTTTTAGACAGATGTCACTTGTCTTGTCATTATTCAATTCATTATTCTAATTCTCAGAATGTTGTTAACAAAAGTTTCATTTTTAAATAAAATTTTAATCAATCACAATTATTTATCTCCATCATTTACCGAATTAATAATACAGAAATTACAGCTCAATTACAAATAATTCATTATTTATAGTGATTTACAGTAATTTTATTAAGTTATACGAATATTCTCGTTGATTATTGGTTTGAAATAAATATGACAATGTGTCCTCCAATGAAAATGCGTCAAAAACGCGCGTAAAGAAGTCTCACTTCAATTATAGGTATATTATATTGTTAGGATAGACCTTTGGGATAGACCTTAAAAAAATATAATCAAAAAAAGCTTCATAGACTTACCTAGGTGCTAAACTGTCAAACTCGTCAAAAAATAAAATGCAAGGTTTAGCACTCTGAGCTCTAAAAATAATTGAAATATAGTAAAAAATATATTTTCGCTCAGATTTATTCAGATATTCTAAGAAAAGTTGTTTACTTTTCAAAAACATCTCTAACTGCTTGTTCACTTGCTCCAATGTATTTGCTGAGTAATTCCGGCCCTTTTACTGATATCAGCCGCAAGCCACATTGCTTAGCTGCAGCCCCTGCTAATAAAGTTTTTCCAGTGCCTGGTGGACCATATAAAAGTAAACCTGTTTGCAATCTAATAGGGGCGTTTTGAAATATACTGGAATACTAAAAAATCTGTAATAATCGTAGACACATTTTCATTGAATAGACTAAGGAAAGGATGTTTCAGCAAAATTAGCGGCATGAAGGGATGCCAATGTGGTTAACTAGAATTCCAGTTTGTCAATGGTGTAAGGTTTTTTAACATGTTAGCATATAACATAAGGTAAATAACTAATTGGCTGGTTTGTTTACACTTGTTGAAAAAATATGAAGAAACAAAAAAATTCTTAGTTATTTAATCCATTATACCCTAAAAAAATATTTTAAAATTAGGCGTCAGATTAAACATTATAGTGCAATATTGCAAGTGAAGTAGCTGTGTAAACACCCTATATATGACATGCCCAAATACAAATTCCACTTCAAAAAATGGAGTTTATTAATGCCATCCATACACGAAATTTCAATTTTCAAATAAATAAGTGATTTTTTGGAAATTCTTCGATAATAATATAATTTTGTGTTACCCTATATAACTAAATAAGTATATCGTAAAATGGCACATCGAAAAATTTTATACAAAAACTTTCCATTATTTTTAACGAGGAAACACCAAATTTTTTTTAGCATGTATTCATTTACACCCTGTATAATAACTGAATTATTTATGAAGCCTCGTTCCAAGATTCAAAATAACCTCACTACAACTCAAGTAAATTCGAGTTTTGTCAAAATGCCTTTCCGGGTATACAGGGTGTCCCAGGTTGAGCGTGCATAAGAAGTTTAAGAGAACTACAATATCTAAACCGGAGATTCTTTGCACATCATTGTTTCACAATGAGATCTATCGATTAAAAATATTTTAAATATGGCTGCACTTCCGGAAATACCGGAAGTGGATAGCAACATTCTTATTTTAAATGGGTACATCCATTTTTTATTATACATATATTTAAATTCTTTACTTAAAATTTTATTTTATTTTTTTTTATTTTTTTTATTCTTTATTTTTTATTTAATTTTTTTTTATTTTTTTTATTTCTCTAATTCTACCACTGACGATTGTCAGCAATGGTTTACTAATTGTAATTGTATAAACGGAGACCAATTAATCTCCGTTGAATTAACGCAGCAGTGTTTAGAAAAAATAACTATTTTATTTTGTAGATTTTCTTACAGTGGCGAAATACCCATAGAACTTTTTTGGAGAGTATTTATAATATACGAAATTCAAATAATTACTTTTTTGACAGAAGGAAATAAACTATCTGATGGTTTGACACTTAATGTCGAAGGAGGCTAGATAAAATCAAGAAAAATTTACACTTTAAAACTAACTCTTAAATAACTTAAAAACAATTTATTTTAGCTATAGGAACATGTATAATCAATAGATAACGAATTGAAAAACCTTTTCTCTAGTGAAATAAAAAAAATGGGTTTCTATTAGAAAAAAACTATTTATGATAATTTTTTAATCTTTCAATTACAGCTACGGCCAAAATACTTTTATGTGACATTCAAACAATTTAATTTTAGAAATACATAGATAGCCACATGTCCTTTCTTTATGTCACAGTGGCTGTGGTAATCACTAAATTTGACGTTTAGACTATACAAATTTTTTTGACAGACAGTTTTTTTTCTCCAAGAATTTTAAATATTTTTTTCCTAACCGGTTAATCAAAATTCATAAAATTTTACAGAGAATTTATATATATAATAAAAAATGGGGGTATCCATTTAAAATAAGAAAGTTGCTATCAACTTCCGGTATTTCCGGAAATGCCGCCATATTGAAAATATTTTTATATTTGATATATCTCATTGTGAAACAATAATGTGCAAAAAATCTCCGAATTAGATCTTGTAGTTAGTTCTCTAGAAACTTCTAATACACGCTCAGCCTGGAACACCCTGTATACATTTTGCATATAAAGCCAATTTATAAAATAAACGATAAATATTTTAAAATAAGCATAGAAAACTACTCCAAACTGATTCAAATATATCAAAAGCTATCCAGAAAAAAATCAGTCAAAACTGACAAAAAAAGTGTAAAATTGTAGTGTTAAAAAGACGGAAGCTACGTCTTTAACGAATTAATATAATATAACTAATAATACTACCGTATGATCGAAAAAAAACGGCGTCTAGTTGGCTAGAGAATGACGATCGATGACATTTCCCGTATAAATTTACATATAAAATGACAACGATCTTCATCGCTGACGCCGTTTTTTTTTGATCATACGGTATATGACCCCTTCCTTAGTCTTTTTATTCAATAATTGAAACATTATATTTCTAGATACCTTGACAGGCCACAAAAAACTTTGTGTTAGAATATTCTTTACTTCAGAAAGGCCGCCGATGTCCTCAAAGCTCTTATCCCCAGCAGAATGAAACTTAACATTTTGCAACGATAAGGAACAAGTTTTCTTTAAGGCAATATCACAATGATTTTGTTCAATTAATGGTTTCTCTTCAATGGGGAATTCTAAAGCAAAAATAAATGTCTGGCTAGTGTAACAAAAAATAACAGTAAAAGAAAAACAGTAAAAGAAAAACAAATAAACGTAAACAAATAAAATACAGCCAGATAAATTTAAGAGTCCATTTCACTAGTCTGAAAAAATAGCAAAATTAGCGTTCAGCACTTAACGTTTTATGTAAAACTGGCTAGGTATTTTTACACAAATGAAGAAGGAAATTAAAGATAAAGGATTAGACTATATCCGTATTGTAGCACATTTGTTGACAACTTCTTTATTTTTAAGATTTTGATGGTCAAACACCAACAAAATATTCCTTATGTTTAGACTAAATTTTCTCGAAAATAAAGACATAATTTAAAATTCCGTTACAATACGGAAATAGATTAAAGTTTTGTGATTACAGTGATATATAAATTATATGGTTTTGTAACAAATTACTCGCTATTTTATGGTAAATGCTGAAGCTCTGCAAACCTTAATCAAAGCACGTGTGTTTGGAATTTTGGGTGTGGCTTAACACAACAGGATCGGGCTAAGCCATAGGCAGATTTCTGAAATATAATATATATTTCTTTCGGCCATACACCCGCTTTACCTGACCCCTGAGAGCAACCCAAACAGTACAGTGTAACAGACTCTTAATGCCATGTGGTCTTGAAAGACATGAATATTTTTAATTAATAGCTAATAGGTAAATCTGTTTTTTTTTCACTTATAACTGAAATTAACATCTATTTTACATTAATATAAAAATGATCTTCTATTTTTAAGATAGACTTTCAGAAATTGCACTTGACTGTGATCCTAAGGTTATAAGATATATCTATAAGATTACCTTTAAAGGATTCAAATAAAGCCTTTTCATAAAAATCTTTAATATCTTGTATCACAAATCCATCACTCTTGTTTGCTAAACTACTATAATCTAAATCTTTGGTCGGTGACTTTTCAAAAAAATACTTCAGTAATGCCACTCTATCAGCCTGGAAATGTTATATCTCAAAATATAAATTTTATAAACAAACAAGTATTTATATACCTTTGTTAAATTATCAATAGAAACAATATTCTTAAACAAATGATTCCCTCTAGATTTATAGATGTGTCTGTTAAGTTTTGCAACTGAGTCAGTACTTGCTACAATAGATATGCCATTTTCTTTTGAAATAGAGTTTAGCAAACTTTGAAGCATTTCACTAACCCTGAAATATAAAGGATTAGACTCACAATCAGAGCTGCAAGAAGTCAGTTTCAAAACGACTTAAATCCGAAGTCATAAGTCATTTATAAAATCAAAATGATTTAAATCATCCATAGATAAAGGAAATAAATTTAAATGCCCGTTAAAATTTTGGGTCTCGAAATTGTTTTGGGTCGCGACCGTTGTACGCGATCTGGCGCTGCTATAGCGGTTGCTAAGAACAACCGCAAACAAAAACAAATAATTTTCTCTTGTCCATATTTCTTGTCAAAGTCAGAATCTTCAAAAAGTATAAAATCTTTCAAAATCTAAACCGCTATCATTGAAAAAATTCCGAAAAGTGTTTAAAGCGTCCATTTTCAAAGTAATTATTGCTATCTTGTGAATTTAATTTAAGTTTTATTTACTCAAACTCGTGATAATTGTGAAAAAGTCGCATTAAAAACTGTGCTGTAAATAGGGATCGGCAAGACAAGAAATCTTGTCTTGACAAGCAATTTCTTGTCTTGTCTTGAAATATTTTCAAGAATAAAAAAAAATCTTGTCTTGACCATTTCTTGAGAGTTGATTTCTTGTCTTGGTTCAAGAAATCTTTAAATTTCTTGATATCTTGACAAAACGGGAACCCCCGTTTAAAATTCGTTTATTAAAGGGGAACCCCCTTGTTTAAAAGTCGCGGTGAGATTGGTTAATGTGATGTTTATGCTTTATGCGTAAAATCGAGGGTCAGGCATCTAATTTACAAAAAAATCAAAAACTTTGGGCTCATTATACTACAGTAGCCAAAATCATCAGATTTGCATAATTTTGTTAATTGTTATTATTATTATCTAACATTAAAATGAGTGATTTGATGGTCCGTTGAGCAGCAAATCTGAGCCATTTGTAATTAAATCTGGTTCAGAATACCTACCACCTCAGACACCTGAACGTAGAAGTAGAAGTTTAATTAGTGACTCTGACAGTAGTGACGGTGATAATACTACTACAGATAAAAACAGTCAAAACAAAATGATAAAAGCTACTCTACTTCAGTGGCGTACATCAAAATGTATTTTTTTTTTATTTTAAAAGTTTTACGTTAATTCAAAAAGTCTGTATGCCACTGAAGTAGACCAGCGTTGCAAAGTTTTTTTTTATTCTAATATCGTAGGCCATAACATATCCAAAAAATTATAAAAAAACATTTAAAAATTAAAAAATTATTAGGCATTAAAAAAGGTTCCAATTTAATTTGGCCCACAGTATGCCAACTTTGGACATCCGACTTTAGACGTATTTATGTCAACTTTGGACATTGGACATCCGACAAAGTACCGCTTCGTACAAATATTTTTTGCTTAATCATTTTTTTATCCATCAATTAATGGATATTCATATAATATACAAATACCTAAGTAAATGAGTAGGTATTTCTTTTTTATTTTATATTTTCAAGAAATTTCAAGATTTTCTTGATTTCTTGTCAAGAAATCTTGAGAAGTAATTTCTTGTGTTGTCTTGAAAACCAAAGATAATTTCTTGTCTTGATCTTGTCTTGAAATCAAGAAGTTGTCAAGAAAATGAAGACCCCTAGCTGTGAACTGCAAAAACCATCGTGGATCGTGGCATAACGTCGGTTTCCAATGTTTCATAGGTATTTCATACATGTCCTTATATAAAATAAAGTTTCTTGTATGCAACACACTGTATTTTATTTATAAAATTGAAAGAAAATAATAAATTTGAATAAACAATATTTGGCGATATAATTCCGGAAAAAGCCGAACCAATTCGAAATTATCAAAAGCTTTGGGTCGCGACCGTTGTGGTCGCGACCAAATAGTGTTTACGTTGTCCTTATGGGCACTTTCCAATCTAAACTTGTTTCATTTATCTATGAGTCAATTTCAAGTCCATCTTATTTCTATGAGTCCATCTTCAAGTCAATTTCAACGTAAAGTTTAAATTATTTAAATCTCAAGTCTCTGACTTTGAGAAATTGGACTTTGACTTGACTGAAATCATTTTCTTTCAAGTCAAGTCATTTTCTTAAAGAATTAAATTAATATAATATAATTTAAGTGCCTATTGTTAATATTAATATAAATTTTCTTATATTACCAATTACCGGTTTCCTTATATTAGATATCTATATATATCATTATTTTTTTGTGATAAAATCATTTATACATAAAAAAATCTAACTTAAGTCTTTTATAAAGCTTTCGAAAAATGACTTAAAATCAAATGACTTATGTCATTAAAATGATTAAAATCAAAAAAAGAAAGTTTTTTGTGAACTTGCAGCTCTGTTCACAATTTTGATTGATTATCAAAAATTATTCTTACCTGTTAAAATTTACAGTATTAGGTGTGTCTTCGCCTTCACAGTTTTCACAAAGAACTTGCAAATCATCTACTATCAATATTGATGGCTGACACAAAATTAATTTAGAAAATATGTCTGTAAAAATTTTGTGAAGCGAGTCAACTGTTTTTCCTTTAATTGCTTTACACTGTACAATCTGCGTATATACAAAATATGGATATTTATTTAGAATCCTAATAGTATGTTTTAAAATAGAACTTTTTCCCATTCCAGTTTTTCCTAAAGATGTTATTTTTAAAACATACAAAATGCATTTTTAAAACTGAATATTTTATATTTACCACAAATAAGTACATTTTCAGATTGAAACGAGTCATTTTTCCAGATACATGCTAAAATATTTTTAAAAACTATTTCGACACATGCCAAACTTTGGAAGAAGTTTTGCTCTTCTGTATCTTTTAGAACATTTTCTAAAGGTTTTATATCTTCAAAACAAAAGGAATAAGAACAATTTCTTAAATTATTTCCATCAAGTACACAAGATGAATTAAAATTAGGTGGAAATTTTAAACAGCAGCAAATGTTCTTCCCAATATTTATAGGGAAATTTGCATTTAAAACTTGTGGTTCGGAATCACTTAAAGCTAAGAATAATTTCAGTTCCTGTAATACATCTTTTGATTCTATATTTTTTCCGTGGTGTACTTCTATCTCAGAAACCTCAAAAGGGTTCTTTAACTGTTTCAAAATTATTCTCGTACCCAATTCACAGTGAAAAAAATTAATTATAGAAATGTCTACATATACATTACTGAAACAATTATTTAACAGATTTAAAGACTCATCATTAACTAAATCGTCTAGAAAACACAGTTCTATTGATATTTCTTTAGAATTGTAAGAATTTTGTAATAAATACATGGTATAGAATCGTCTATTGGTATCACTATGAAATAATTCTTGAAGAGGGCCATTTTTTAAAACATAAACTTTAAAAGGTTGACATATGGTTAATTTACTCTCCAATATTGGTAGCTCAGATAATGGCACTAGTCGATAGACAAGATCTACATCAAATATATTTATTAATTCTTTAGGAATTGTAAATTCAACTCTTTTATTTTTTAAATGTTCTTTAAAATGTTCTAAAAATTTCATTTCATCTTTAAAATTTTCTTTTGATTCTAAAAAATTATAACATTAGTTAATAGGTTCTAATACTTTTGAATTATTTTTACTAGAGTTTTTCTTGATTAAACCTGTTGGAGTTTTAATAACAACTTCAGTTAAGAAATCTAACAAACCAGGATTTAATGGTTGTACTTCATCTAAAAGATTGAATAGTTATTATAAAATACATCCACATTTCCATATTATAATGCAATCTTACTAATAAAAACAGTAATTGAAATATTACTTCCAATCCAAATTACTATTTCTTGTCCAGCGTTTATAACTCGAATTTGATCCAACAAATGTGACTGAACATTTTCTGCTAACAATTCCAATACTTCATAATCACTAATTGTCAATGGCTGTATATTAACACTCCTTACTATCGGGAGTTGCTCAATTTGTAGAATATTTACAAAGTCATTTTCGTTAATTCCAAGAGCCTTTGCATATAAAGAATTTATACCAACACAGTCATCATCAACAATATTTAGAATAGTAGCAGAAAAGTAATATCTCTTTTCTTTATAAATTAATTTTATACAAACCTAAAAATTGACTAACTTCTATCTCCTAATCACTACTCTTCCTCTTGCTATGTAATTTTATATAAAACGGTTTACTAAAAAAGTACTTACCCCCGTTTTTAAGTATGAATGTTTGGGAGACAAATACAAAAAACCATTCTTAAAATTGACATACTTAACGCGCAAAACGTTTTCATACATAATAAGTATCTACTATATAATTTGATATTTACATTTATAACAATTATTTTTTTTCTTTTCAATGCAATCGTAAAAATCTCACAAAAACAAAAACATATAGGTTATGATTATCTTGACAGATAAAGCGGAAAGCCATTGATTAATTCTAAGAGATGGTCCCATGTTGCCAATATTTTTTTTTTCTACGTACAATAAATAAAGTTACATAAAAGTTGTGTGGAAAATATTGGAGTGTAAAACATACCCATGAATGTGTAGCTGAATAGTCCATGTGCAGAAATGGACTTCTCCCATATCAATTCTCTTAGAGATCGTATATAAAATAATGAATGTTCAGCAAAAAGATATATGACATAAACAAGGATATATTATGACATAGAGAAGGATATATTTACCCATTCTTGATATATTAGACAAAGATATATGACAATAGCAGTTGCCTGTCATTTTAGATCATAGTGCGCGTTCAGGGAACACAGCGGCTGACTGGCCGCTGAGACTTTTGCTAAGCGGCTGACTGTTTTTGTGTTTAAAAAGGACCGTTTAGGGAACCGCAAACCGCTTTACTCAGCCGCTGACCGTCCCTGAACGCACCCATAGCTGGATTATTTTTACTGTCATTTTTTTATTGTCGGCTGTCATCTGTTATCTGATATCATATATTATGGTCAGCGGCTGACTTTTTGCCGGCTGATATCATATACTGTCGTTAAAAGTCTTTACATTATACAATATGATCGAATAAAAGTCTGAATCTGAATAAAAGACGCCAGCAAATGGCTATGAAATTAAAATCGTTGTCATTATAAAATTATAGGGAATAGGGGAATGTCATCGATATTTATTTACAATAATTTCCAAGCAACTAAAGAAGCAACTGGACACCATATATTTATCATACGGTACTTATGACCAATGTAAAATGATTTACTTGAGTTTAATATCTACTAAGCTTTTTTAATTACATACTAAATAACTTAGGAACTAAACTAATAATAAAACAACTAAATAAAATAAGGAATCATTATTTATTAAAAACAACCGCTAAAAGCGTTCTATAATTTTTTGAATCAGCATAATCTATAATTTAGTAGTTTGCAATTAGTTTTTAAACAAAATTCTATCAGATACGTTTATTTTTCTATTTTTCTTGCCTATACATTAATCCTACAATCTGCTGATATTCTGCTACAATAAGTTTTGCAAAGCGAAAAAAATTGCTTATATCTGCTTATATGAAAACCCTTTGCGAAAACCAGAGAAAAGAAATCACGGGAACAAAAATGGAGACTCTAGTAAAAATAATAAACTTGTCAATCCTGCAAATTTTAAATAATGATTTGCATATGTCAATCGGAACATCTGTTGAAGTAATTTCCCTAGGTTACCGCTAGGATGTCAAGGTTTTTACCCCTCCCATTCTTTCCACCAATGAAATCGAAGGAAATGCAAATGGACCAATAAAAATCGCTCAAAACAACTGAAACCCAAACGGTCGTCCAGAACGATTAGCTTGTCATGTCATAACGACAATATATTGTTCATTTTTACTTAATTTTTACATAAAGTCAGGTTTATTGGTGTGTATTTTAACTACTATTGGTAAGTACGATTATACTATGTTATTTAATTTAAGTAATAATTTACATTATTTACAATTTCATTCATGAAAGTTTACACAAGCTTGGGCCACCATGTTTGAAGTTTTTTGTTCTTATATTTTTTTATTTTAAATACACCGTACGGCTCATATATTACGTGCTTTCGCTGTCCATTTCTTAAATAAATATATAAGTGTTATATTAATGTGTCCTGAGGTTAATTGCGGGAAAATTAGATACCGTTAAAAAAGGCGGTAAAATGGAGGTGTGTTGTTGACGCCTGGTTGATGCATTTACATCAGTTAGCAGTTACATCTCTCGTTTATTAATTTACACTCGTACATTTAAATAATCTTGCTCTATTTCATTAATACCTAAATTATACCGATATTTGTTTTATTCGTTTGTACTAAAGCAAACCACGTGATAGAAAACTTATAAGGCATTGTTGTTTCATGTCAGGATTATTGATCCCTTCAGGTAACAGAATCTTTATAGAACTCGTAAATCATAGTCCTTCTTTAATAGGATCTAATAAATCTCAATTTTACTGATGTTTCAATTTTTTCATTGCTATTTTGACAATTACATTTATTAATTTAAGAGTAATATGGCACCAAGTAAAACCACCCTGAGGTCTTTGGACGGCGTAAATAAGATTTCCACTAGGAGTCGAGCGGGTCTAGGTCTTCCAGAAAATGTCAACAAAGGTCTTGTCAAAATTGATAAAATCATTAGGGGAAAACGTAAGGCCGAAGGCTCTCCTTCAAAAGAAAAGGCTGTAAAAAGAACAGCCTTGGGTGACGTGACTTGTACATTTAATAGTTATACTAATAATACAGCCCAGAAACCTACCGACGCAAAGGTAATTTTTTTTAATTATTTGATTTCCTTTTTGTAACTCAATATGGAACTATTTAAGATTATTAGAGTGAGGAAAATTACTGTGCAATCATCCAAAGTACTTCAATCGATGAAAACAGTGCAGAAGCCTATACAAAATGAAAATTTGGCACCACCACCTGCACCAGGCGGCAATAAGGTTGTAACCCGAGCAACTATAAAACATATACATATACATTGTCCGAACCAAACTGCTGTAAAACCTAAAGAAGTGCCAAAAGAGAATGTCGTGGGCATCGGTGCAACTACCAAAAAAAGACTGAGCAATGAATTTGAAAAAACCGAAGAATCTCTTTATAGTTCTGCTTTGGAAGAAATGTAAGTTTTATTTACAGATCCACCTTTATATTATGTGTATAATAATGTCTTATAATCTTCTAGCTCTAATGATTCCCCACATTTTGATTCTAAGAAACGTGCAACTAGATTATCAAAAGCATCGGATGACTCGTCTGAGCAACAAAGCAGTTCATCCACGCCAAATCTTTCCTTTGTTGCTGATCAGTTGCAATTGAAGCTTAACTTAGGCAGTCACGAAGTTCCTGAAGGTGTGGTAAACTATGATAAAGAAAATTGGGATGATATTTATCAAGTATCCCATTATGCTATGGACATTTTCAATTATTACAAGGAGAAAGAAGTTAGTTAATAATTAAATAATTATGTAATATTATTTTTTAATTTATCTTTCATTTATTAATAGAAAGATTTTCCAATTGGGGATTATATGGACAGACAAGTTTGTCTAACAAAATGGATGAGGTCACTATTAGTTGATTGGATGGTGGAAATCCAGGAAAGCTTTGAACTTAACCATGAGACATTGTACTTGGGAGTTAAGCTGGTCGATATGTTTTTAGACAGAGTCACTGTCTCGAAGGAAACATTACAGTTAGTAGGTGCAGCAGCAATGTTTGTAGCCAGCAAGTTTGACGAAAGAATACCACCAATGATTGATGATTTCTTGTACATTTGTGATGGAGCATATAATAGAAGAGAAATGATTAGAATGGAAACAAATCTCTTAAAGATTATTGGCTTCAACTTGGGTATCCCAATTAGTTACCGATTTTTACGAAGATATGCAAGAGTAAGTAAAAAAAAATCAATGTGGGTATATATTTTACTACAGCAAACTAAAATAATGTTTAATTGATATCCTTGATTTTAAAATACACAAGAAAGTTATTTTTATATAATTTTAACAGAATTTCTGTAATTTTTTCAAAAAGCCTAGCACCACAATGGTTGTATTATATGTGGATATCAATTTTATTTATATAGATACTTAAAAGTAAAATATGTCTCCTACATTTCAGTCATATTTTATATTAGGTGTACCGGGTGCGTCTCAAAAGTGGCTCGTCCCTATAACGTTTTTATATTTTGAGATAAAAAAAATGGGATTTGGTATGCTAGTATATGACATAAATTAGGATTGATTGACGTATTCAATTGTTCTTGGTTACTTCCTATTTCACCGGAAATGACTACACCTTTTGATTTTAAAATGGCACCATTGCACAGTGGTTCCCCTTAATTAGCTGCGCGGTCATAACTGTTAGATATCTAGATATAGCTTGACTGCACTTTTTTTAATAGTAATTGATAACAAATGCTAAAAAATTGGCGCCGGGAGGCACGTATAGCCGCCCATACTAAAATATGTTAATATCTCGAAAACTGCAACTTTGACTGATTTTGATGTTATTACAAATTTTGTTGCAAATATTATTCCTAATCTTAATTTGAAAACCGCGTTTCGCTAGCTACTGTAATTTTGGAGTTACGTTTTTTTTTTAATTTTTAACCCCCTCCCATACCTCCTTACCAAACCCCACCCCCACCAAAAACTAATGGCCAGATTCTCGGGTGCCACAGTATTTTTGTACCAAATTTAGTTAAAATCGGTTCATGAAAATATTTTGTATTTAGGTCATTTATGACCCAAATAACTAATTTTGAGTGAAATTAAAAAAACTGTTTTTTTTTTGCCGATCTAAATAGCCTACCATACCTATTGGTATGGTCGGCTAATAAATGTATATAAAAAACTTAATGTAATATGTATTAAAAAAATTGGGCCTAGTTTGTGTTCATTTGCATTTTAAGTTCTAACTATTCGGAAAGGTATACAGATTATGTTTGCACATATGTACATGTTTTTTTCATATTGAAGACGTCAAATTTATTTTAAATGTTGAAAAAATAAAAAAGACAGTTGATTCACTTTATAAATACCATTATCAATTGATATACAGTGTGTCCACGAAATAAGTTGACACGAAGAGGAAAAAATAAGTTACTTTTATTTTAAGACAAAAAGTCAAATAACCACCCGGTATAAGATCCGCCGGCAATTCGCGGCAGCCAGTGGCAATTAATTTATATGCAATATACTTTAAGCAACAAGTATTATCATGCCGTTTAAGAGGATTTGAAAGGAAAAGTAATTAAAAGTCTTAAAGAGTGACAAGCAAAAATGTAAGAATTCTATTTTTGTTGCCTTCAAATAAATTGCCATAAACTAATATTACTTAGGTTTAATTAAGTGCAAAAAAGAAAAAACAGTTCTTTTTACCTTCTTTTCCAACGTCCATTACAGGCAACAGCTTTTATCAATTTTAATAAAATAAGTAATTAATTGGCGTTATCTGAAAACTGTTTATAAAACTGCTTGATACCAGTAGCAGAAATGTGACATTTCTAATAAAAAAAGCGCTACACTAGGCTTAATTGATTTTGTTATTTATTATGTATCGTTTACAGGGGAATATAAGAAAAGTATTAGCAACAATTTCATGCAAACATTTTGAAATTAATATTACTAAGTAATGACCTGTCTGGGAACCACTGTGCATTGGTATATATTTTAACTTACTCTGAATAGAAAGACATATCATACGTCAACTTTTGACATTTTCGCATAAAAATTCGTATTTTAAATTGTTTGATATTGTCAAAATTTGAATCTAGTGTAATTTTATTTTGGTGTTCGCGGTACTGCCTCACATTTAGATAGAAGGGTGCATGCCCCATCAGCGGAAGTGTGATAGGACTCTCGCTCATGATCTGTCGAATGAGTAGCACGCTTTGATTTATTCTCTTAAAACCGTGTAATTGTGTGTGATATCAAGGCATCATTGAGGCCGGCCGGCTGGAGGAGAAGCAATCTTTGTGGGGTGAGTCTATTATATCTTGGGTGAGGTGACGCTATTTAATTTCTTGTATAATTGATTGATTGATTTTTATTTTTTGATAATTATGTTAATATAAAACATAAATTGTGTGTCAAAGAGTGTAAGTGCCATGGTTGAGTTAAAAACACTAATTTTTAATCAAGTAACCTTGGAAAAATAGATTTGATTGTCTAATAATTTTAGTGTCTTGTCCTTACCTGTTAAAAGATGACCAAATTGTGTTTTTAATCGTATCTCAATTCAAATGGCCTTTTTTCCATTTGAAGGCATTGGCATATTTGGAAAAAGCATTTTTTACGAATAATTTTGTACACTTGGTATTTCGAGTCAAATTGTCGGTATGCACCGCATGTTACTTTATGTTTTTAACGTATGATATGTCATTCTATTCAGAGTCATTTTCTATTGAATAAAGGAAAAAAATACCGAGGGTGCCATTTAAAAATCAAAAGTTGTAGTAATAATTTCCGGTGAAACAGAAAGTGACCGAAAACAATTGAATACGTCAATCAATCCTAATTTATGTCATATATTTTAACACACCAAATTTCGTTTTTTACTCGTTTTTACTTACTTCATTTCCACTTTTGAGACGCACCCAGTATACAAAATATTTTGTTAAAATAACATTCAAAACATGGCTGACAATCCTTAGTCTAAGCACCAAACTATGTGAGCTGAAAAAAAAAAATTTTGAATTCATAGAAATTAATTTTATTGATGACACTAGATACTCGTACTATCAAACTACATATTATCCCATCAAAGAGTTTTATTATTAAGTATGCTTTGACTTTGACACTGACATTTTAATGTTATTTAAGCTTCATTAATTATATATATTAAGCTTTAAGCTTCATTCAGAACCTCGCAATTCGCAATTAATGGAATAAATTGTGAGTGGTTTCAATTAATGTAGAAGTTTGTTCCTCTAATTTGAATCTCAGCATTCTGAACGTCAAAATTAGTGGTAGGAATTTTCAATTAGTGGAAAAAGATAACAAACTTTTCACTTTTCCACTAATTATACTTCAAAATTTGCGAAGAATGTCATTTTGGCCTTTGCTCATCATCCGTCTAGAGAAAATGTGGTTAGAAATTAAAAGTTTTTTTTCTTTTATAAGCTAAATATTAGATCTTCTCTATGGATACAACTGTCTACCACAAGCTGTTGCTAGGATATTCTATTAATTTTAATTGTATTTTTTAGACATTGTGAATGATCGTAAACTAAAAAGTATATAGTGTAATTGAAACCACTAATTTATTCCACTAATTATGAGGTTGTGAATGAAGTTTAAGAATTCTTTTACTGTCATAAGTTTTTTCGTTCATAAAACTCTTTGGTCATACTGAGAATGTTTTTTTATTTTCAAATGATTTCAGTGTGCCAAAGTGACAATGCCTGTATTGACTCTGGCCAGATATATTCTCGAATTTGCTCTAATGGATTATGACACGATTTCACTGAGAGATTCTCTATTGGCTGCAGCTTCTCTATATATGGCACTTAAAATGAAAAAAATTAGCGACTGGACACCGACTCTAGAATTCTACACTGGTAAGTTTCATACTAAATTATAAATTATCTATACTAATATATAAAAATCCTTAAGTGACTGACATACTGATTAATCACGATCCTGCTCAAACCACTCAACGTAAGAAGCTCAATTTTGGCATACAGGTTGATTCTAGGGTGTAGAGGTTCGATAAGAAGGGATTTTTCGAAATTCCAGTTCCAAGAGTGTGAAACCACCCCTCAAATATTATAATATTTTTTATTTAAAAAACGGTCAAGTTTCCGAAAAAAACGCTTAAACACGTATATTTTATTTTGTTTTTTTAAATATTTTAAGATTTTTTAAGAATGTATACAGGGTGTTTCGAAAAATCTGGTCATTGATTAATCACGATCGAGCTTAAAGCGCTTGACGTAAAAGGCTGATTTTTGGAAAACAGATTGACTTTAGGGTGTAGAGGTTCGATAAGAAGGGATTTTTCGAAACTCGAATTCTAAGGGGGTGAAACCAGGGTTCGGAAGTAGTTAATTAAGACGTAATTTACCTGATTAACTACGTGTAGTTTATCTTCAAAAACTACCTCTTTTCCCGTTCATTAACTACATGAAAAGTACGTTAATAAACTATGTATTGATATTACGAATAATTTTCCTTTGTATGAGGTGTAATAGAGATAATATGATGTAAATATTATATTTAAAGCCATACTTCTGTTTTCTTAAATACATTATATGTTTTTAAAGCTTCAACTTGTTCAACTCACCTCAAACCTTTGCTATTTGAAATTTACATACATAGGTTACATAAACTACACCCTCTACATAAACTACATTAACTACATGTAATGTAGTTTATGTAGTTTTTAAAAGTAACATGTAGTTTTCCGAACCCTGGGTGAAACTATCCCTCAAATATTAAAATATTTTTTATTTAAAAACCGGTGAGTTTTTCGGAAAAACTCTTAAACACGTCTATTTTATTTTGTTGTTTTACATATTTTAAGATTTTTTATAAATTTATACAGGGTGTATCATAAAATATGAGCATTGAGTAATCACGATTCTGCTTAAACTGCTTGACGTTTAAAGCTGATTTTTGGCAAACGGATTGACTGTAGGGTGTAGAGGTTCGATAAGGAGGGGTTTCTCGAATCTCAAATTCCAAGTGGGTGAAAACGCCCCTAAAATATTACAATATTTGTTATTTAAAAAAAGGTTAGTCTTTCGGAAAAACGCTTGGACAAGCATAATTTTTTGGTTTTTTTACATATTTTGAAATTTTTTAAAAAATCATACAGGGTGTTCCAAAAAGTTGGGCAATTTCTTAACCACGATTCTGCTTAAACTGCTTGACGGAAAAAGCTTATTTTTGGCAAACGGATTTTTCGAAAGTCAAATTCCAACGAGATGAAACTATCCCTCAAATATTACCAAATTATATAATAATATCGCCATATTGTTTTTTCTCATGCTGACATAAATGTGAGAAAATTTTAACCAGTTTGTATGTTAATGGAAATTCTTGCTTTGCTTTATCATCACCATTACAAATGATTAATTCGACGCGAACGAAGTCGCTGGTACACGCTAGTATTTCTATAAACACATGATTTTTTTTAGGTTACAAGAAAGAGGAACTGAAAGACACAGTGTTTTTACTGAACCGAGGCATTCACAAACCACCAAAATCACAAATAATGACTATAAGGAATAAGTATTCTCATAGAATATTTTTCGAGGTGGCCAAAACGCCTCTTCTGTCAGACCATCAACTCTTCTCCAGTTAACTTATTAATTCTAAGTTTACCATTTATTTATAACTTTAAAAATTGACAAATTGGCCACAAACATGTTTTTCTTTATTTATATTTTATTATACAATTCAGTGAATTTATTGATATATCTTGAAGGTAATTGGGAACGTTTGTATTTTATCTGTTTTATTTATACAAATTTTATCTTTTGAATCTCTTCAAAATAAATCAATTTGTTTTAATCATCACAATTTTTTTTTAAATGATAAATATACTTAGAAATCTATTTTTATCCAACTTTTTAATCAATTTTTTTTATTAAATTAACACAAAGTGTGTTTCGTAATAGACAACATGTTTGGTTATTCCTTCTGTTGCATTTTTTTTTGTAAATCTAGAATATATAGTACAATCAAATAATATACTCGTTTGTTAGTAATTGCATGAAGGTAGTTTTAAATTTAATATTGCGCTATTATCATTTGTTAAAACTCGAGATATTCAGTGTAGGTAAAGGCTTTATTTAGTATAGCTACAGGTTTACACATTTTATATTAACTTTAATAAATTTAGTAGGACTAATTTTAGGATCAATTTGTAAATACCGTCTTTTTACACGCTTTTGGATATACTGAATGCTCGAGTTATATTTCCTGTTATAACACTTTGTGTTAATAAATTGGTAACACCAATATTATTTGCTTATTTATAGAATCCCTTTTGGTGGCAAAGTCTTTTATACAAACTACTACATTGTTTTATTTGAAAAAAAAACTGTTCAAAAAAAGTAAAAGTAAAGATTTCAGTTGACGTCTCCTTTTTGCTGCCAGGGCTAATCTGGACGGGGCCTACTTTGTTTACGCGGAACCCGAACCGCGGTTCTCGGTCATATCATGTTCAATGTCCTACCGACTTGGCAAGTGATAAATCGACTCTTACTCACGAGATATCCGATCTCATTCGGCCTCGAACCGGCGTGATTGAGCAGTGTGTATCAATAAATTTTACACTTTTGCCTTTTTTGGACAACAGCACGATACAGAGTTGCGAACTGGTCACCCGTCCATCCACTGGTATCGCCTTACGTCGCTTAACTTCGGTGTTCTAATGGGAACCGGTGTTTCGACGTAGCTAGGCCGTTGCCCAAAAAAAATTAAAAATTATTTTTTTCTATAATTCTCTAAGGTAAGGCTCATGTAACTTCTCAATATGACGAAACATGCTTTGACAGACCAATGAAATTTAATAGTTTGATTATAAATATTAAATATTTCAAGAACAGAACCGGCTTTTGGCCAATTAGTTAAAGATGTTTTTAAAAATCTACTTATAAATGACTAGTTCAATTGGTAAAGTAACAAAGGAGGGGAGGCTCTACTATACATATTTCTGTGAAAAAAAACTGAGCTAATAGAATTTTAATCTATTAGCTATTAGCTCAGTAATCCACCAAATGTATTTTAATTTTTATCAATAAATTTGCAGTAGTTCATGAGTTTTAGTAGTATGGTGAGTTTCTTCGAGTCGATACCTTTCCTGCTACTACAACTCCATCTTTAGTTTCATAAAAAAGCAGTACAGTGCATCTTTGTGTCTCTACTCATAAACGAGAAACCCCATTAAACACAACATAATGAAACACACTGTACATATACCTGAAAAATTAAATAGGATCTAAAGTAGACTGACTAATACAAAAAATAACCTGTGGTTATTATATTTTAAATGCGGACCGTAATTCAGCGTCCACCAGAAAACTTGAATACCGGGTGCGTCTCAAAAGTGGCTAACCCCTATAATTTTTTCAAATAAAAAAAACGAGATTTGGTGTGTTAGTATGTTAGTATATGACATAAATTAGGATTCAATTGTTTTTGGTCAATTCCTGTTTCACCGAAAATGACTACAACTTTTGATTTTTAAATAGCACCCTCACTATATTTTTACTTGCTATATCTTTACTCGTTGAGGATGTTTTTCGTGTCTTGTCCTGGCCGGATAAAAGATGCCCAAATCGGTTTTTAATCATATCTCAATTTTTTGAAATGGAACGAGGGTGGCTCCTTAGCATATTTGTTTAGGTTAGGTTAGGCATAGAAAAGCATTTTTTTACGAATAATTTGGTACCACACACTTGGTATTTCGAGTCAAATTGTCGTTATGATCCGCATGTTACAATTACAAATAAACCATTTGCAAAAATGTCAAAAGTTGACATATGATATGTCATTCTATTCAGATTGTCATTTTCTATCGAATAAAGTAAAAAGATACCCAGCGTGCCATTTAAATATCAAAAGCTGTAGTAATTTCCGGTGAAACAGAAAGTGACCAAAACATTTGAATACGTCAATCAATCCTAATTTATTTCATATACAGGGTGGCGCCTCTCATACGCCGCGGAGGCTCCCAGGAGAATGACAGTTTCTATTGAAATGAAATTTTGTGAGCATATGTAGGTTAGTTCAGAGCACATTTTAAAAATATAGAGAGTTCTACAGGGTGTCCCCCAAAAAAGTTACTTATCAAAGTTGTGTTTTTTGTAATTGAACACCAAATATATTAATTTATTTTTGTGATTCTGGGAGAAAAATAACGGTGAGTTTAATAAGAGAAGTATATGACTAAAATGTAAGGCTTTTGACATATTTAACATTTTCTAGAAATAAAGAATAATTTTTAAATTACAATAAAAGCTAACTAAATTGGAATTTACCCGGTATAACCTAATATGTAGTTAAATTAACTATTGTACTTTAAATCAAATTAAAACTTGATCCAAAAAGTTATACAGGGTGAGACAAAATTAATATTGAACATTGGTCACCTTCAAAAGTATTTTACTCTTTTATTTTAAATGGAACACCCAGTATATTATTCCGATATTCAATGGAGAATTCATGTCTCTTCAAAATACTATAAAGGTTGCCTACCCCTAAAATAAGATTTTCTTAGATATTTTCATTTACATGATTTGATCTGAGTAGATCTTTATTATTTAATAAAATCTAGGTGCTGTAATATGTCTGTCGTTACTTCAACATAGCTGTCTAATTAGTCCAACTATAACAACCAGTTATCATTTTATGTCAGTTAAAACAAAAAAATTCTCAGAAATTTGCTGAAAATGCAAACTTATCCTACATAAGAAAGAATTTATATGATTCTATTAATTGGTGAATGCAGTGTGCATTCACCAATTAATAGAATACTTAAATGCTCCTGATTTTATCTAGTCTGGTTTTTTATGGGGATATATTAAAGGCAGTGTTTATAAAACTCGACCAACTATTGTCGACAACATGAGAGAAATTATTGTATCTGCTTTTCGAGATAGAACTCCACATATGCCTTTTAAAATGAAAAGATCCTTTTGAAAAGACAATCATGTTATGCAGTTAACAGGAAAGGGAGAATTTTGAGCATTTGATTTCATCTAGATAATTTTTGTCACATAATTATAGGTTTATTCTAGTTTTAATTATGTAATAATTAAAATATGTTTTAAACGTATATCTTTTTATTACCGTTGAGTATTTTACTCTACAATCTTTCATTTTTGTTAAATTAACAGAATGTTTATCACCAACCACCTAGATTTTTTCAAATAATAAAGATCTACTGCCGCAAAATCATAAAAATTAAAATATCTACGAAAATCTTTGTCTGAGGGGTAGGCAACCTTAATAATATTTTGAAGATAATTAAATTCCCCATTGAACACCGGAATAATATACTGGGTGTTATATTTAAAATAAAGGAGTAACTTGCTTTTAAATGTGACTAATGTTCCATATTAGTTTTGTATCACACTGTATAACTTTTCGGGTCAAATTTCAATTGCGTTTAACATACAATGATTACTGTAATTAAATATCAAGCTATACAAGGTCAACTAAAATTTAGGTAGCTATTATCGAAATTTAAAATTTACTCTTCATTTTCACAAAATATGAAATATGTCTAAATCATTAGATTTTAGGTACCTATATACTTCATTAATAAAACACACCTTTATTTTTTTCCTAGAATACGAAAATAAATTAATATATAGGGTGTTCCATTACAAAAAACACAACTTTGAATTGTAACTTTTTTTGGGGACACCCTGTATCAATCTATATATTTTTATAAAATGCTTTCAGTTAACCTACATATGCTGCCGAAAAAAAAATTTCATTTCGATATAAACTACCGTTCTCCTTGGAGTTTCCGCGGCGTATGAGAGGCGCCACCCTGTACTATTATAAGATACCAAATCTCGTTTTTTTATCTGAAAAAATAAAAAGTTATAGGGACGAGTCACTTTTGAGACGCACCTGATACACCTTTTAGATGTTAGATGCAAGTACTTGCTATACGTACTAGTATCAATTAATTTTACCTGCTCTGAAAAAATATCTATTCATAACAGATTAAGGTACGATACACAATTTTTCATTAAGGGTATGTCTAAAAAGTAATGTAAAACTTGTCTAAAACTGAAGGGCAATGCCGCAAACTTTATTAGTTATTTATACATTTATTTTATACTACTTTAATATTTATACAGGGTGTTCCTTAATGACATGCTAATATTTAAGGGGGTGATTCTCGGACCTATGCTAAGAGAGAAACTTCATATGAATGTATGTCCTAAACATCTTAATTTCTGAGATACAGGGTGGTGGAATATTCTAAAAAAACGTTTTTTTTTTAGAAAACTCTGATTTTATTACAGGGATCTTTATAAAACTTAATACACGTCTTCTATGCAAACAGTTTTATTTATTTCAACCAGTGCCGTCCATATGGGTTTTAGATTTAATATTTTTGCAGAAAAAATTGGTACACCACTGACTTTTCTTAAAATAAAAATTATTTTCAAAATCTCCATTCATTTATAAATAATTTTTAACTCTTGATTTTTTTTTTATTCGAGGTGAATATTATATATATATATATATATATATATATATATATATATATTCATGAGTACATGACGAAGCTACCTCGTGAAACTAACTTCTTCTTAACTAATTTTGCTTCAAGTTTCACTTTTCACTTGTGTTGAAATTAACTAAAATCAGACAAGTGCTGATTATATTATTTTGCCGTGACTGAGCTAGACCTTTCTACAGGGTTTTATATTTTTTCTACAATTACGTATGTTATTACTGTTGCAAGGGTACTTAATTTATTTTTAGGATTTACAAAATATGTTTTTCATATATGCCAGCGAGTATTCTAGATACTACACTAATTAATTCAAGCTCAATATGTGAAAAATAGTTATAAAAGGTACATTACTGAACGTATATTTCGTGTTCTTGGCGTATCCTATAATTTGTTTGAATATAATTTATTTGTCTTTTATATTAAGTGATATTGCTAGTACTACAACTATATAGCTGCGTTTGTATCAACCCCGAGCACACAAAAGTAATCTGTGACAAATGTAAAAACTTTGAACACAAGTTTTCATTAGAATGTGTTTATTTTATCATCTCAAAAATACAAATTTGTCAATATGTGATCTAACATTAAAAATATAAAATATTTTGATTAAATTTGTTATGCTCTATATAAATTACAGTGTCATGTTTTTCTAACATTATATAAATTGGGTCAAAAATAATATGTACCATAATTACTTACTGAAATAAAAACTAAATTTGTATTTAGTTTGTTCAATAACATATTTAAATAAAAGCTATCTACTGGTGCTACTTGTACTCTCTTTTCTCTTAATAATTCTGCTACATTTGGGACATTGTTCTGTAGGCTTCCAGCACTTAGTGTGATAGCAAGTTGAACACTTAATGCACCTAGATACAATTCTCATTTGCCATGGAAAAATAACTTCATCTGATTTACAAACTTCACATATAAAACCTCTTGCAAGACATAACTGTAAATAAATGGCAATTGATAAATTAGGAAAATCTAAAAATACAGCTGTAACCCTCCAGTACTCACGAGGAGTATTTTAAAACCCCTTGTGGTTGTTTTACTTGGATATCTTGGTGAGGCAATGTCAAAATTACATGCAGCCTCTTGTATTCTTTAACAGTAGTATGTAGGTACTAGCAGATGTAGAATGTTTACGAGGGGGGTTAACCGCGACCTTACAGACCCTTTCTTGAGTTATAAAGGATTATAACTCATTATACAGTCTCAGGGCTTTGACAAAAGCCAGTATCTGAGACGGCTCCATAGAGGCCAGCTTTCCATCTTCGACATCAGCCGTACCAAAGTTTATGGCACGGACGGTTGTCATCTTGGCGCACTCAGTGATAAGATGTTCTGGTGTTTCCCTATTTTCTCCACAGAATCTCCATTCGCCGTTGTTTCTCAGCTCCAGTCTACTGAAGTCGTTGAGGAGACAGTGTCCTGTTAGAAACTTCGCGACAATCCCAAGATTATTAGTCGCTAGCAGCTTCAATATTTGTAATTTATAGTGGGCAGCATAATTTTAACTTAGGAACCAACTACACAATAGTTTTATAAAGAAATTATAAGCGACATTACGGAACAACTTTTTAAATGTTTTACAGGAGATGGTATAATCCTATAAGGCACTACTTTGCATGTGCTTTACAGTAATTTTATTCTATAAGCACGGTCACTGTAAAATTATGTTACTTGACACATTCATAAGGCAACATTGGCGCTTATCTTCTAAATGCTACATAATTAAGCTTTAAGAACGTTCTTGCAAGTAACTTATAAAACAATTTCGTGTTTGAAAGCAAAACAGTCTCATATTTATAGGATATTAATGTAATAAATCAGTGTTTTGACATAACTATAAAACAATAAAAGAATATAAAAGCCCTATTACTCTAATTTTATAGAACTACTTTGTTAGCTGGGAGACTTGGAGGATTCCCATTCCCAGTTACGGATGGAGTCCTCCAGGTTCTTCGGTTCCGCTTTAAGTTAAGTCGGTTTCCGCTTGGAAAGCAGAACGGTTCTGGTCCAGTTAGTAGAGTGTTCGCTCCTTTTCTGGCTAGATCGTTTGCTTTTTCATTGCCTTCTGTCCCTGGGTGAGCGGGCACCAAGAGTAGAAGGACTTTATTTTCTTTGCCTAATTTTTTCAGCTTCTCTGTGCATTCTTTAACCAACTTCAAATTGATGATTACTGAGTTGATCGCTTTTAGTGCTGCTTGACTATCGGATAAGATGGCTATTTTCTGTTTTCGATACTTCCTATTTAAGATAAATTGTACGCATCTTTCGATAACGTAGATTTCTGCCTGAAGGATACTGTGGTAGGTGCCCATTGGTTTGGAGTATTTGCTATCTTTATTTATTTATTTTTTTAAATACCTGAGCAAACGTTTCTCTCTTCCAATCCTTTTTATTGCCCAATACTATAGTGAGGTGTTTCTTAAAGTTGTAAATTCTTGGTATATCATCCACTGGGAGTTGGAGGAGTGGAATTTTCATTTTGATGATGTTTCAAGCCCCCGACCTGAAAATTCTGCCAGTATTGTATCTGTCAATGACCATTCAATCATTGTCGCATTGTCATAACTACCGACGACAATGTGCAGTGGTGTTAGGTCTAGGAATTGCAGCTGTTGGTCATGTTCTCATAGCACCTGTGATGCAGATGCATGCCAGTTTCTGTACTTTACACTGGTTTTGTCTTGCTGTGCGTTGCTCTTGTTTTGAGTATCAAGCAACTGCTCCATAGGTAATCATAGGTCTTTCTATCACGGTGTACACCCAGGAAAATGTTAGGGGCGCAGCAACATCTATTTTCCGCAGTCTTCTGCATATCATGAGAGCCTTTGTAGCTTTGTTTTTGCTACATTATTTTTAGTGTTACAAAATGCTCGAGAATGTATTTTGATAATGTTCTTAGTATGCCTGTTCCAGAGAAGTTTACTGTTCAGGGTTATTCCCAGATATTTGACTTCCTGTGACGGCGTGCTAGCAGATAGTCACGTCACTAAAATTTACGAAATACTTCTTTTGGATGTCGAGGAATCAACAAGAACTACTAAAGTACATTAACTCGAAACATTACATGTGCAAAAAAGGTCTAAAACTGGCAAAGGAAAGTGTTATTTTTGTCTATATTCAAGCTATCTTCAATCATGGAATGCCCCAAGTGCACTGAATTGATATGTAATATATCAATAATGGCTTGGGCAAATAAGGCCAAAGCAGTTTCTGAATACGAAAATTGAGGCAATTAATCTTTTACATAATTACTCATATGACATTCAAATTTGTTTTTTCGTGTTGCTCGGAAAAAATTATTGGGGTATTAAATACTCCAGGCGAATACTTATGTAGTAAAAGAAAGTGGGAGTAAAGGAAGGTTAATTTAAAAAGTAATTTTAACCGAATTTGTAATCAGATATATTATTATATTTAGTTTTACGTCTAAAAATATCTTCTAATATTACCTTGCACTCAGACGTGTGTCTGCAACATATATCTACCAAAAATTTTAATTTGGTTTTCAGATCCCCATTCTTTATATTGACTAGATCATCCATGGAGTATTCGTCAAGTTTACTTAAAAAGTACGAAGGTAAATCTTGTTCCAGTCTTTCTTGAATCCTAAAAATCACTCGTATAATCTGATAATGTATTGCTTCATTTATACATACGTTTCAGCAAAACGACAGGTAACAATATATTCCTTCAGATAGCACAATCCTAGTCGGTATTTTCGAATAAAATCGAGATTGCTACATAATTTTGTAATATTCGTATTTAGTTCAAAGATCCTGAACAAAGGATCAAAATACATTTGTTCTAATAGTTTGTAAGAGAACGTAGACACAGGATACCTGAAATTATAATAGTTGTATTACTACTCTCTATTTTTAGTTAGTATTTATTACTTTGTATTTTAATAAAACACGCTTTTAGATGTATCAAAAAAATGTTTTAACAAGAATAACTTTAACTCTACATACCGATTTGGTCATTTTAAAAGTGTGGTCTGGATTTTAACGTGTAAGACAGAGAATAATATAAATGACCGGTTGACAGACAGAGAAAAAAATCATTGGAAAATATACACTTAAAATGAAATTGGTCCCATCTTTTAGCGTGTCACACTGTACACAAGAAAAGGCCCTTAGCATTTATAATGAGGCTATTGTGCTATCAGGCGTTTAAAAATAGAGGATAACCGAAAATCTATTTATAACAATATATGCTCTTACCCTTTGAAGTCCCATTTATATAATACCCTGGCCGGTATCAAGGCAACTTGGTTTTTGTGACATCCAGTGCAGAAATATTTTCCCAAATAGTCACAATAGCGGTATTTAGAAGCGTACTTTTGGGCCACTTTCATACCGCATCCTGCGCACCGATAATTTTGTTTTTCCATCAAAGCTTTCCTTCTATAAAATGAAAACTTAAAGAGTAACAAATAACAGCCACAGAAAATATTTTCCTTACGCTGGCGCAGGATGTAAAGCTAATACAATTTGGGGTCTCGGTGGAGCCCAATCTTTGGTCCCTCTCAGCGGTGTTGTAGGCTTTTCCAAATCAACTGGCCAACTTTTTGGTAACGGCAATAGAGCTTGAGGAGCGTCTTCTTCCGATACTAACCACTCCAAATCAGAGGCTCTACGGAATATAACAAATAGACGATGCAAAACGAACAGAATTATTTAAAGTCGACCATACACTTCGTTTTTTGTTACGCCACTTTACATGGACAGGGTGATTCAACTCTGGACTATTGGCAGGAAAGTGTATTTTTTTACAAGATGTTTAAATAAGAAAAAATCGATAGGATTGTTTTTTTTCATTCAAAATTTTTAAAAAACCCATCCGTTTACTTTTAGTGCATAGCAATTTTCACCAATCATGTAACTTTTTTATTTATATAGGATTTTCACATAGTGTCTCCGAAGAAAATATAGCAGAAATATTAAGAAAGTTTTTGAAAAAACTACAATCAATTGGTTCCAATGGATTTCGAGATATCGATTTTTGAATTGAATTATTTGATTTGAGTTCTATAATAACGCCGACCACTGTCGAACACCAATTCAATTCCACTTATTTTTACCAAAAGTGCAAGTGTTTCTAACTTGCACTTAAAAATTTACAAGCTATAGGGAAAATTACGACTCATTAAGAAATAAACAAATAAACTATCACGAAACGTAATTAAATCGTGACACTGAACGCATGATGTACATCCTTTCCTAAAATTTTACGTACTGAGCATAATGTGAGCATAATGTGGAGCATCAAGTATACCAATATAGGATTACTTTATAGTACTGAGGTACTAATTGGGTCTTGGGTCGACCGCGACGAATCTGCTTATCCCCTTCCACGTCTCTTAGCAATGTGCACTGTTTCTCGATTTATTTCATACGTTCGGCAACGTTTTTACTGTTCTCTCTTTGTTCAGTACATTATAAACGCATTGTACGCTTCTTACATACGGAAATCTCGACCCAAATCTAACGTTTACCAGCCCTTAGTATGACAAGATTTACAGAAAAATAATTAAAGTGTATTGTAAGGTCGACTTAAGAAACTGACTGCATCTAACAAATTATTTTATCAGTCACAACTTACTTGGGTAAATGTTTTTCGTTAAATTTACTAATGAGCGATAGAGCTACACCTTCAGCGCTGAGTATGTCAGATGCTCCATCGGGCACTCCTCTGGGCTTCTTCACAATATCGGCGTCGGAATAGAGAGACGCTAGTGACATAGACAAGCCTATATAGAAATATAACATTATATATAATACATTATATAGTCATTATGTATTGTATTATATAGTCTGTCCGAGGCTTAGATTAAATATACTAAAGATGCGTACAGACCTGACGAGACGAGCGCGAGACAAGAGCGAGATGAGAAAGAGACCATCTGGCATGTCTCGCGCTCGTCTCAAAATTGTTTGATATTTTTAATCTAGAGGTGGGCAAAGATTGAACAAGTCGTTCATCAGAACGAGTATTAAAAATTAATCAAGAGATTCGATTCACCGCTTAGAATACGGTTCGTTCAATTGAATCGTGGCCAACACGGATCCATAAAATTTGAACTAACGAGTCGTAAGAATTGAATCGCCTTTATACTTTGAAAGGACTGGTATAAAGTTTACCAATGATAAATCACAACAAAATGAGAGTAATTTAATGAACGTTTCGTTATATACTTACACTATCTCTATTTATTATTCTTTGTTAAAAAAATATGTTGAAAACCTTTTTCTTTTTCGCAGTCATATTTAATTAATGCTAAAACTCTTTGAATCTAAAGTCTGTCCAAAGAGTCAGGAACGATTTCGACAGACGACATTCAAAAAATGCCTGAAAATATAGTTTACCTACGAATTCAAATAAACAGTCACATTTACTGATAATATATTTTTTATATTATTATACCGCGTTAAAGCAAAGTCTTTTTGTTTGTCACCTTTGATACCAATTAAACTTTTAGTTACGTAATCGAGGGCGCGATTTTTAGATTAATTGTTGTCAACCATGGCAACATATTCGACGCCGAGTTGACTAACAGGAATTTAAATTTCCCGCTGGGGATTCAGGTGCGTAGCTCTGCTGTAAAAAATGTCAAGGTGCCACATGTGTTGTGATATTTTAAGATTATTTTTTTTACTAGCAGACCTCGCAGTTGAACATTGTTCTTTATAGAACCTCTTTTAGTGCGAAGTGTACTAGATAGCTTAATAGCCGTAAAACTCATCGCAACTTTATTAGAATATTTTGAACAGGAAAACGGTAGTAATGGCCCTTTATGTCCGTTAAGCGCTGTTAAAGAGGTGAGTTTTGTTGTTGTAAATAATAACTGTTAATATATTTATAATTAATTTATTTTTGTTAATATTTTGATTAAAAGAAAATATGTAAGTGGGCAACGCTGTGCCGGTCAATCTTAATCACGTGACTAAAAGTTTATTTGATATGAACTATACATGGACTTTTTTTTCTTTAAAACAAAGCAATTTCAAATTCCAACAAGAGTAATTCCTAGAAAAATATGTTTTCATTGCTGTATTAATAATCGTATAAAAATAAAATGTCAATTTGTCGAAAATGTCGAAATTTTTTTTTAGTATACTTTGTTAGGAGATAATTTCTGATCTATTACCATCCAAAGATTCTGAATGTATTTTATACTAAAACAATAGGTTTTAAAACAATAGGTTTACCTTGACTTTCACCTAAGTTTGCAGTGGCTTCATCAATTTCTATATCATCAATATCTTCCGAACTACTAACATATGATGCCGTATCTGGAGGTGTCGATTTAGGACTTACAGTGGCTAAAATGTATGGACAATTTAATTTTTAACTGGTTTATGGAATGTTATTTTATTTATGAAAGAAAAATAATAAATGGCTCTATAAATTGTACAACAAAAAAATATTCTTTATCATTAATTCTTCAGCAAGGACACTCATTGTTTTTGAATAAAAAAAATGACACATAAAATCAGATGAATCCAAAACATTTCGCAAAACACTTCTGGAAATAGTACGACCCGCCGTGATTGGTTGTTTGTTTTTATTGTTAACCCAGATTAACAATAAAAAACAACTAATCACGACGCGTCTCGATCAATTTCAGGAAACGTGGGAACTAATTTTTATAACACGGGAATATTGTAAGGCCGTAAACAAACATATCATATACAATTCTATATACTAATTCATTATATTCATTATAATAAAATTAAATCATAAAAATATTGTAATTATATTCCTGCAGTTTAAGTGAAAAGTTTTGTTCCTAAAATCATAAATATCTACTATACATATAGTAAACGCGTATTCAAATATTAATTCTGTAGAATATATATATATATATATATATATATATATATATATATATATATATATATATATATATATATATATATATATATATATATATATATATATATATATATATATATATATATATATATATATATATATATATATATATATCAATATGTATAACATAAAACGGGAGATGTAATTAACGAAATATCATCGTAACAACAGCTATTTTAGAAACGTCTAGGTTTACTTATTTCACTGAGATTTTTAAAAAAAATCCTTTGCCTTGGATACAGATATCGCCAAAACAGAACAAAATTGAACAACAATAAACGCCAAAAAAAATTCCCCTTGTCCTCCTCACGAGCAGTTTTCAGGCGCTTTTAAGAATCGAAAGTAGGTCGAGGCAATAGTGATGGGAATACCGGTTCCACGTGAGTCGCGTTACAATAGCGACCGTTCCAGAAAAATACCGCGATTTTATAACCGAGGTTCCAACTTCCAAAGTGTTGCGGTCCTCGCTAAAAATATATCTAACTTATCTATATTTCTAGATTAATGTAACTTTTATCCGCCACCCATTTTCCAAATATCGAGTTTATAATTGTGTATAGCCACTCTATCTCATTTTTAGAAAAACGATAACAAGGAATGTCACTTGTTATTTTTTTCTTTATCAATTTTCGTTTAAATAAAATGAACGGCTCATATTTATGTGTATTGCAATATAATATATTTAATGTTAAAATCAAGAAGTCCAAACCACTATCAAAAAAATTGTTTATTGGTCTAACCTAACCTTACAAATAGATATAAACAATAAAACTTTATGAATGTATAAAAGCAAATAAAGTATTTTTATTTTCTTTTATTTGCTTTTGCGTTTCATCTTTCAAACAACACTATTTTATACCATGCCTATGCCTAGTATATACCAAAAATCGCTATTTCGAAAGTAACGTAGCGACGGGAGTACCCACGCCAATAGTAACCGACCAAATCGCGACAGGCAAAACCGAAACCCTAGAAGCGCTCCAGCGACTGCTGGAACGAAGTACGTGGCCGCCCAGGTTGAGCGTCGATAATCAGTTACAGCAGTACTTCTGTTCGCGACAGGCAACTAAAACTCTAGCGGCGCGACGGCTGGAGCGAAGTATGTCGCCGCCGAGGTCGAGCGTCGATGCCCAGTTACAGCAGTTACTTCTTCTGTTTCGCGATAGGGAACTACAACTCTAGGATCGCGACGGCTGGAGCGAACACGTCCTGATTGAGATCGCGCGGCGCTACGGACATACCAATTCCAGATACTACTGTTGGCGACCGACGAAATCGTGACGGCTGCGGCTTGAACTAAACCATCGCTATGGGGTTACTACGGTTCACGCTAACTTCAAGTGCGATTATAAATAATTTATTTGCAAATTATAAATAATTTATAATTTTGTCGTCATTATGATCGTCGTTCTTCAGTAACAGGTTCCCGATTCGTTGTGGAGCGCGACGTTACAAAAAAATACCGCTCCAAAATCGCGTTACTCAAATACCGACACATCACTACGAGGCAAACCGAAGTGGGTGAAGACAACTGGAAATAAATCGAAATGCGTCAAAGTTGGGCGACGAAATGTGATCTTTACATGTTTCGAATTTTTTCTCGCATAGTGTAGACGCTGTTCACCAATAAGCTCATTTAAAGAATAACACATAAGATTTAAAAGAAATAGAATAAAATTAACAATAAAACCTCGTTTAATTTCTAAAAGGACTGTAAATTTTATTCTGAAAAAAATACAAATTAAAAATTTGCTTACTATCTGTTCTCTCGTCACTAATTATATACCCACACCACTGTTTTCCCTTAGTCTCCATATACCTCTGTCGTCTTCTCAATCGAATTCTTTGCTTTAAATCCATAATTTCTGGATCACTATCATCCAGTTGCTCATCGCTTACCAAATTTAAATCTCTATTACATTTGAGCTGTTCCATAGCTGATATTATAGCTTCTGATATACTAAAATGTGCATTTTCCCTGTCTAACTCAGCATTGCTTCTAGCCAATTTACTTGATGTTAGGAAAGATGTTAAACTTTGACCTTTAGTAGGTTTGGGAAAGTATCCCGTTGCCATTGGAAGAATGCTCATTCCACCATCCTCGATGAATCTTTTAGGTCGATGTCTGCTGTAATCTTTTGTACCTGTAACATAAATATCTATTATCAACAATCAATACAAGGTGTCCCAATATTCCGTGGACATATGACTACCAGTGGCGGATACAGAGGGGGGGGGGGCATGGGGCCCGGGCCACCCATAAAAGAGGGCATCAATCAAAAATAAACCATATACGTATTAAAATAATACGTATATGAAATAAACCCAAACCCGAACGTTAATTAATTTAAAAATTATTATTTTTTTTAAGTTTCTTATGAAGCTTATTATCAAATATAATTTGTAACACTAACAAAATTTTCGCCAACTAGATTATTAGAGCATAAAAGATGTTATGCACCTCCATAAATCGATGTGACAAAAAACATGCTGACAAAGTCAGCTTTGGAAAAATTTTTTTTTCCCAAAAAGTATGCATGGTGGCGTTTTTACAAGAGACAAAAAATTGTAGTAAACTCTAGAAGGACCATTTTACGAAAAGACATTTAGCTTTCGGTGGAGTTGGAAAATATTTATACAAACATTTATGTAGGGGTGGGGGGTAGTTTCGGCTCTTCTCGTACTTTTTCTTGATTCTTGTAAGTCAAATGTTAGAGCACTTAGTAGAACATAAATGCTCCAAATCTCATTCTAATTGGAATAACGGTTTTTAAAATATCAAAAAAATATATGTTTATTGTTTTAAAGTTTGATACTAGCAGACAAACGAAGCAGTTTTATATAGAGGTAAATTGTGTCCAATGAACTTATTTTAATCCAAAAATCGTTGTAGTAGTTATATGTCAACAGAATATTGGGACACCCTGTATATCGACAATTAATCTCTCTCTTGTCTTTAGTTGTGATTACTAATGTTAATTGTCTATTGTATTTATTTATTTACTCACAAAGGCAAACGAGCACTGAACACTTTTTCCTAACAACCCTAATTTAATCTCCCCTTTAAAGTACATAAATAAATTCAGAAGGTATTTTTCAACAAAGTACAGATTTTATCCATAGCTCACTTGTCTTGAATTTACAGGAATTCAAAGAGAGACCCTATGTTAATATTAAAAGTAATGTACACCCTACCTTGCATTGGTAAAAAACTATCGACCATGGAAAGTGGACTATGTGATAAAAATCCTTTAAATCTATCATCCCTTTCATATGTACCGGAACTACCCATAGTCTCATCAAACTGAACCCCACCATTCCTTTGATAGGTACTTGAACATGGTGTATGTTCTATTATATTACTAGTATTTATAACAATTCTTCGAATTTTAGTTTCTGGTTCTTTTTCTTTTCTAACTGGTTTCTTCAAAGTTGCCTTATTTGTTCTTGGCTGTAACGCATTATAATCTACTTTTAGTAAGCTGGGAGATATTTTTTTAGTATGAATTGGAGTGTTTGGTGTAGTCCTACTCAGGAAGTATCCTTTATTTCCTTTAATTTTAATTTCACTATCAATTTGCAATGCTGGTAAACTAGACCAAGGTTTCAATTTCCCTAAAATCAGTTTTTCTTTGTCTTCATTTATTGTTCCAGTTGGTAAAGTATTTTGATCTGGTATATCTTTAAGTGAGTTGTTCTTAGTTTTTCCACTAAATTTTAAGTGGCTTTCAGGAAAAGAAAAACACCTCCGATGAGTCTTAACAAACCCTTGTGTATTAGCATTTTTTAAAAACAGACAAGGGTTAATTTCTGAAAGGAACGTTACTTGATTACGTTCTACAGCTTTCAAACATATCAATGTAGCCTCAGCATACTGATTTTGACACAGAAAGGCCCAAGACTCATAACAGGAATGTAGATGAGAAGTTTCTAGCAGTAACCATGAAAGTTTTGTTGATAATGTGTGGGATTCCAAACTTTTATACAACCAAATTAAAGACTTGTCATTTTTTAACAATGCCGGTATTTGGGGGTGGTATTCACAATCAACACTAAAATAATTTTTTGAAGGCTCAGGCTGCAGCCACTCTAAACCTTGAATAAAATTGAAGAATACACCTTCCTACAACAGAATAAAAGCACTAATTTAGTTGGTATGCAGCTATATACATATAACAGAAATTTAGGTCTTTTATTAGTATATTATTTCACTTAAAATGGTTAAAACTATTTCATACAACTTTTTTTAGGAGAAAGTTTAATTTGATAATTGTTTAGATAATAATTGATATAGCATTAAATAACCTGTGATATGCCTTTACACCCATGCTTGAATATTTTCTCCAAACATAAGTACAACCTGTTTAAGCCCCCATATATGGACCAAACATTTGCTACTTGTGTTACTAATAAACTTTCAACGGTACTTTTTAAGCTTTGCAAGTATTGTTGATATACTACTGTATCAACCATATTTGGTAATATATTTATAATATATATCGAACTTATGTATGTTTTATTTATAAATCAATTTTAATTGATCTTATTATTTTTGGTAACTACATGTTAAATATTTTTATTAAATATCCAAATCATAACATCCATTTGTCAAATCACTAATGTCAAAAGTCGAATTGGACAAATTGTCTTCTTCTCTTTGCTATGATGACCCTGGCGTTTTTTAAACCTGACGGAGGGCAGCTACAACCAACTACTATCGAATTCTCGCAGATCGGATATCTCGTGAGTAGAGTCAAATGATAATATCTAAAAGAAGAAAATTTATCTTTTATCTTTTATTCTTTTATCTGTCATCTTGGGATCTTGGCTCTTCATTGTAGAGATGGGCGGTTATTGGTAAAAAACCGGTTATAGGTTAACCGGAATTATCTTTAAAAAATAATAACTTGACAAAATTAACCGACACAAATTAACCGGTTATTCAAATAACCTAACCTAGCAAAACTAAATATTTAATTTTCCTATAGGTTTACTTACCTCTACACTCCATAGGTCTACTTCAAATTTAGATAATAAACTTAGTTAAATCGCATGATTAAATAGAGATTGTAGCAATGTAAGTATGTATATGTACAAAATGAATTTAAATAAAAATGCTAACCTCACTTTTTTGAGTAGACATGGATATGATATTAAAACTAGTAATTACTTAACGTTCAAATAAACCACACAACTCACAAGTTCTACAATCTACAACCAAGTTATTTTAATCAAATACCAAAGAAAAATAAGGAGACTGAATGAATAGATAATGAAAGATTGTCTTCATTCATTACTTGAACTTCAATTTTGTATTCTTTAGTCTAAGCTTCAAGAGAGACTTCAAACTACAAATAAAATATATTTACGGTGAAACGTGGGTGAAACTGGGCGAAACCATGGAAAACTTTTGAAGAACCGTTGAAAATCCGTTAAAGTCGGTTAAAATTTAAATATAGAATTTAGAGAATCTATATGAAGTTAGGTTCGTATCACTTGGCTAGCTGGTGGCTAGTAGTAGTCTATGCCATTAGTACTTTGTTTTACGGCCTAACCTGTCAGGGCCATTCGGCCGTTGTTTTGATTATTATCATCAGGTTTCGCCTGATGCCTGATTTAATTTTGACATTTTATGTTTGATGTCATATATTTTCGTTTTGGGAGCGGGAGCGGGATCTCCCGTTATCTTCGTAATATCTGGAAGATCCGTGCCGTTCGCTTCTTCGAAATTTACGATTCAAACAGCTAATATTTAATTGTTAATTATTTTAAACAAGTACGATTTTTTAAAAAATAACCGGCTATAGGTTATTGAACGTAATGCAAGGTTATTAGGTTAACTGGTGAAAAAAAACTACCTTTAAATAACCGGTTATTTTAGAGGAAAATACCGGTTATTCAAAAAACCGGTTACTTTTGCCCATCTCTACTTCATTGTTATTTTTTATTTATCTTATTTTGGATCTTTGATCTTGTCTATGGTATATTCATTGTTATTTATTAAAAACAATGGAGTCTAGAGGGGAAACTTCAGAATTACAACAATTAGTTTCAAGTGACGCTGAAAACGACGACAGTACAATACAAGATGAGCCAACAGATCATACAGAGAGTAAAATTATTTCACCAATTCGTAGTAGTAAAGTGGTAAATATGAATGTTTATTTTATTTAGCTCAATTTTATATTTTCATTTGGTTTAGTTTTCGTCCTCTGGGAATACAAGTCACAGCTCTGTAACAAAATCTTTGGGTAAGGGGAACATTGGTGGTTCCAAGATTTCATTCATAAATGAGAGAAAATTAGCCAGAGAACCTGCAAAATCAAGCACAGTGAGACCTAGAAATGCTCATAAAGGTATACTAAATTAAAAAAAAAATAAATATGTGTTTATTTTTGTTGTATTAGTTTGCTTCTTATATTTTTGATTTTGTAAATATTTTGTTTTTTTTTGCATTGCATGTGTGTAGAACCTTCTAAACCCGCAGTTATCCACCACCATTCTTTTATCTCTCAAGTGCCTGACGTTCGTCATATGGAAAGAGCGCTCCTAGGACTTTTAGCAGATTTCCATTCGGGTAAGTTAAAAGCTTTTGGCGGTGGATGCACAATGGAACAAATGACAAATATAAGGGAGCAACAAGAAAAACTTGCAAAACTACATTTTGATCTTGCTGGAGCTGCCACAATTCCATCATTAGCAGATGAAAGCTTAAAAACTTCACAGAATACAATGAGTCAACTAATTCAAAGACTAGAGCAACTCAGTATATCAATAGAAGCACTTCATAGTAATTCAACCAAATAGGAGTAATAATTTTGTATTATGTATATTTATTTATATAAAATGTTACAAAAATTAAACATAATTGTCTTTGATTCATTTTCATAATCCATTCACCAAATTAATTCTTAGAATTAACTTTTTTTATTATATGAAGTACCTGGGTCTGACTTTCGTTTTTCTAAAAAAAAATATTTCACATCAAGTAATTATTTAAAAGCTAAGAAAAAATACTAACTTATTTTATTTTCCGCGGCATTACTTGCTGATACAAATGTCCTTTGTAACTTATTCTTTTTTTGTTCTCTGTACTTTTTAGCTACATCTTTTGAAAGTTCTGCAATTTTTGTCATTACGGGAGCAGGATAACTACAATATTTGAATATACAACATTTTTACCTAAATGTACACGAAAATAAGTAATAATTACATGCATCCCATGAATTCAATGTTAGTAAAGGTTCTAGCTAGAGCAACAAGATATTGTTCTGAAAATCTTCCTTTGTGAGCTTCCATGAATGTCCTGCGTAAGTCCCAATGTTCTTCCGGTTCAGTATCATCTCTATATTGATCTACGTCCCAATCTGTAGGATAAGTTTGGGTCATTGCAATTTATACTACTGTTTTGATTTATTTAGATAGGAAATAGGAAACACTAGCAAACACCTGGCAAAACAACAAAACATAAACATGAGATTTTAATAAATGTCCATAGATCTCTGCCATAGAAAAAGAAAAAATAAATAAGCCTAAATAACGACATACCTTTTGTCAATGTCAATAATCTGTTCTGTGGTCAATAAAATTATTTTACCCAAATCATATATACTATTTATATATGATGGGAGATTACTAGAGATATAAGAGCCAAGATTACATTTGCGTCTAGCCATCATCATGGTCTAGCCCTTTTAACGGCGAGAGTGAAGAGGGAAATTAATAAAATTCTTATTTTAATCCTATTTATTTTGTCCCCAACGTGTCCCCTTCTGGTGTCCCCATATACGTATTATGTAAATAATACGTATATGCGTGTTCCATGCACAAGAAAGAGTGAAAGAGAGCGCAATATATGTAGGTATATAGTCAAAGACCAGGTTCGTGCCTCACAAATATTGTAAGACTTTTTATTTTTTACAGCTGCTTTCATTTTTTTATCTATTACTTTACAGCTGTCGGCAACAGCAATCAAAATACGCCGTAGGCGTGTTTTGATTGCGTTGGTTAGTCTCTGGGGTAAGTTTTTTTTTTGTTTAGATTGCATGCGAAATCCCCGAACGATTATCGTTTATGCGCGTGCAGAACTGCGAAATTAAGGGACAAAAAACGGCAATATGGGTATGCGAGTTGACTAGTGGGACGTAGAAGCTAGTTGCACTTTATACGTTTTTGATAGTGTCTACCTATAATAAAAAAGTACAGTATGTCTATACATTCTGAAGCTACAGGGCATCTATAAGGGGTGAAACAGAATTCTCTGTTAAAGAGAAATTCATGAGCGTGCTATAAATATTGTAAATAGCATTACTTAGACAAACATTTCAAAAATATCCAGTTTTAGTTTTTGTCCACGTAAATGAGACATAATCTTAAATAATAAATAACAATTGAAGAGCACATGGGAAAAAAGATGAAAGTCCATTTTTGGCTATTTTGATTTTAATGCATAATATTGTTCATCTTAAAAAGCTACACCTTTTCGTGAAATAAACGGGAATATCGATAGCGGTCACATCAAAACAGGCATTCAAAAATGGTAAAAATGATAAGTCATGCGTAATGAAGCAAATACGTTTGAATTGTCACATGCTTTCCTGAACATTTATCGTTTTTCCCGTGTGCTCTTCAAGTGTCAACCGCCAAGTCATTACTGCTTCATGTTGCTCGTGGAATTTCACAGGAGTCCAGCTGGGTACCCATTTTTGACCACTCGCATCTTCGAATATCACTCACATCTCTGCAAAAGCTATCTAACAATACTTAATGTGTTTTCGTAATGTGTTTATGCAAAGATGCCAATGATGTCCAGAATAACACCACTGGTGAAGCATAATTTCAGATAACTATGCCACCAAGCATACACTGTGTTAATTTATGTTGCCTACTGGCTATTATGGCAATTATTCTAAAATAATAATTTACTTCCATAATCTTTATTCAAGTATACTTCCATTATCTACTAAAGTTTTTTTATCTATCAATCCTAAAAACACACAACAAGCTAGAGCAGCCCCTTGTTCCGCAAATCTCTTATTTTTTTCCCTGTAAAAAACATACATTATTAATATTAAGATATATACCAAGAACTTTAAGTAATTACCAATAGGAAGAAGTATATTTTTTCATATCTAAAGTCACAATTGATCTAAAGAGTTTGTCTTCATTAATAATTTTATATACAGGAAGCTTCAGTTTGTGCTTTGAACAGTATGCAATTAATTTGCTTTTAGGCAGTTCAGGATCTGTGTGAAAATTAACTCTAATAAAGGCACATTTTAATTCTTGTACATCTGACTCTTCATTTTTCTGCAATCTAGGCCTTTTGGGGCAAACATTAAACATATCTGGTGTCACTTCTCTGCGACCGAGTAAGCCTCGGGACTGATATTCTAATTGTTTAGTTCTGCAGTATCCAGCCAAGTTCCAAATTGCACTGAAAAGACAGTCTGATATTACTGATATAATACTCAACATATAATTTTACCACCTTACCATATTTGTTCTAACGTTTGACATTCTAAAAACCTTTTCCCCCTTGGAGTCTCTTGCAACTCTTTTAACATATTTTGTACACAATATTTAGTATTACTTGGTGAATTATCATAGTCCACAGCAAGTTTCAAATAATCCACTATAACATCATCTAATTGTTTTAATCCTTGTTTACAAAAAATTGAACAGTTTTGTTCTGCAGCTCTAGCAATCATTACACTACTTGCCCCACAATTGTTTTTAAATTTAAAGATATCTTTGTAGTTATCAATCTCTCTTGAACCACCACTAAAATAGAAATAAATTATTACAAATCACATAATTTTTTTCACAAATATTTACTTAGAAATTACAGGAATATCTAATTCTTGGGCAATAGCTTGAATTGTGCTGTTCCTATTTAAATGTTGGGGTCTCTCTGATTTAGTTCTTCCATGTACGGCTATAGCAGCAATTCCTGTACTTGCTAATTCTCTTACTAGATTTAATGTATCTTCAACATTTTCAAAAACTCTTATTTTACATGTTACAGGTATTTTTAAATTTTGTACCAACGATAAAAGTATAGCTTTAGCCTTTTCTATCTGGAATAATAAAGCCGCTCCCATGCCCCCTTTCAAAGAGAACTCCTTAGGACATCCCATATTAATATCAATACCTGCCACATCATTTTCTCTAAAATAATTAATTTGGAAAAAAAAATTCAATAAAACAATATCCATGTGTATTTACATCATTTTAGCAACTTTTAAAGCTCTTTTATCATCACAAGTTCCTATCTGAACCACTATTCTATCTTTTTCTTTTATATTTGTTCGGAAAACTACAGTACCATCAGATTTATCTATGTAGTCAATAGTACCAAGCACATCTGAAATTATAAATTTCATGGTAGAGTATAATTAAAATAGACATAGCAACTAGCATAAATCATGTAAATAACTTTACTTCGATAGTCTTACCGTTAACTCTTCTAACAGATTTGAGAAGCTTCCAATCAATTAATTCTTCAGAGTATACAATATCAGCTCCATATTGAAGAGCGAGTAACCTCATAGGCAAGGTCCCTACCCTTACCATGGGAGCTAAAATTATCTTATTTTCATAAGTTAGGCGAGTGGTACTCTTTGTCATAATAAAAATATATGTGTTTATAACAAAAATGAGTAAAAAAACATTGTTTTTAACTTCGAAATATTAAGTAGTTTGACAGCTTAAAAGTAAGGTTAGTTTAGTACTTTTTTCTTCTTCTTGATCTTTATTGGTTTTACGGCCTAAACTTTCAGGACTATACGGCCAGTGGCTAGTAGTAGTGGTAGCAGTAGTTGTTTAAAGCCACAACTTCCAGGGCTATCCGGTCGACTGATCTATCCTGTGAAAAATCTTCCTTTATAAGGTGAAGTTTTAGTGGTATTAGTCTTCTTCTTCTCTCCGATTAACGGCCTTAACTTACCAAAACTATACGGCCAGATACGGCCCTAACGATTAAAGCTTGTTTCATATAGACGCGAATGGCGAATTGCGAAAAGCGATTCGCCAAAAAATATTCGCAAAATTTGGACCTATTTCATAGAGTCGCGAATTTTTAGGGACATTTCATTTTTGCTCCACTGAAAGTTACCAAAAAAAATACTAACCTGAGATAACTTAATTTGTGTTATACATATTTATTCATGTTTACGATATTACGATCTTTATTTTATATTTTATAGCATACAATATGAGTTTAAATTTTTTTAATAATTATGAATATCGATTACGATTGTGGGATTGGAATAGAATAAGGTGCAAAATTGCCATTTACTTATTGTTAAAACGTAGAAGAGAACGGGTTTATAGTTTATAGCACAGGTTTATAGGTCATTTATGGGTCATTTGGGACATGTGAAATATTCAAATTTCGTAAGCAACAAGGTGCTTGTCACAATTTAATTCAAGAAATATGGAAAAAAATGAGAAAAAATTTAGGAATTTCCACAGATTGTCTGTATAGGAGTTTGATAACTTGGTTGAAGTTGAAAAATTGTCACCATATATATCAAAAACATATGCACGAGAACCAAATACGTTTAAATTATTTTAAACGTATTTGACTATGTATTTGACGAGAACCCATTTCACAACCCATTTCAACTGGAAAAATGCTTTCAAGTTACTTTGCGACAGCGTCGTCAAAATAATCGATAACCGGATCACAGCACCATTCTGCGCAAACGCGAACCTTAAAATCGCGCGAATATTCGCAAAAAGTTGAAAACACTTTAACTTTCCCGCCCCTCAAATTTTAAATCCTGCGAATCGCCAAAATCTTAAAATTTCTGACAGCGCCGCCATGATCAGTAAAATTGGACCAATGAGAGCAGTTTCGCAAAATCGCAATTCGCGATTCGCGTCTATATGAAACAAGCTTTATTCGGTTTTAAGACCACAGCTGCCAGGGCTATCCAGCCGGTTAATTTGTGCTTTGTGACGTCACTTCTTCTTCTTTTCCGTATTTCTGGTTAATTCATGGCTAAACTCTCAGAACTTAAAAGAGGAAGATGTCAGAATTGGGTTATTTTTTATTTTTCAAAATTTTAGGAAAAAAACCTGTAAAAAGTCTAAAATATACAAAACTTGTGCTTTTCTTAAATAATAAGCTGGATAAAAACTATTTAAAATTATGTGAGTCCATTTTATCAGCGTAAGAATTTTATTATAATATAAAATGTCGGATATCTTTTTTAGGTGAATTAAACCATTTATAAATGAATAATAATGAATCGAGGATTTTTAACTGACTGTTAATATTTATCAATGGTGTAAAATATATTAAAATGGTTCGATATTCAACTGCTCTGTCTCATATCGTACTTGCAGGCACAAGCTTATATTGCCTTAAAATTCTTCATATTTATAAGCTACATTTTGCTAAATTATCTTATGGTTTGATTGCTCTAAATTCATTATTAGGCATATGGAGATGGGGTGGGTTATTATTATTAATTCATACTTGGTCTTAGTAAAATGTATAAAATTTTAGGAAATCCAACATATGGCTACAAAATCGATAAGCTGTATAACTTTACCTCAAAGATACAAGATTTGTTAGTATTTCCTGGAATAGTCACCACCATTTGGTTGAAATATCACTATTCTTTTGAATTAGCATCTGCTCACATATTTGTATCGTTGATACCGTTACTTATATATTTATATGATAGCAAGAAAAATAAGGTTATAGATTCTTTCCTTGGATCTAATGTCTTCTCATTATTTTATATTTCCCTTATGAAGGAAAATTATTATGGTCTAACAACAGCTTTATCATTTACATTGAATTATTTCTTTATAAAACGTGATATACTTTTATATCTTCCAGTTGAAGTACCTACTCAAGATTTATTTAACTATTCAATGTGCTTTTTCTCAATATTTGCTTTGAAAGCTGTGCAGTATCCAATATATTGAGCTTGACATTATGGAATATAGTTATTTTTGATAAAGATATGGAATGTAGTTATTTTTATAATGACTAAATTATTGAGTTATTCACTATGAGAAAATGGCACATTTACTTTTACAAAAGAAATGATACAATATATTTTGATATTTTTTGTAAACTGCGATTTTTGGATATTACTATTTAAATTGTGCTGTTACTAATAATTCCGAATTTACACATTTTTGCTACTTTTGAACTGACTGATTTACTAATGCTGAAATAAAGAGTAAATGTACTGCTAGATTTAAAAATATAGTAATTCATTTTTATGGTGTTCTTACAAACAACTATTATTGTGTGACTGAAAATGCATTTGATATAACAAATATGCCATAAAATATATTTGGTGCTCTTGCATTTATAAGAAAATACTGAAAAATATCACAGTATTTAAAAATCTCAGGAATGTATATACTTCTCTCTTTATTTTGTTTTAAACTATTAATGTTTGATTTATTGAAGTACCATATGATCGAAAATCTCCATGTTAGAGCTGGCTGGAAAATAAAAATTGCTGTGATTTTACTTATTTGAATGTCGACGATCGTCATTTCTAAGTCAACCTGACGTCGTGTTTTTTATCATACTGTATACCCTGTATATTAAATTGTTGTAAGATTTCTCAATATAAAATGCCACTTAATGATATGGACAATTTTTAACTCTATGATATGGACAAAAGGAAATAAAGAAAAATATATATTTTGCTATGAAGATTGTATATTTTTTAAGTTGTGAACATTTTTCTTGATTTACTTAGATTTGACTGTTATCTCTGTTATGTTTTTGAAGAGCCCAATAAATCTACTTTAGCTGATGAAACTGAATTTCGAGAGAAATTATGTATTGTGTGTATTTAAAATATAATATGCCATATTCCCTATGCTACATGCTTACATCAGTGTGCATATCAAGTAATTTTCATCCGACTTGTCTATTTTTATAAGAAATGTTTAAATATATATATATATATATATATTTTATGTATGTTGTTTAACATTTTTAATAAATTATATTGATATATGAATATGATGTTTTATATTAATTATAACAAATTATTTGCCAATAATTATTAATACTATTATGTTAAGGAAAAACGCCTTAATTACAATTGAGGTACAGAGACACACATATACAGAGAGAGCGTGAGAAACACTTTAAATTGCTTTGTTTTTGGTTACCTAATACAGGCTGAGTCTTAAATAAGTGCAAATATTTTCAGGGCTGGTAGATTCTTATATAAGATCTAAGGGTAGATCTTGATAAAAGAAACATATTTTCTCTTTACCGTTTTTCAAATAAATCCAAGATAACCGAGTTATTTTACTTTGAAAATTAAAAAAATGATTCTTTGCTAAAATTTTGAGAACCACTGGATCATGCAGCGCATACATCAGCATATATGTTGCCATAATATCAATAAATTATGTTTTTTAACTAAAAAAAAAAATCCAAAATATGTTTCAAAAAAATTATTTGCGAAAAAAGCACATAGTCATCGTATTTCTGGGGTTGAAATATACTACCCCTAAAAATATTTACATTTATTTAAGACTCAACCTGTGTAAAAGTTATTTAGAAATATTAACAAGAAAGATCTTAAATTGATTAACGCAACAAATTTCCCTCCCATTTCCCCAAATAGTAAACATTAAACAGTACGAAGCAAATTTATTGTTATATCTACAAGTCCATTGATTTTATATAAAAAAATATTAAAAAATTACGTGTATCTTTACTTTTACCATAAGGAGATTTTTCAATAATAAAATATGGTAAGGAGCTGCCTTCTTTTTCTATCTTGATCGTATGAATATTTTAAAGAATGTTTCACATTATTTGAAGTGAAGGCTACTTAAAATGGTGGTTAGTTATAATTATTGGCATCAACATTCAGAAACAGAATCACCCGTCCTTATAGTGTTCGATATGTCTTTAGATATTATAAAACTTAAGATTTTAAGTTGATCTTAAACGTGGCTAGAAATTCGCAAAAAAAATTGATATTTTTCCATACTGTGTGCTATAAGCGTATACTGTGATAATACTGTGTGCTATAAGCGTAAAACTACATAAACTTGTTATTTTAAGGTGGTGTTTATTGTATTTAATTAATTTGTGTTAAACAGCAGTAAGGTAGCATAGTTTTTGTCTCAAGTGTGAATTGAAATTCGCGTAAATTGATTGATGATGAAATTTTTCCATACTGTGCACTAAATAATACCATTCCATACTGTGTAATAAATAAATCTATAAGCGTAAACTAAAACTATACATAAACTTGTTATATTTTAAGGTGGTGTTTATTGTATTTATTTTTTAAACACCTGTAACATAGCGATAGCCTAGTTTTTCACTCAAACGTAAATAGAAATTCGCGTAAAAAATTGATATGTTTCCATACTCTGTACTAAATAAATAATTAAGCGTTGATTGAAAGAATTGGGAAGATACGCAACCTAAAGCCGCGTCCCAGCGAACAAAACGTTCTCGAACATATATAATTATCACTATATACTCGTAGCAGCAGGTCGTAAACGACGGCACAGCCTATCGCATCGGTCCTGAGGACTGAGATGCGGGGAAGAATGCGACAACCAGTTTACTCTGTAGATCTAGGATGCGTTTAGGTAGTCGCTGTTTTTTCGAGTGCCCGACTTAATGTGAATTGAAAAAATAAATATGGATGATAAGGTGAAAATTGCGGCAGCTGCTTTTATTGTATTGGCCGATGCTTACAAAAAAAGAAACTCTGTAGCAAAACAAAATTGATGCAAAGCTGACAAAACTACAGTGCAAGCATTTTATTAAATAACTTAACCGGTAAAGAGTTTAAGAACTTTTGTCGTTGAAGAATCAATATTTAGCAGGCAGAGGGTACAGGAGTCTTTTGGTAGATTATTCGTTATAGTGTATTTTTAAGACCTGTGTTCATTTTCAGCCGATTCTACCAGATGTTTCTCAAAAGGGGCTCACTTTTTTATTTTTTTTATTTTTTCAGATAATACAACGAAATTTGGTTTGTTAGTATATGACATAAATCGGGATTGATTGACGTATTCAATTACCTTTTTTTTTTACCTAACGCCGTTCTTTGTTTAATCATATAAGTTTATATTAAATTGTTTAATGATAGAAAATCCGTATTATTAACGTACTGTACCCAAAATCCGTAAATCTACGGATTAATCACACTACTCACACACATCACTCACTCTGTCGATTGAAAGCAGAACTAACGGTACAGTATTCTTTATCCGCTGCGCTATAAACATCTATCAGCGCGCAGCGGCGCAGAGCTAAACTAAATATCTTTAGTACACAGTAACGCCAGCTACATCTTGGGCAGGTTTTCTGCCACGAAATCGCCCATAAGGTTGCGCATCTTCTTATTTCTTCAATCAACTATTTAAGCATAAACTAAAACTATACATAAACTTGTTTTTTAATAGTATATTAATAAAAAATATTATTTTAAATATTAAATTATATAAAAAGTTTGTTTAAGGTGGTGTTTACTGTATTTAATTTATGTTAAACACCAATAACAGTTCAAAATTATATTTGAAATTAAAACAACTTTGTCAACTTCTACGGTATACCCACATTTTAAAAGGATTCAGTTAACTTGCACGTGTCCTCCATAATACATATAAAACCGTACCAATCTTTTTCGTAGATTTATATTTAATGTAATTTCCTGTACACATAATTTGAAAAAGGTTGACCTTAATTTTTCTACCCTTTAGAGAAATTAAGGTGAACCTTGTATGTATGTCTAGGTCCTTCCTTGAGTGATCCCAAGATTTATTTATTGAGGCTCCAGGGGCTAGATTCCGATTCACTTGCAAATAATCCTATAACAATAACATTCATTAACAATAAGCAGCAAAAAGAAATAAAAATAAATTAAACTAACTAACCTAACCATTGATAACAGTCAGTGCATAGGCTACTTCTCCATCAATGAATGTGTTTAATTAATAAAATAATTGTTGTGAATCAATAAGTAAATTGTCTGTATTATTATATAATGTAATAACTGTAATAATTATATTATTACCGATTCTGAACCGTCCTAGAACTGTGATAATGTATGTGCTCTTAAGCGTTGTAGAGTTCTAGGACGGTTCAGAATCGGTAATAACAAAAATCCGAACAAAGCCGAAAATATCAGAATATTGCTATTTGACAGTTGTGTAATTTTAATTTAAGGATACTGTTTTTCCGATATTTTGTTTATATTGTCTGTCAAATACTTCCGTTAAACATACTATTCTTTGGTTATGTCATATAGACATTGGTAAGCAACCTGTTAGTACGCTATTTTTTAAGCGATGATTTTTTGATTTTAAAAATTCCGTCCTCAGCGCTCGATACGGCAGAAATTAAAAGTGCCCGACTAAATTATTTCACGCAGTCCCGTTACCGTTCATGTCGATCGCATTGAAATAATATTAGAATCGTGGCTTTGTCATAATATTTAAGTTATTAAGTTTTTACTGGTTTCACTATAGAAAGACCTATATAGTTGTCTAACGACGAACGAAAGAATATATGACAGTGACAAGTGTGATATAGCACTAATTAGATTATGTGTATAAAAGAATTTTGCAAGGAGATGGTAATCATATATATGTATGTTGTGAATATTTGTTGGAGGCCGTGGTTTTAGACATTCAATAGGATCATAATCAAATTCACTATAGAAAGACTTTATACTTGTCCAACGAGCAACGGAAGAATATATGACAGGGACATGTATGATATCGCATTAATTACATTATGTGTATAAAATAATTTTGCAAGGAGATGGTAATCATATAAATGTATGTTGTGAATATTTGGTGGGGTCATGGTTGTAGACATTTAAGTAGGATCATAACCAAGCTCACAATAGAAAGACTTTATAGTTGTCTAACGACCAACGAAATGATATATGACAGTGAGAAGTGTGATATAGCAATAATTAGATTATGTGTATAAAAGAATTTTGCAAGGAGATGGTAATCATATATAAGTATAGTCTGTCCAACGAGAAGACCCTTGACAGTGATAGATGTGTCTGTCATTTTAATTTCAAAGTAGTTTATTTTATTTTACAAAGAAATAAGTTGGTACAACTGGAACGCATAGCAGGAAATATTTAAAATTTGATTGACAAGATGACAAGTGATTACTTCAAAATATTGTGAAAAAAACTGTATAAAACTGAAAAAAATGTAATCGAGTTATTTTATTTAATAAAAACGGTATGTGTAAATACAAAACAAACAAGAACAAGACACTACATACCAAAAAATATAAAAAGAACTATTATTTACTTTCAAGCTTTATGAAACTACCCGCATTTATGATTATATTTATCAATATAACTTATGTACAAATACAAATTTGTAATATTCCACAGGAATAAATAAAACAACATAGGTAAATAAAACAAACTATTTTATTAATAATAACACCTACTAAATTTTATACCTTAAAGGTTGATTAATTAACTTTAATCTTAATTTTTTTAAACCAGTACCTTTTGACATTATTTTTCTGCAGTACTAAAATCCATTATTTACCTATCGTGTGATGTCGATATTTTACAGCTACTCCAGTTTTTAGTATCTGTTTAGTTTGATCCTTCTACCATATACGAGATGCACTTATCTACGACGAAATGGTATACAAACTTTATCGATGGCAACTTCATTGGTGTATAAGACTTTCTGCCTGGGCAGCGAGTATTAACCATAAACTGTGCTCTGGGTCTACAGTTAATTTTCACTCAGTTTTTCCTCCACTTGACTTCAAAAAGACACAAAAACACACGTAATAATACGAATCAAAATGCATCATCTTCCAAAACGCAGGGTATTTAACAAAAGTTGACACAAAATTATAACCTATAATTTGGCAAGACTTTGACAAGCGTCAAAAATGACAAAAATCTAAAGGCGAGTTCATACGCATCGACGTCCGTTTGTCGTTCATCGTTCCGTCAAACCAATAAAATTGAAATACGATCTGTCATTTTTTAAATAAACCAATAAAACTGGTTAAAAACAACAAGACACGACGTATGACGGATTTATATTTAAACCCATCCATAGATAACTTAAAAATTATTAGAAACTTTTTTAGTAAAATAAATAGATTGGTATCGGACGTCATCTGCTTTTCTTCTGTTATCGTCTGTCGAAATCTTACATGAGAAAAAAAAACAGAGTATATGTTGTGAATATTTGGTGGCGGCCATAATTTTATACATTCAAGTAGGATCATAACCAAGCTCACTATAGAAAGACTTTATAGTAACTATAAAGTCTTCTCTTACGACTAACGACACTTACACTTGTCTAACGACCAACGAAAAAATATATGACCGTGACAAGTGTAATATCGCACTAATTAGGTATATGTGTAAAATAATTTTGTAAGGAGATGGCAAACATATATAAGTTTGTTGTGAATATTCGGTGGCGGCTATGGTTTTATACATTCAAGTAGGATCATTACCAAGCTCACTATACAAAGACTTTATAGATGTTTATAACGACCAACGAAAGAATATATGCCCGAGACAAATGTAAGATCGCACTAATTAGATTATGTGTATGAAATAAGTTTGCAAGGAGATGTTAATCATATATAAGGAATTGTGAATATTTGGTGGCGGCCATGGTGGCGGCTACATTCAAGTAGGATCATAACCAAGCCACTATAGAAAGGCTTTATAGTTTTCTAACCACCAACGGCAACGAAAGAATATATGCCCGTGACAAGTGTAATATCGCACTAATTAGATTATATGTATAAAATAAGTTTGCAAGGAGATGGCAATCATATACAGACCGGACCACCGTAGTAGTAACATAGGCAGAACCGGACGAACTAGCGTATACCCGTCCGCCGGATAAAAAGCAGGCGAAAAATGCGATAAAATAAAAATAAGTCGATATGTGATAAGAATGTTTCAGAATTTGTATTTATTGGTGTTTTAATAGCCAAAACGAATACGTCTTCTCGCGACAGTTCTCGTGTAAAATTTATTTTTTAAGTAAAATAATGGATGTTTATGAAGTTCGTGAGAAAATTCTAATTGTAAAATGGTATTTCCAAAATAGGTCTTATCGGGATATACAAATAATTTTTCCACAAACTTTTTTAAACAGGCCAATTCCATCTTTATCTACTATATCAAGAGATAATTTTGAAACACATGGGTGCGTGTCCCCACAAAAACACAAAAAGCCTGATGTGTTGATTAATGAAGAACATGAGTTAAAGCAAGTGTTCGTTTGTGCTACCGCGGATCAAAATCCCACGTTTTCAAGTAATCAAATTGCTGAGGTGGTTGCCCTGCCCACAATGCCCGTATTGTTCAAGAATATTTGAACAAAACTTTTCCCAACCGTTTAATTAGTGGATATGGAACTATTTTGTGGCCCGCTAGATCACCAGATCTTTCTCCCAATGATTTCTTTTTGTGGGGTTATGTAAAATCCAAAGTGTATGGTCATAATAGGGCTAATAATCTGGATGAGCTTCAATTAAAAATACGAGAGGCTTTCCAAAGTATTAGCCCTAATATGTTAGCCAATGTCAAACGGGGATTTTACGACCGCCTAGGCTTCTGTCTAGCACAAGAAGGTGGTCTTTTTGAACAATTGTTATAACTTTTTTTTATTTAGAGTAATATTATAGTTTTTTTGGGTTTAGAAAATTTATTTATTTTTAGTTTTGGCTTGTAAACACACTCAAATAATAAATATCTAAGTATTTTTATTTTAAATGTTACCTTAAGTGAAAGTAAACACTTAAAATGAAAATAATAAATACACGGCACTCCTCGCGTCATATTCCTAGTTTGTCACGATTGCCTGACCCGTACTGCTGACCAGCCGACTAGCCGGAAGTGGCTCGCGAGTACGAACGCAAAACGGGTAAACGTAAATTCGTCCGGCAACTTGCTATATGTTACTAGTAGCCTGGTCTTCTCTGTATAAGGAATTGTGAATATTTGGTGGCGGCCATGGTTTTAAACATTCAAGTAGGATCATCACCAAGCTCACTATAGAAAGACTTTATTGTTGTCCAACGACCAATTATTAACGATCAAAATATTTTGTTTTAAAAATGTGATGTATTTTTCTTTTTCTGTCACAAATTTATATTGTTTGACTAATTTTACTAAATATTATGTTTTTGCTGTGATAGATTGTATTGTTTGTTTTTGGATACTAATTTTTATCAAGTCTTTTGTGATATACAACACAGATTTTTAAACAAAATGAAAACAAAATTCAGCGTTTTCGGAACCTAGCGTCTCAAGAAAATTAATTTAAGAATATTTCAATACAAAGTTCAAGAACTTGAAATTTCTAAGGACTCAAACACATTTATAATATAATACTAATACAGGTGTTTCGCATCGGCTGCATGCCAACATCAAAATTTTATTTGTCAGTTAAAATTATATTTCTTTTTTCCTGGATAATAAAACACTTTTACAATCTGTCCAGCGAGAGAATATATGACAATACAGTTAATATCTATAGTAAACGCCACGAATGTTTGGGAGTGATTGAACTTCTCTGTTCAAGGTCACATAAAACTTAATTCCAGTGCCGTGGTGTTTCAAGTCATATAATAATCAATATATAATCTGTTGTAATTTATTGTTTTAACTGTCAAAGTCTTGTCAAAACATATATTTGGTTATAAATATAAACTGGAATGCCCCATTGGTTGCACTGCAAGCACACCAATGGTCTGACGCACAAAAACGAATTAATCAAAGAAACGCGATATGGTATCGTCTTTGTCAATCACGCTAACATTTTAGAATAAGTAGGAGGAGCGCATGCAGATGATTAGACCGGGCCGTTAAAAACCCACGTCTGCGGTAAAAATTTACGTTTTTAATATGTTTTTAATGTAAAAATGATAGCGCGCGTGGCGATTCTAAGTTCATCAAGCGATCAATCACTCCCAAACATTCGTAGCGTTTACTATAATATTAATTCGAGGGTAAATACCTGTTTCTTTTATTTTTTGGAAGTCATCCCTCAAAATCGTAATATGCTTTCGTTAGACGGACTATAATATTTAGTTATTATAGTATATCTATATCTTATAATGTTAAGTATATAAATCACCGTATATTAATCTTTTAGAGAATTTGTCTACTCTACTATTTTAGTTTTTAAGTAAAAGTCTGTTAGTTAAAATAGTTATATTAATATAATTATTTTCATTATTCACCTTCCGGTATGAGTGATTGAATACTCTCAACGACATTCTGGTCGAAGGATAATACAGATATAATAGCAAACAGGGCCATAATAAAGTTAAATTTATCTTGGGGCGCCAAACAACATTGATCTTCTGAGCGCTTGTACCAGTAATATCTGAAACATTAAACATATACTTTCAATAAGGACATTTTAAAAATAGAATTGTTGCTCTACCCTAAAAAGAAACACAATCCGGCAAGAAATGCTAGTGGATTTTTGGATAAAATTCCGACACCAAAAGTACTAAAACCGTTAGTAAAAATTGCTAGGTCGGTAAGGTCTTGTCTTCTGAACTCAGTTACGACAAACATGGCAGCTGCTAAAAATCCTAAAACAATATTTGTGTAATTTTACCATTATTATATTAATACAATTAAATCAACAATTATTTTAAACAATTAGACAGATTTTCCTCCAAAAGACATATTAACCAGCTTGGTAAAGTATAAGCGATACTAATTAACTTTTAGTTACGTAATTGAGGACGCGATTTTTAAATGCATTGTTGCCAACCATGGATATATTCGGCGCCGGGCTGACTAACTGGAATTTTAATTTCTTTTTTCTCTGCTATAAAAAATGTCAAGTTGCCACATGTGTTGTGATATTTTAAGCTTATTTTTTTTACTAGCAGACCTTCTACTCGAACATTGTTCTTTTTAGAACCTCTTTTAGTGCGAAGTGTACAGGGTGGTCGAAATTGGTCTGTTTTAACAGAGAAAATCTATTTCCTGACTAGATAGAGCAAAACCGACATAGATGTCATGGGCTCGATTTCTGAAACACGTTTAATGACGTAAACCGCCTGTTGATATTTTCACTGCTGACTGAGATACGGGGTCTTTTTTATTTTTTTACCATTTGGAAAATTGCCCATAACTTTTGTATTTCGCGGAATAATAAAATTCTGTAAAAACGTTCTTGGGGCACTTTTTTAAGCACAATCTAGTGGCGTAGTCAGTTTTCTTTATACTTGCTTTTTTTGTCAGAAATAATAAAAAATATAATTTTTTAAATGGAAATCATAGTCGGCTATGAACTTAAAAAAAATGCTGGCGTTTAATCCTTTTTAACGATATAAAGTTAGGTGTATTTATTTCTAAAAATGAGAGAAATATTACGTTTTTTATCTTTGTGTCGAAGCGGGCCTTGATTTTGTGTTGATCTAATGAATCTAATTATTTTTTATCACAATTTAATATTGTATATTATTACTTTTCTGCATAATTAAAGACTTTTGAAAAGGTAAATCAACATTCTATATTAGTATATTACCATTTACAATTAAAAGGCCAGGGTTACAAGTGCACTATTAAATGGAGAATTTAGAGAGAATTGGATTGGAACAAAGAGCCCCATATCTTGGCCCCCATATCTAGGCCTGCTAGGTTCTGTAATTTAACTCCTTTCAACTTTTTTATGGGGGAAATTAAAAGACCTTATCTATAAGGGAAGAATCACTGGGACGAGAAAAGAGTTGCAGAAGGCAACTAGAAAAGCTTTTGGACTTATTACTCTAGTTAGTTCGCCTAATAAATCGTTGTAACTCCGTGCGGAAAAGATGTTTATTGTGTATTCAACAAGGAGGTGCTCAGTTTGAACATCTTTGATGATTTTCTTTAGAAAACTATATTTGCCACACAAAAAATACGTTTTTTTAATCTTGCTCTTTGTTTATTTTATTGAGTTCAATTGTAATTACGAATACTAATATAGTATGTTAATTACCTATCCAAAAGTCTTTAATTATGCAGATAAATAATAATATTGAATATTAAATTGTGATAAAAAATAATTAGGCACATTGGTCAACACAAAATCAAGGCCCGCTTCGATATAAAGATAAAAAACCTAATATTTCTCTCATTCTTAGAAGTAGATACTCCTAACTTTATATCGTTGAAAAGGGTTAAACGCCAGCATTTTTTTAAGTTCATAGCCAACTATGATTTCCATTTAAAAAATTATATTTTTCATTATTTGTGACAAAAATAGCAAGCATAGAAAAAACTGACTACGCCACTGGATTGTGCTTAAAAAAGTGCCTTAAGTATGTTTTTACAGAATTTTATTATTCCGCAAAATAAAAAAGTTATGAGCAATTTTCAAAAGGGTAAAAAATTCAAAAATACCCCGTATCTCAGTTGGCAGTGAAAATATCAACAGACGGTTTACGCCATTAAGCGTGTCTCAGAAATCGAGCCCATGACATCTATGTCGGTTTTGCTCTATCTAGTCAGGAAATAGGTTTTCTCTGTTAAAACAGACCAATTTCGACCACCCTGTACAATATAGCTATTAAGCCATCGCAAAAAACTCATCCCAACCTTAGAATATTTTTAACTGGAAAGCGGTAGTAATTGTTCTTTATGTTCTTATTCTGTTAAGGAGGTGAATTTTGTTGATGTAAATAACTAACTGTTAAAATAAATGATTAATTTATTTTTGCTTCCTAAAATATTTTGATTAAAAGAAAATATGTAAAAGTGGGCAACGCTGTGCCGGCCAAGCTTAATCACGTGACTAAAAGTTTACTTGGTATGAACTATATACGGTTTGGTAAAATGGAATTGTGAAATGGAGATGTTTTAGATGAGAGAGAAATTTCCCTAACGGATTACAAAACTTTTGAACGCGGATTGCTTTATACAAAACAAAATTTTGTTAAATTAAAACTAAAGGTTGGGATGATATAGACCCGGCAGAACTAGAACCTGGATGTAGGTCCATGAAGTAAGTAAGATGTAACTCTGGACCCGATTTTTTTAAAATACCGGATCTACTCATCTCTACACCCTAGATTTGCAGCTTTTAAAAATTTATGGGTCTACAATTAAATCTTGTTTTTCTTTTTGTAATTTTTGGTTTTCCGTGAGATTTTAACATCTTTAAGGTGCCTTACTATTTACCTTTGATATGACATGTAATTTGAACGTAGCAATATACAGAAATATATTACCGTTGATTTGAAAGTATTGGGAAGATAGGCAACCTAATGAGCGAATTCGTGTCAAGGCACACGGCTGATTTGATTTCCCCTCACGTTTCAAGTGCTGTATGGTAGAGCCCCTACTCGTTCTGTGGTCAACGCATAAAAGACTCATTTTCCCTAATTCAGCCAGAGAAGACTGAAGGAACTGAAAGCGACAGTGTTGCCATATTAAATAATAAGGAAGTAATATCTGGTTATACGTTTGATGAAAATATCTTTGGATGAAAAATCCGCGTTTATGTATTGAAAATTTATTCATGTTAAATATAGCATAAACAACAAAAATAAAAATTCTTTTATAGTGCTTTACTATAGTTTCTACTTGAATATTTCGTATGATCGAAAAAAAATCGTTTAGTGGGCTTGGAAATGACGACTATTCACATTTAACCTCGCATTTAACATAATATTTTACATATGAAATAACATTCGATCTTAATTTCCAAACAAACTCTGACGCCGTTATTCGTTTAATCGTATATTATATTAAATTGTTTAATGATAGAAAATCCGTATTATTAACATAAATCCAAAATCTGTAAATCTACGCATTAATCCGTAGTTCTGGCAACACTGTCTCCGGCAACCCCCCACTCTGCCGACTGAAAGCAGAACTATGGTACAGTATTCTTTATTCGTTGAGCTGTAAACGCGCGTAAGTCAGTGCGCATCGACATCGGCGCAGAGCTAAACTAAATCTCGGACATGTAATGGTAACGCCTGTTAAATCTAAATCTTGGACATATTTTGTCCTCGAAATAGCCCATAAAGTTGCGCATCTTCTTCAATTAACGATATTACCTAGCCCAGCATGAACGTAAGCTACCTCGGCAGGTCCCATTTCTGATTTAGTCCACAGTTCCGCGGCGTAACATGGCAGGACCAATACTACTTGACAATAATCCAATAAGTCACGCAATGGACAGAATGAATCTTCATCAACTTGAAATAAAAAAATGAAAAATTCAAATAAAAATAAAATCTGTAAATCAAAAAATATGTGTTTTTTATTCAAATCTAAGGTCATTTCATTAGTTGAGAACCACCGCAAATAATTTCTTACTCCATCTTAGTTTGTAGTATAAATTCACAAGTCAATAACACACGGTAGTAGTAATAAACTGCAACCCCTTGTATATTATTGCATATTTAGGTTCTTCCTTCAATTCTAAGCAAAAATCGAGATACTCAAACCAACCGTTTCCGAGTTATTGATTTTTGAAAATATCACTTAAACAATTATTAGATAATGGAAAATAAATTTCTTGCAGTTTTTAGGTATATAATAAAATTATATAAGAGTTTCTTGCCTTGAACTGCTAATATAGAAATTAATTCCACGCTGTGTTCGACATAATGATGACATGACGCGATGCGGGACTTAATATCTTACCGCTACTTTACAAGACAAGTCGTATTTATACTAAGGGCTGGCAAAGGTTAGTCTTGGGTCGAGATTTCCGTATGTAAGAAGAGTACAATGCGTTTATAATGTACTGAACAAAGACAGAACAGTAAACACGTTGCCAAACGTATGAAATGAATCGAGAAACTGTGCATATTGCTAAGAGACGTGGAAGGGGATAGCAGATTTGTCACAGTTGACCGGTCGAGCCAATCAGTACCTCTGTCATTACTTAAAGTTCTAGGGAAAAGTGTACATCATGTGTTCAGCTTCACGATTTAATTACGTCTCGCGATACTTTATTTTTTGTTTATTTATTAACGAGTCGTTGTAATTTTCTCTATAGCTTGAAAATTTTTAAGTGCAAGCTAGAAACTCTTGCATTTTTGGTAAAAATAAGTGGAATTGAGTTGGTTTTCGATTAGAACTCTGAATTCAAAAATCGATATCTCAAAATCTATTAGAAATAATTGATTGTAGTTTTTTCAAAAAACTTTTCTAATATTTCTGCTGTATTTTCTTCGTAGACAGTAAGTGAAAATCTGTATCAATAAAAAAATTACACGACTGCTGAAAATTGCTATGCTCTAAAAGTAAATAGATGGGTTGTTTGCAATTTTTGAATGGAAAAAAACAACCTTATCGAATTTTTCTTATGTAAACATATTGTAAAAGTCCCTATCTTCAAAATAAAAAAAAGTTTCAATATATATAACAAAAATGACACCTAAAAGATATCATTATAATTCCATTTCAGATGCTCAGAAACATTTCTAACCATTTTATCTAGTTATCTTTTCGAAAAAAGTCTTTTAAAAATAAGCCCTATGCGATTTACTTCCACACATGTGAATACCGACCCAAGAGTAACAGTTGCCAGCACGGTATACTCTGCGCTGTGCTCGACATTTTGTGGAAACGACCCAAGCTCACCTGATGATGGGGTAGGCCCTCAAAACCGGTAGTGAGAGCAGGTTGATCCACATTATGTCGAACACAGCGTGGAATTAATTTCTATATTAGCAGTTCAAGGCAAGAAACTCTTATATAATTTTATTAAACAATTAGCTGATTTAGTTAATTTCGATGTGTTTGGTTTCATTTAACGATGCCATTCTGCGGAAACTGTTATACTTAATAATATTTGACATTAGTTTTCAAGTTAGCATTTATAGATGTATAAAATGAGATTATATGAAATCTGTAAAAAATTACAAAATTTTTGTTTAACATTTCAAAATCAAAACTTCATAATCAGGACATGGTTGAATTTAGGTACATTATGTGTATTACTAAAGCGTGTAAAATACTTACAGAATTCAGTATATCCAGTCAGTCCGTTAGCCAACATGAGCAAATATGCAATCAATGGCCAGTGATTGAATTCATTATTTACAATTTGTGTGTAGTAATATAACAAGCCTCCTGCACTACATAGGGTCAATAAGCTATAAGATAAGGTGGCTATTATGGCGGGGAATTTTGGATTTGATTGGAGCCGCCTCAAAAATTCCATGACCTATGTATGAGGCGCACTTAAAATTTCGATAATTATTGTTTTTACTTAGTTTGCGACCGCCGACGAAAGATACATTTTGGACAATGACGCATGTCAAAATGTTTCAAAAGGTAACACTGAAAGGTATATACTCTGTTTTTTTTCTCAGGTAAGATTTCGACAGACGATGACAGAAGAAAAGCAGATGACGTCCCATACCAATCTATTTATTTTACTAAAAAAAGTTTCTAATAATTTTTAAGTTATCTATGGATGGGTTTAAATATAAATCCGTCATGCGTCGTGTCTTCTTGTTTTTAACCAGTTTTATTGGTTTATTTAAAAAATGACAGATCGTATTTCAATTTTATTGGTTTGACGGAACGATGAACGACAAACGGACGCCGATGCGTATGAACTCGCCTTTAGATTTTTGTCATTTTTGACGCTTGTCAAAGTCTTGCCAAATTATTGGTTATAATTTTGTGTCAACTTTTGTTAAATACCCTGCATTTTGAAAGATGATGCATTTTGATTCGTATTATTACGTGTGTTTTGTGTCTTTTGAAGTCAAGTGGAGGAAAAATCGAGTGAAAATTAACTGTAGGCCCAGAGCACAGTTTATGGTTAATACACGCTGCCCAGGCAGAAAGTCTTATACACCAATGAAGTTGCCATCGATAAAGTTTGTATACCATTTCGTCGTAGATAAGTGCATTTCGTATATAAGGATCAAACTAAACACATACTAAAAACTGGAGTAGCTGTAAAATATCGACATCACACGATAGGTAAATAATGGATTTTAGTACTGGTGCAGAAAAATAATGTCAAAAGGTACTGGTTTAAAAAAATTAAGATTAAAGGTAATTAATCCACCTTTAAGGTATAAAATTTGGTAGGTGTTATTATTAATAAAATAGTTGTTGTATTTACCTATGTTGTTTTATTTATACCTGTGGAATATTACAAATTTGTATTTGTACATAAGTTATATTGATAAATATAATCATAAATGCGGGTAGTTTCATAAAGCTTGAAAGTAAATAATAGTTATTTTTTATATTTTTTTGGTATGTAGTGCCTTGTTCTTGTTTGTTTTGTATTAACACATACCGTTTTTATTAAATAAAATAACTCGATTACATTTTTTCAGTTTTATACAATTTTGAAGTAATCATTTGTCATCTTGTCAATCAAATTTTAAATATATCTATGCGTTCCAGTTGTACCAACTTTGTACATTTCTTTGTAAAATAAAATAAACTACTTTGAAATTAAAGTGACAGACACATCTATCACTGTCAAGGATCTTCTCGTTGGACAGACTATAGATCATTTTTAATGTATTAATTTATTTGTATACCGGGTGGTGCATCGGCGTAGGAAACAAAAGGAAATCCCATGCAAATTTTGAACTGTCCAAATATAGGCTCTCAGTGTATAGGTAGTAGTGGTTGTTGGATAAATAAAATTATTATAGATGCAAATAGAGAAAAAATGTAAAATTGTAATTCATTGCCTCGTCAGCCTATAGTAGTATATTATTCTGAACTGGTTAAAACATTTTGGATTTTCCTACACTTCAAAAATTTGTGAAATAAAAACTGTAATTCCGAGTTATACTTTAATACGTTATTACAGATGCTTGTGAATGAAACAGCAGGGCATATACGCGAAATAATCCCCTTAGAGCGTCAGACACTCCATAGGACGAATCTTTTCAATAAAAACGGGTATGAGGCCTTTTCAAATGTAAATATTCATTGTCGATTGTGACACAGAGATATCAACACGATCCTAATAGAATAAAAGAACACACCCGAACTATATTCCCCTCTTGAAAACGGTCGTCTGTCATTGGACGAAATAAAAAGGGGGTTGATGCCAATAGAACGACGAATAGATTACTGGATAAGATTAGTTTTAGAAAGGGTTTCATCAACGGATTTTTGTATTTCGAAAAAACGGAACGCATTTTGCAAAAGAAGAAAAATGTGTCTTTTCTCTAAGCAGGTACGTTTAAAAAACTAATAAAGTGAAAGTAAACATTTTAACGGATATACCGAGTATTTTTCAGTAGCCGCTGAGCTTGGGCTCACCCCTATAAATTTAGTTTAATGTTTGCAGATTAAAAAAACGAGATTTTCTATGTTAGTTGACATAAATCATAAAACGGGATTGATGAACTTATTCAATTGTTTTTGCTCACTTTCTGTTTCACCGTAAATAACTACAACTTTTGATTTTTAAACGGTACCATCGGAATTTTTTGACTTTATTTAATAGAAAATTCTGATTCTGAATAGAATGACATATCATAATTTTGACGGTTTTAATGAAAAGAATAGCATATTAAATTTCGATCTGCAGTGCCATGGCTATATCTTGCGCGGAGCAAAGGGCTTCAGACACTCGTGAGTGTGGTGTATGTTACCATCAGGTTTCCGCAAAATGTGTCCTATGCATCCGCATTTTTTTTTGCGAATCTCAATGCCTACTTCTCGTTGGTATGTAAGATTAAGCAACTGTTAATTAAATAATCATAAAAATTATAATGACAACAACCTAAAAAAAAGAAAAATAATTACTACTTACATTACTACAATACTCTCACTACTACATTCGAATGGACATACAAATATATATGCATGTTATAAAAATAACAACTCCAAACTTTATTCAATGTCCACAAAGGCGCGAATCGTCGACGTCGCCCACGCCGACGCGACGCCTAGCGCCGCCAACGAACGGTATCTATAATAAAAAGAATATTTTCTTCGGCCCAAGGTGTTGAAATTTTTTATTGAACATCGAGTAAAATATGGTAACAATATAATTGTTATAGTCGTCAATTGTGGCCATAAATTTATATTGATGCCATAAAATAGTAGAAGGTTTGAGGCTTCTCTGAATAACTTTTTAGTTTTTATAGACTTTTTTAAAACTTAAATACAATAAAAAACATTCTTATATTTACCCGTTTAGAATCTCTTCAATCTGTGGGTAAATAGGTATATAGTAGCAAAAATGGTGAGATTATTATTGGGTACCTATTGAGGAGCCCTTGGATATTATAAGACCGTCCAGAGGCGTATAGAGAGGGCAGTTGACCTGTTCATTTTCCCAAATCGGGCATTACCTTTGTATTATAATATATGGAATGCAATTTCATTTGGTTTGATGTTGTAAATTTTAATCAATTGAAGTCATTTTATTATCTATATCTATACTAATATATATATAAAATCACCCACTGATTAATAACGATCCTGCTCAAACCACTCAACGTAAGAAGCTTAATTTTGGCATACAGGTTGATTCTAGGGTGTAGAGGTTCGATAAGAAGGAATTGTTCGAAATTCCAGTTCCAAGGGGGTGAAACCACCCTTCAAATATTACAATATTTTTTATTTAAAAAACGGTCTAGTTTCCGAAAAAACAAACGCTTAAACACGTATATTTTATTTTGTTTATTTACATATTTCAAGATTTTTTAAAAATGTATACAGGGTGTTTCGAAAAATCTGGTCATTGATTAATCACGATCCTGCTTAAAGTGCCTGACGTAAAAAGCTGATTTTTGGAAAACGGATTGACTTTAGGGTGTAGAGGTTCGATAAGAAGGGATTTTTCGAAACTCGAATTCTAAGGGGGTGAAACCACCCCTCAAATATTAGAATATTTTTTATTTAAAAACCGGTGAGTTTTTCGGAAAAACTCTTAAATACGTATATTTTATTTTGTTGTTTTACATATTTTAAGATTTTTTAAAAATTTATACAGGGTGTTTCATAAAATATGACCATTGAGTAATCACGATTCTGCTTAAACTGCTTGACGTTTAAAGCTGATTTTTGGTAAACGGACTGACTGTGGGGTGTAGAGGTTCGATAAAGAGGGGTCTCTCGAATCTCAAATTCCAAGACGGTGAAAACGCTCCTCAAATATTACAATATTTGTTATTTAAAAAATGGTTAGTCTTTCGGGAAAACGCTTGGACACGCATAATTTATTTTGTTTTTTAACATATTTTGATTTTTTTTAAAAAATCATACAGGGTGTTCCAAAAAGTTGGGTAATTGATTAACCACGATTCTGCTTAAACTGCTTGACGGAAAAAGCTTATTTTTGGCAAACGGATTTTTCGAAAGTCAAATTCCAACAAGATGAAATTACCCCTCAAATATTACCAAATTATATAATAATATCGCCATATTGTTTTTTCTCATGCTGATATAAATGTGAGAAAATTTTATCCAGTATGTATGTTAATGGAGATTTATCATCATCATTACAAATGATTAATTCGACGCGAACGAAGTCGCGGGTACACGCTAGTCAAATATAAAACGCTAGAATCATCGCACGGTGCAGAATTTTTCGAGCCGAACGCTCGAAAGAACCAGACATGGATTTGCAAGTATAAATACACGCTTTTTTTAAATTACGACCACTCTTTTGCGGTACTGCTTTGTAGAAAACCGAGGCTTAACTAAACTTAATTTTTTTTATAATTGACATTTTGCGAAAAACGCATTCTTCATAAAAAATTTGCTTGTTCCGTTTATACTATTCCAAATTTCCATACCGTTTTAGAGACAATTAAAAACTTAGTTGAAATTTTGAAGTCCTAACTATGAGTTCTAAAAATCAAAAAGCTATGGTAATATAATTATTTTATTTTCATAATTTGATGGATTGTTATTCATAGTTTTTTTAATTAACGCCACATGTATTTTTTGCCTTTTTAAAAAAAATGTCAAAGAAGCACAAAATTTAATTCGATCAATGCTACGGAAAGGGTGATAATATTTATCAGAAAAGTGTGATTGAAAATGATTGTGAACAATAGCAAAAAATGTGACGTTAAAATCAAAATTAATAATAACCATTTATCAAAGAATGAAATTGAAATTATATCGAAACACCTTTTGATTTTTAGGACTTTGGAAAAATTCAACCATATCTTACGGTATAAAAATTTTGAAAAGTATAAACGGGATTAACCATTTTAGAACAAGTAATTTTTTTTATGAAGAATTATATGTCAATAATAAAAATGTTTTTCCTCTGTTTTTCCTTTGTAAAGACAATCTGTGAACATACTGTTATACTATAATAGATAATAAAAATAATATTTATATATAAGATATAAGAAATAACATATTAAAATTTTAATTCAAACATTTCATTTAAAACATACTTGTTGAGGACGCTGTCAATCCTGAAGGCATCGGTTCAATTTTTAGTCGCTTTCCACTCTTTGCAGCTAAAACGAAAAGATTATCTGATGCATCAACAACTTTGATTTGGACAAATTTTCCATCGTGTATATTTTTTTCGTGTGTATATAGCCTTATAATCTTTGTTAAATTCAGACCCACACTTTAAACACTTAACTTTAAATCTGCCACTATTTTTCTTTTGATCCATAATAAATGAATGAAACAAATTCTGGCAAAATATTATTTTATTTGAATTGTTAGGTTGCCCAGATGACAACAAATATATGAAAACGGTACGATAGATGGATGATGTTATGACAGGGCGAGGGCGACAACCACGCGCTTGGAATTTATGATTTGTGAACTTATTTAGCCACGAAATACAAATCTACAGAAATGCCTTCTAATTAGTTTGATTATCTTTTCTTTTTGTTTTCGTTTAGGCGACGCGACTGCAAAGCGATTTGCCGCAATTCCTCGAACCCATAAAATTTGAAATAAATAAACTGCTTATATCATAGACTTAAAATAAAATAGCTTATATCGCTGCAGATTTATTAAAATACCGGGTAAATTATAGAATGAATAAACCATACATGTAAAATAGCTAAAACCATTAAAGATTTATTTTGAAATAAATATTCTTCCAAATAAGCTAAAGCAACTTTGAAGCACTTTGTCATTTCCCAATTAGGACGCCAATCTCCCAACTCCGCCAATTCAATGAACATAAGGGGGGGGGTAGAGGGGGGGGGTTAGGTTGTAGTTATCTCCCCCCCCTATATATCCCCAAACAACTTCATCAACATTAAACCAAACTTTTTAAAGAACAAATGAGATGGATATACAGGGTGTCCCACTAAGAATAGCTCTCGGCTGTATCTCGGAAAGTATTAGGCGTAGGGCCTACGGAAAAAAATATTTATAATTAAAGGGACTATGAGAAATTGCTGGAAATTATTTTCAAGTTTGTGAAACGGCCGCTAGAGGGCGCAACTGCTATGGAAAATAAGAAAATAGAATTTTTACAGAATTTTGCCTAGATAATGGGTACTATAAATAATAGCTTCATAATCTTCAGTAAATTTTTTTTTGTTAAAACCATTTTTCTCTATCTGCTAAAATAAAGTGGTGGGGGAAGGTTAGATCTATCTTTATTTTAATGTTAATATAACTACGGACTGGATTATCAGAATCCAACAAACAAGGGCTCGTTTAAAAGAGCGTTTCTTGTTCTATATTATATCATAAAAATAATAATAATAAAGTTTCGAACGTAGACGCTAGGGGGCGCTTTCTTACAATTTAACAAACAACGCGCGTTTTTTCAAAAAAATTAAATACGATAGTATATGTAATTTTAGCTGATAGTAAAGAGTAGTAAAAGCTTAAAAAGTGAGCGAAAACTGCATCTTGGTATCTTCTTTTAAACCGAAGCTATTAGCAAAATTATAATAAATACCAAAAAATAAGCCCTTCATTACCTTATTTTTACAACACGGTATCAGTAGCCCTTTTGATTATGCCCATTCTAACAAAAAAAATAAGATAGAAACAGTTTGTTTATTTTAAAATTGACGATATACCAGGATTCCATAATACCAGATGCATTGATATCTAATAATTAAGATATTACCTATAATAAGAGTGAACAAGAAACGATGCCTCAGTGAAGTCTTCGGTTTGAAAGAAGATATCAAGATGCAATTTTCGCTCACTTTTTAAGCTTTTACTACTCTTTACTATCAGCTAAAATTACATATATTATCGTATTTATTTTTTTTTTTTGAAAAAACGCGCGTTGTTTGTTAAATTGTAAGAAAGGTAATGGTATATTGTCAAGACTTAAATATAGGTCAACTTGGGTCGCGACTTATGTCAAGACTTAAATATAGGCCAACTTGGGTTTACATCAAATTGGGAAAAATCATGTAAAATATAATTTTAGTAAACCAATTTGATGTAGATTCAAGGGAATCGTTCGCGTATACGTCGACCTGAATATGTTCTTATAATAAGCATTGTCAATTAAACAATTAAAATCAGGTCGATGTAAGCGTGATGTTTCAGGGCTAGCTCGTACTAAATATCGGTGCTGGAAATATACAAAGGAGATTTTTGAGCACGTACCCGCCGATAATTGGGACGAGCGGAAAAATATAAAATGGTGTGCTGAGGACAGGGGTAGTTAGTTAGTCCATCGATGTGAGTCGTATTATACAGTCAGTAATTCGCGTTATCAGTCCGTTAGTAGAAGACAGCGCAGACTGAAGATGTTCCTGTAAGTACTTAGTTAACTAAACCATTAAGTCTTGGCATTCCCCAAAATTGTATTATACTGTGAACTTTATATTAAATAAATGCACATTTTGTTCAATGGTTGTTTTGATTGAGAGAGAGAACCTCGTATAGCGACCCTAGCAAACAACCCCCAGCTAGGTCGCGACAATATAGAAAATGGTATAATATAGAGTAAGAAACGCTCTTTTAAACGAGCCCTCGTTTGTTTGATTCTGATCATTTACTTCGGAGTTATAAACATTTAAATACAGACAGATCTAACAAAAAAAATCCAAAATTTACTGAAGATTATGAAGCTATTATTTATAGTACCCATTATCTAGACAAAATTCTGTAAAAATTATATTTTCTTATTTTCTATAGCAGTTGCACCCTCTAGCGGCCGTTTAACAAACTTGAAAATAATTTCCAGCAATTTCTCATAGCCCCTTTAGTGATAAATATTTTTTTCCGTAGGCCCTACGGCTAATACTTTCCGAGATACAGCCAAGAGCTATTCTTAGTAGGACACCTTGTACATCGTTGAGTTTGTCGCATATGAGAAACAAAGCGCGTTTAAAGGAATACCATGGACGTAATTTATTGTAGAATGACGAAAAATGCAACTAGGATAAAAACGTACAATAGTAATTAAAAATGTTAAACGATACATCTTACGTGTAATTTTTCAAATTTATTAATATTCAAGAAAGTTGATTTGGCTTTATATATCCCGAAGACCATGTCCTCGACATATGCGTCTTTGTGTTGTATGCAATTGTTGCATTCACGAGGAATGTGTAGGACTATCTAAAGGGGATAACTTTTCATTTATGTGTTTTGAATGTGAATGTTAGTTAACTAACTCGTATTATTGAATTTTTGAAATATATAAGTATTAAGGAGGTTCCACATCTAGTAACATGTTATATAACATTGCTATTTAACAAGCTACATATCACATGTTAAAATACCGGGAGCCGTCCACATTGTAGTTTTCGTAATCATGAATCGTTTTGGCGAGAAAGAGGTTCAGCTCGCAGCAGTGGCGTGCGTAATTATTTTTGAACAAAGAGAAAGAAAGTCGAGAAAAAAGGCGGTTTTGAGTCCACCATAGCCTACCAGCAAGATCTAGATACAGTTGAACTCAATTAGCTTATCTTTTCAATACTTGCCTCGGCTGTTTCTCGTGGTGTGTCTCTGTCTTTTAAAAACATTAATAACTTAAAAGCAAACCATTTTGAATTATCCACTTCATGTAAACCATGCAGTACCTGATTTGCATTTCTTTTGTTCCCTCTGGAACTGGCCTATTAGATAACGCTTTTTTTCTCAACTTTTTCTCTTTCCAAATACATACTATAAAATGAAGATCGCTGTCATTTTGTATGGAAAATTATACTACGACGTTTTGTATGGAAAATTATACTACGACGGTTAAGAGACTACGGCCGTTCAAACTTTAATATGGCGTTAATTGGGTCACTGCCCTTACCAATTTGGCAGATTGTACGTTGATTAATAAAGAAATTATATATACTTACTTTTATAAATGGTGCTCCATCTCTCCTCCCTTTACCCCACATTTAAATTGTGTCCTAAATTCCACCTAATAAAATTGGACCCTTGTAGACTCAAAGATTTATTGTTATTTATAAGCCATCCCACCACCCGACCTTTTGAAGTATCTATTTTCTTCTTCATTGTTCACGTCTCTTTTTATGTGTTTATCTAGAATCTTATGTCCCTAATCCATCGTATAATTATCTGATGCCGCCGCGCGCTCTCTCCGTATCTCATAAAATCGTAAAAAAGAATTTGGAAAAAATCTCCTTTGAAGTCGCCCAAGCATCTGCTTTTAACCTCTCTCCATTCGGTTGCAGTTACGTGAGGCAAGCCCCTTTCGATTGGAGGGATAGAAATAGCTCTGTCATTGGTTGAAACGCTTACCATACGCTCCGCCCTCTGGGTGATCCCGTTTGGAAACGTAGTCCTTTTTCTGTCATCAGTCCTCGTTCGGGAGCTGTTGGGTGATATAGTGTGTGTTGCTAAGACCAGCGAACGGTTGTTTAATACGCGTTTGGAGAATTTAAAAAACAAATAGCGCACAATGTCGATGTTGCAGCATGAATCACTTTTTTCGATGGTACCTTCGTCGTTCGAAGGTATACCGGTGTACGAGCAGCCGCGACCCAGGTTCATCTTTAAAATGCCTCGGGTGGTGCCCGATCAGAAGGGCAAATTCGAATCGGACGAACTGTTTCGAAGATTGAGCCGAGACAGCGAGGTGAGTTATCACTGCTTATCACTGAATTCAAACAATTCTGAAAAATAAACTACGCATAATATTTTAATATACATATACCGAGTGTTTTTTAAAACGTGTTTTTCCCCTGTAACTTCTTCTTTAACTTCTTAGATAAAAAAAACGAAATTTGGTATGTTCGTATACAGGGTGAGTTTTCTACGATGTTCTCTATGGTTATCTCGGAAACTAATGGAGATCGAGAGTCGGTTAAATGGGGAAAGAATTGCAGTTTTGTAGGGTCACAAATACGCGCCTTTTATATTTTTGAAAAAGTTCATGGCTTACTAAATATTTCGAAAAAAAAACACATTTCGGCTATCTTAAGAATGGTCCCTAATTTCATTATAACCTATTTTAGACAAAAAGTTTTCAGATAAAATTTGTAGATATTCACATCCTTAATGAGACTGCGTTTTCCGTTTTTTTTCTAAAGCGTGTCATTTTTGACATATGACACAAACTTATGTTTTTTTTAAATGGAAACCATAGTTGGCCATGACATTAGAGCGATATAAGCTATAATATGATTTTTTCGAAAAATTAATGAGTTATATATAGCCAATTCTTATCTTTCTTGACTAATTTCACTTAGTTGGCATGGTAATCTTATTCTGTTATTTATTTAATTATTATAATTTATAACATATAAAAAGACACAATTACCCATTACAGTTTACATTATTCATACTAAAACTTAAAAAAATAATATCACTACATACACTTTAAGTTATTTTACCTAAGAAATATACCTACCTACCGCATAAAATCTAAAATGGATAGGTCTGGTGATCGAGGAGGCCCATGCAATTAGTCCACCTCTTCCTATCCCTGAGTTTGAATAATTATGATATAAATAATTTTTAACATTTCTTCCATTATGGGGGGAGTGTCATAATGAATAATAATAATGGCAATTTACTTAAAAGGCGTACTTATAAGAAAAGAAGATTTATATCGATAATTGGGGCTACAGAAACTGAAAAATACGACTTATAATAATGAGTTCGATATATCTGCTTATACAAATGAAATTATTGCCAAAAGCAATATCTATACTATATGGATATATCACCACTGCTTTTAATGTTCTAATACATTTTACAGTTTAGTTTTTACATCCTGTACATTACTTCTGATCTGTATAAGGTTCTCAGTTGATCTTTTGCCATATAGAGATTTGATAATTATAGCCCCAATCTCCTCATTTTACCTGTTTTATTTTTTGTTTGCATATATTTTTCATGTGTTTATCTCTTTTCTTTCGTCTTTTAATCTAATGTATTGGGTACCTACCGTGTATTGCATTTATACCTGCCTGGACATAGGAAATCCGAAAATCGAATACCTATAAATTTTAAAAAAGATAAATACAACTTAATCATTATATTTATAGAGATAAATTTGCATGAAACTTTTTAAAGAACCCATTAAATAAAAGCAAATCTAATAGTTTCTACGAATCCCTTTTTTATTTATTAAAAATAAAAGTTAAATTTTTCAATTCAATGTTTATTTTTTAAAGACCGTTAAAGATGAGTGAGACTGGTCTTGATCTTGCACAAAAGCAAGATCAAAACTAGTGTTAAATCTACAAGACCAAGACCGACCAGTTCTAAACCAAGACCTAGCATGCAAGACGCCTGCGGTTGTGATTTTTTTTCACTTTATGCATCTCATTTTTCATTGAAAATTGATACGATTTTTTTAAGAATGTCAAAAGTTGACATATATGATATGTCATTTTATTCAGAGTGACATTTTCTATCGAAAAAAGTAAAAAAATACCGAGGGTGCCTTTTAAAAATTAGTTGACTTAGTTAAATTGTAGTCATTTCCGGTGAAACAGAAAGTTATCGAAAACAATTGAATACGTCAATAAATCCCAATTTATGTCATATACTGACATATCAAATTTTGTTTTTTATCTGAAAAAAATAAAATTAAAAAAGTTATAGGGGTGAGCCCAGGGTTGCCACCCATCCCGATTTTGTCGGGACAGTCCCGATTTTAATTCAAAAGTCCCTCTTCCCACGTAAAGCTCTAATGTCCCGATTTTTATTTGTTTAATAGCCACATTTTTATTAAACAATAAATCTGTAAAATTTATTATTAAAAATACATGTTTATTAAATTTCTTGAATTTAAAAACAGTTCTTTTCCACGAATTAATTAAAATCTTAGATATTTTAGAATTAAAAGAAGTAGATATTGATACTCTGTTTAATGAATGTTCGATAATAAAGATTTGCGTAAAGGAAATTTGCCAAAAAGTATATAAAAATTATAGATAAAAAAATAAAGTATTTTTAAAACTATAAATTATATGCCTTCATTGTTTATGGAATACAGACCGGACCATCGTAGTAGTAACATAGGCAGAACCGGACGAATTAGCGTAAACTCGTCCGCCGGATAAAAAGCAGACGAAAAAATGCGATAAAATAAAAATAGGTAGATATGTGATAAGAATGTTTAAGAATTTGTATTTATTCGTGTTTTAATAGCCAAAACGAATAGATAGATTCTCGCGACAGTTCTCGTGTAAAATTTATTTTTTAAGTACAATAATGGATGTTTACAAAGTTCGTTAGAAAATTCAAATTGTAAAATAGTATTTCCAAGATAGGTCTTATCGGAATATACAAATAATTTTTCCGCAAACTTTTGTAAACAGGCCAATTTCATCTTTACCTACTATATCAAGAGTTATTAATAATTTTGAAATACATTGGTGCGTGTCCGTGTCCCCACAAAAATCCTGATGTGTTGATTAATGAAGAACAGGAGTTAAAGTGTGTTCATTTATGCTACCGCGGATCAAAATCCCACGTTTTCAAGTAATCAAATTGCTGAGGTAACAGATTCTTCACCTAGCACGGTTAAAAGAGTCCTTAAAAAGAATGGATAACCGATCGTATACAGCGCGCAAAACTCAAGAAATTTTCCATATGAAGACCAATTTCGGCGTATGGCGTTTTGTGAATCTGTAATGGAAAAGGCCAATTTAGATGAAAACTTTATTCGGCGTATAGTTTTCATCGGACGAATCAAGTTTTTCTGTATTGAGTCGTCATAACCCTACCCAAGTATGATATTCGTCTCGGGAAAATTTGCACAGATTTTTTTGAGGTACCTACACACTCAATATCCTCAAAAGCTAAATGTTTGGGTTGGTTTTGTAGGGAAGCATATGATTGGTCCATTTTTTATAAAGGGTAATTTAACTGTTGCTAAGTATTTGGACTTGTTACAGCAGCAGATTGTCCCTAGAATTTGTGAGTTATTGGGAGAAAGATTCCATAATGTCTGGTTTCAACAAGATGGTTGCCCTGCCCACAATGCCCGTATTGTTCAAGAATATTTTTTTTATTAAAACAATACTTTTCCCAACCGTTTAATTAGTGGATATGGAACTATTTTGTGGCCCGCTAGATCACCAGATCTTTCTCCCAGTAAAAATACGAGAGGCTTTCCAAACTATTAGCCATAATATGTTAGCCAATGTCGGACGGGGATTTTACGACCGCCTAGGCTTCTGTCTAGCACAAGAAGGTGGCCTTTTTGAACACTTGTTATAACTTTTTTTTATTTAGAGTAATATTTTAGTTTTTTTGGGGTTTAGAGAATTTATTTATTATTAGGTTTGGCTTGTAAACACACTCAAGTAATAAATATTTAAGTATTTTTATTTTAAATGTTACCTTAAGTGAAGGTAAACACTTAAAATGAAAATAATTAATACTCGGCACTCCTCGCGTCGTATTCCTAGTCTGTCACGACCGACCCGTCCAAGCACAACTGCAACTGCGTACTGCCTGACCAGCCGACTAGCCGGCAGTGAATCTCGAGTACGAACGCAAATCGGGTAAACGTAAATTCGTCCGGCAACTTGCTATGTTACTAGTAGCACAGCTAGTAGCCTGGTCTTCTCTGTATATAGTTATTTATATATTTTCACGTATGATGTTGAAGTAGACAGACGCTAGAAATAAGATATTCGGTTAAGCTCATTAGAACGGAATTTCAAATCTCATTTAATTTTAATATATCGCATATATGAATTTTTGGATTTTATTAAAAATGACAACGCTCTTATTACTAAAGCAACAGAAGAAATAAAAAATATTCAATACATTTGGGGGTTGGAACCTTTGGTGTTACAACAGCAAAATAAAACACTAATTCACCTTAGTGCCTCAAACACTTTGCTTTTAACACTAGATGCTCGTTTTGCTAACCATAAATTTGAAGCTAACCGTCAGTTTTCATCATTTGCTGATGATGCTGGTGAACGAAATGCTCGTCCACCAGTGTTAAAAGTAAAGTGTTTAATGCAAATTAGCGCACTTGTAGGAGTTAAGGCCTTTTTATGCTTTTGTATATTAAGTATGTTATATTTTAAAGTGTTTTGGTGTATTGTGAGGAATTAGTGTTTTATTTTGCCAAAAAAATGTTTAATTTAAAAATAATTAAATAAACTAAAAGCCAATTATACGGATTATACAGCTGAAACTTTTGATTTTGTTTAGGTTTTGGTCTAGTTGTTTTAGATTTAATTGATTGTTTACTAATTCTGTTTTCAACTTTTCATTTTTCATTTTTTATTTTTACATATTTTTTTTATAAATATCGAATAGTATTTTTTAAGTTCAAAAAAAAGTTTCGTTTCAAAATTCGATGGGCACATAAAATTTTACATTTTTTTTAAGAAAAAAGCTTGCACCACTGCTGTCCCGATTTAAAATTTAATTTTAAATACAAAAGGTGGCAACCCTGGGTGAGCCATTTTCGAGAAACACCCGGTATAACGAAAAAAATAGAAATAGATTGATAATATATCCACAACGTTTATTTATTGCACTGAGAAAAAATAATATTTGGATTATTAATTAAGTTTAATTATTAATTCCATAAAAATATTTTTATACATACATAAAATATCTCGGTATTATTTTAAACAGGCGCGAGGCGTTTAGAAT